TCTTATTTTCTCGGTATATAAATTAAAAAAAATCGAAAAAATAAAACAATTCGTATAAACCAGGCAACTTACCTTAAAAAATTACTAGAAATTAACGGATTTTCCGATATAAAACCGGCTAATATACCACTTAGCCCTAGATTCCTAAAATCGTTATATACGTCAAAAGATAAAAACAACGAAAAACCGGCTTTAAAGGAATTTATCCACTTATATCAGCATTTATTAGGTGGATTAATATACGCTATAGTCCAAACCAGGCCCGACCTAGCTTACCCTATAGCATATCTAGCTAGATATATATAAAACCCATCGAAAACCACGATAAAAGGGGTAAAAGGGGTATTTAATTATTTAAAATCCCATTACCACCTTGGAATTACCTTTAACGGGAAAATAAAACCCGGATTAATAGGTTATTCCGATGCCGATTTTGCTAATAATTACGAAACCCGTAAATCAACGTCCGGTTATTTATTTACTTTAAATAACGGACCGATAAATTGGAAATCGAAACGGCAACCTACGATTTCTTTATCAACCACCGAAGCCGAATTCAACGGGCTAGAGCAGGCTACCCGTGAAGCAATATAGTTAAAAAATCTCCTTACAGAAATCGGAATTAATACAAATACCGTATTAATTAAAGGAAATAATACAAGGGCCATAAATTTGGCATATAATCCGGAATATCACCAACGTACTAAATATACTGCTATACGGTATTTTTACATACGGCAAAAAGTTAAAAATAAGAATATTCGAATCGAATATATTTCAACCAACGATATACCAGCAGACGGCCTTATAAAGCCACTTCCTAAAAATAAATTTCAGAAATTTATCAAATTGTTAAACTTAACCGATACTATTTAACAAAGGGAGTATTGCACGGATATTAATACAGCATCATATAATGCATAAAATTAGCTTTATAACGCATATTATATCGTTATAACAGCTATAAAACCCATCGAGATATCGTTAAATAACGATATATGGGAAATCAGTGGAACTTACCCTGTACTAACTTACAGTCAGTACAGCACCATTTACAGCCACTATTCACAATGCTGTACAGTCAACAAGTCATTACAGTTAACTGTTGTGGCCACTATGGCCACTGGAACCCACTGGAATCCAGTGGAACGTTCCACTGGATCCAGCCCCACTAAGTATGGCCAGTGCACCTGGCCACAGTGGCCCTAGGTTACAAGGTAACCCACACCATAGAAATCCATAGATTTCGATGGTTTCTTCGATTATAAATTAACTTTATTACTAATTAACTTAATTATAAATCCAGTTTATTAGTAATATATTCCAGAATGTTCTTATTGGTTGATTTTATGGGTATAAAAGGTAGTTATTCCTCCGTAGTTAGTTATTCTTTCTTTAAGCTTCAATAAATCAGTTATACAGCCCTATAACTACTCCTACGGCCTGATTCTACGAATCATATGAACGCTTCCCTGTGCCTAAGTTTATGATCTACCAATCATACCTTAGAACATTATTAATAAAAAGCTTCCCTTTTATTACGGCATTAACGGATAAAAATGGGCTTTGCTATATATACCTTATGGTTTAATATTAATCTAAAGACGAGGAGCTTTAAAATACTCCTCGGCTACGGAATAATTTTATTAATAATTACGGATAAGCCGGTGGGGGACGGGCCCGTGGCCCGTGCAGCCAGGCTGGCCAGCACGGACCATTTAGCGTGGACCGTCACACTTTTTATATTAAAAAAGCTATATTATATTATATAAACTCGTTTATTACGTCGATTTTCGTAGCAAATATAGCAATTATATTATTTTTTATAGCTTAATCGTAACCTCCCGTATTATAATAATACGTTTTCACGATTATATTTATAAATTAATTTAAATACCTTTATTTTTAAGAATTTATTACTTAATACCTTTTTTTAAAATTGTCGCTCCTTATTAATATAAACCCTAATATTTTTTATATTTTAAGTTTATTTTAAAAACCCGTAATATAATTATTATAAATAATAAGAATCGTTACGATATATAGGTTTTAAACGTTAAATTATGTGATGCATAAATATAAATTATTTACGAAAGTATATAAGACGTCCGTGTATCGGCGGTCCCGGTGTAAACTGGTGATATTGTCTTCCTTTAGCATTGGAGGCATAAGGTTGGTATTTTGAGACTAAAAAGCAATTATTTTCTTTTGTCATAACTTTTGGATATTGGAAGCCCGAGGGCCTTCAGCTCGATTAAGGACCGGAAGATGGTGAGAAGTATAGATTATTGCTTATTTAGAACTAGATTTCATAAAATGAAGTTCTTCCTTTTAGTTTTAATAAAGTTATTACAAAGACGAAATCGTATGGGAACGACACGATCACACAAAATATGGATGCTATCATAAGACTGAAAATAGTTGCCTATGCACTTACGAGCGCGTATTGTGACACAAATGCAGAATAAAGCCTGTTGATATTGACATTGGAGAAGGCATATCAGGATAATGCAATGGTGATAACTCCGGCAGAAGTGGATTGCTCAGCAAAGATTGTGCTCATCCACTTGAAAATGGGCCATGTGGATGAGGCGAGAAGCGGTATAAAGACGTTTACCTGCAAGCCAAAACAGCATTAGGATCCCAATGGCTGAGCTGAAAAGAAAAACGACAATAATTTCAAGGTTATTTATTTACTCGGTCATCCTGCTATCGTATATTTGAACTCTATGTTTTTGGAACTCATGTTTTCGAGTATAAAGGTCATCGTAGTCGACCTCAACTCTGGTATTGTTAAGTTGTTATGGGTATTGTACCTTGCAGGACAACATCTTTGGATTCCAACTCAATATGTTTTGAGTTTTTAACGGCTTCGGTGAGCAACTCGAGCGTCGTGCAGCCCCTCAAACTTGCCTTTCTCAAACTACTACGATTCCACCCCAGAGTAGATGTGTGAGGCGAAGAAAACAATCCTGTTGACAACAGGCAGAGCGACTTAACAGATAGGCCTCGAGCTAATTCGCTGCTTAAAGAGTGAGATTCCCTGTACAGACCACAAGCTTCACCACTTGTGGATATCAGTTGATGACTATTGTTTCAATAAGCTCCATCGCTCGGTGATGCCAAATTCTGCAATTTGTTGAAAACTATTTCGAGTAAAGCGACCTTGGACCTTTTAATTCCCACATCAAAGAGATCAGATACGATGTCAAGCCTGCCTTCTTAAGAGATAACCACTAGATGAATCAATGAAGGATAACCAAGTATTGTGATATGCGGCTGTGCATAGGTCTTATAAGTAGTATATTTGTGTTATCCTCAGCTCTCCAGGCACAAGGAAACACTCCCAGCATGATGCCCGCTTTCCAGACCGACTTCGTACCTCAGGTCTGGGATCTACTATGGAGTTCCTTTCATTCCTAATCGGAGATTACTCTGATCGTGGTATATCAAAAGACACTCTTCAGACTCTCGTCCGGAAATTCGCAGTCTCTGATACGAGAATTGAGAGATTAATTTGAAGTGGCTACACAGCGTGCTTTCGAGGAATGTAGTGTGAAGCACACCCGTATTCTCTTGCTTCCTTATGGATCCTTATTGTTGACCACGGCGTTGCTTTCCTATTGGACTTTGAACTGGTCTGATATGGGGGTCAATTGTGTGATGTATTGATCTATGTTGCGCCCCTCCAGTTTTGACGAGGTGCACGCTGACTTGGGTGGTCCCGGCTAATCCCCGGGAGGCCCCATACATCTATCTGAACACCATGGTGTTGATCAGTTTGTTCAAGCCCACCTATGGGTTCTATGATCCACCGTCTGACAATAAGTGTATAGCGGAGACTTGGATCCTAAGTCCAAACTAGACTATCCTCGATACTTAAGCGAACCAGTCCCGATACACTAGCCAATATCCCTTAGTATCCAAGCCCTTACAGAAAGCACCACCTTAATCAACAGCTATTAATACGACAACTAAAACGACAATTAAACCGACAACAAATACGGCAATAGCTCAAAAACTCGGTGTGTGGAAGTTTGGTCTTCCACAGTGCTAAGAGCCACATAATCGAAATCCGTAGTTCAATCTTGACTGCAAAGTCTCATATGCTCGACACTGCTAATTTGCTCTCGCGGGCACTGGTATGACCTTATAACCTGGCTTGATAGCGAAACCCAAACATTTCGTCTTCGTGACAGCTCTCTACCATGTCAATTCTTGTTCCTTTCACGGGAATCTGACATCGTTCTCACACATGAGTTATGCACGGAATGCCCCCATCTAAGGCAGATTACAAATATCGATCAATGCAAAACAGTGCTCCAGCATCGGAATATAGTCCTTAGATTCGCAGTTACAAAGTCGAATATTCTGTACCGTTCTTCTTTGCTTGGCTTCATCGCAAAGGCACTGTCGACTCAGTAGATCCGGAAAGCCGGAGCTCAGGCTCCACAGATTTCCAACTTGCGGGTGTTCACTTTCCCTAAGGTACTGGCCAGGTTAGCTTTTAAAGTGTCAGATCACATGCCGCAATGCAGTGGATAGCTACTATACATACTAACAAACTGGCAAACAATGTCCTACTATTTGGTAGCGCTACTGGCATTCCTGCATCTCAGTGCGCCAAAGTATCAAGTCCGGCAACACCGACCCATCTGCTCTCGCTTGCGGAACCCGCTCTAAGCATCCGCCCAGCTTGGACGAATGCTTATAAAATATCACCATCTTTCTTATACATACTGGCCATTTGCATCGATGTGTTCCATCTAAATCAGACGGACTAGGACAACTTCAAGCTGGTATGAGGCAATATCCGGGACGTGTAGTGGAATACTCTGAATACGAAAAACGCCTTCCGTCCACGACTTTTTGTACCGGACAAGTGCGTGCTTCCTAATCTATTGCTTGGTTAAGTACCCGCTCCACTTGAGACCTATCCCAATCCAGCTTCAGAACGCCCTAGAGAGGGGCGAACATGTAACCTTGAAGGTCCACATACATTAAGCTGCTTCGACCTTCCAGCCACCTGGCATCAGATCTGTGAACACTCGGGTAGGGTCATATTTGGCCCTGATCTGCTTGAGACGGTCCAAATTGCCTGCTGGATAACTCTCAAATACAGGCTGGCCTTCATCAGCTTCGTTCAAGTAATGGAATGAGGCAGTCGCATTCATCGACCTCAGCGTTTCCAATATGTTAGTATTGTAGCCTTGGATGAAATTCTCGATGCGCACATCATCACCTTCCTCTTCCCAGGTATAGGTCTGTTCGATCCAGAAAGCTGGTCTTTCGTCGAGGCCCTGTAACGATCCGGGCTTCGCATTGGATGCCTTCAAAAATTGGGACGTGATCGGGTTGAAGGCCATACCAATGGTGGCATTCATACCATCGAAAGAAGTTTTCGCGAGTTCGAAGAAGAGGTCATGCGCCTTCTGCAGTGCCTCTCTGTTGGCCAGAATAGGAAGCATGTGGAAACGCTGTCGCTTCCCATGTGACTCTCCTCCCTCCTCGAAAGCTTGAGAGACTGCAGTGCTGTACTGTCCCAGAGGGAATGGGGATAGTGCGGTAACGCCATTCTCGGGCTCGAGGTTGCCCCCCAGGAAACCATTCAGGATCGCCGGTACCGTGTCGTTGCCATTGTAAAACAGAGTCGACGAGTATACCGGTGCGTCGTTTCCGGAATCGTATCGACAGACTGGAATTATGGCAGCTTTCGGGTCCAGATGGCCGTTCGTAACGAAGTCAAATACTGTATCCATGAATTTGTCCCGAATCTCGGTGGAGCCATAGGTTGGCGCTCCAATCATGACAGTCGGAGAAGGGTGGGTTTGGATGTCGAATCTCGTTACTAGGCAGAATGAATTGCCTCCTCCTTGTAGAGCCCAGAATAAATCAGCAAATTCATTGTCGACAGTGACTTCGACTACGCGGCCGTCGGCCAGGACGCACTACGGAATGGTGAGCTACAGATTTCTCCTGGTTGCGAACGAAACGTACCTGATACCCTTTGACATTGCCATTCGTTGATCCAAGGCCGTGTTCATAACTATAGAATGAAACGCCGCCGCCCAAAAGAAAGCCCGGCACGCCCACGGGACCGATGCGGGCACCGACAACACCATATCCTGTTCCATCAAGCGCTGTGTATACTTCGGTCCAGCGAGGTCCTGGTCCAACGGATAGAGTCTTATTGTCAGAAGAGAGGGCCAACGTGTCCAGATTGGTACATGAGATTAGCACTCCTTCCGAACCTATGCCGTTGGCAGAGGCGATAGGCATATGGCCGCCTCCTCGAATGGCAAACTTGACGCCGCATTCAGCGAGGTTGGTAACCGCGAACGAGAGCTGTTCGGCATTGACAGGCGCGAAGATGCAGGCAGGCTTGAGCCATGACCTGGTTGACCAAGTGTCTGTGATCCAAGTCAGTGAGCTGCACAAAGCGGGTTGGGGGATCATGTTACCTTCACTCTCCTCATCGTAATTCGCATCGCCGTAGGAATAGGTGATATTAGAGTACATCGATTTGAACTTGTCACAAACAGTCTGCGGTTGATTTCGCGCCGCAATCGCCGGAATCGATGCCACGGCGCCGCCACTCAATGCTAGTAGCCATGAAAGATGCATTGTGAACGACAATAAGGAGTACTATAACCTTCAAGATAGGTTAATGGGAAAGAAGATGGTGATGAGTGACAAACAACATCCTGTCCGAAGAGATTCGTTCAGATTCTTATATACTTGCGAGACCTTGGGAGGCCCACAATTCATTGTCCAATTGGGAGAGTGCGTGACGGGAATGTTGTACGATCACGGCATCATGCATAGCCTCGTTAATTCTAGTAAGTCTACAAACCCCATCCAAATCTATGACTGAATGACTGAATGACTGAATTGATTGGTTTAATTTCATACGGTACTCGATTGACTTGACGGACCCCACAGCTGTGCGCAGACAGACTTTCGAGCCTCTTCGGGACTTTCGGAGCCTGTTAAAATTGCACAAATGCAGCGGAAGCGAGGTGCTCCGATCGACAGCAGAGGGGCCATATTAGCCAATCACCCTTAAGTGTAAGGGTTCAAGTGCCTATTCAACAGTCTTGTTCCTACTACATACGAGCATTCTAAACATAGCAAGAGGAGGAGAGAAGATAGAGTCCTTTCGTCTTGATCAAGCTCCTTTCGGTATCTTGAAAAGGTTCCGAGCTGCGGGTCCGTGCAGACGGCGTTGGCCGAGAGGTGCCGAGGCCACTTACCGGGCCATAGCCCGTGACATTAAGCATATATCACAAACTCTGGCGGGTCAGTTGAGAGCTTCGTATTCGTCTTCGCATCAGTACCTTGCTCACAACCATACAATAACCCTGATAATGGAATACCTACCAGCGCTTCCGGCTGTCTATTCCCATTATTCGAACATAGGTCCATGGCGCCGATGCTCACGTCGTGACATCAACACCTGTATTACAGTAATGTTTCAGGCGATTGCGTCGCAAATATCCACAATGGGGCATGCCGGGACTGCAGCGTAATAGCTGTTTATTAGTGCATTCTTCTATCCCGTCTACCCTACTCAATTGTATCAATGAAATTGGCTCCCTGGACCTCTCTAGACGTGCGCCTTACGTATGCCGTTGTGCTACCAACAACCAATGGGTATGTAATCTTCCGAATTGCTTCAACTGGCCATCGCGTGCACAGCCACCAGTATATCCTTGAAAAGTGAATTTATACTTTCTTCTAGCAACCTGGCGAGCATCCTGGTGATAGAACAACCTTGTTGTCGAATACTTGGTTTTGCAGCATGAATTGCCCGAATAGGAAATTGTGACAAACACCAGGACAGAAGCCTGATCAGCACGCTTGAGCCACAACGTTTTACCCGAATGGGAAAATGTGATAGATCCGGATCTGCGGGGCCTAAGAGCTATACCAAGCAGGGTCGCACAGTCCCGCCGACCGTAATAGAGCAGCATAAAGCAATGTCGTTGATTTTAATAAAGGTAGCTCGACACACAGTGGCTATAGTTTTCAGCATAAGCGAATTCCGCTATAATAATAAGTTTGGCTATAATTAATTCTTAAGTTACTGGTAGCTCCGGCTTTTTAAATCCACCGCGAAAGTTGAAATGTTTATATTTTTATAAAGGAGAAGCTAGGAACCAATATAACAAGAGGGAACCCGTGACGATACACTGGCGAAAGGGTGACTATACAAGTCAGGCGCGGCAGTATACCATGGGGGTAATGACAAGAATGAAAGCTGCCTAACTACTGCCATGTCAGGCCTAACCTGACACTGGTGCGGCCCAGCCACACCTCAGGCAGGATATGACAGCCTCTGGGCTGTCCGTAGGTAAGGTTAGTTAGTAGAGTCACGGCTGACAGCCTTTTGCCCCACTAGCTGGCTGGCCAAGCCCCTCCAATGGGCCCGTGTGCCCCAAACACCAGTATTTAGCTGGTGATCCCGCAGGCACTCACTTTGTAGACTTCGTCTACAGTTTAATAAACATAATACCCCCATACATTGATGCATTGCCGTCAGCTATCGGGATAGTGACAAGCCCAAGATTTGATCGTTGTACGAAGGGCCAGCAATATTTATAATATAATGAAAAAAAACAATCTTGATTAAATTTAAAGTTTGTTTATTTCGGAAAAAAATATTGTGTAGGAAGTATATATGGACAGGAAGGTAGAACAAGGTATAGTTGATTCTTGAGACGGATTGCAGTTATTTGTTTGCTTAGAGCGTTAAGTTCTCGCCGGATTTGGCAGTAACGGACGGAGGCGTCGCCTTATCGGATTCTTCGAAGGTCTGGAATTCCTTGGATTAAAGGTTTATCTACTCACATCACTTCTACCATATCCTGTATAAGTTCCCCATTCAGTTGTCAGGAGTTTGATTTGTTCCGGCTATGTGCTCTGATATTCACAGGCATCGAGTCTTTGGGATGAACAGTCCCAGTCCCAACCCGATACAGCCTTTCGCCATTGATTGCTGGGTTTTGGTTGCAGTCTCCCCTTTGACATTGAATTAGTAGCATTTCTTGAGTTAAACCGGCCCACAACTGTTGACTCACTTCTTAGTGTCCCATTTGGTCCATGCCTCCTCGATATCAAACTTTCTAACGACAAATACCAGGACGAGACGTAACTCTAGAAGGGCAAGCTCCAGACCAATACATATCCTTGGCCCCAAGGAGAAGGGCCGCCAAGCATCCTTCGAAGGGCGCAATGGATCGCCTTCAGGGACAAGCCATCTTTCAGGCAGGAATTTGTCTGCTTGTCTCCATACATCTGGCCGCGAATGAATTATGGGCACAGCATCCCACATCGCGTAACCATCCGTGGGGTACCTAATGCGTGAACCTGGAACGGTAAGTAAGTAGTCCGAGCTTCCTTGCCGCATGGTCGCTGCCAGTGGATAGAGTCGTAGAGTTTCCTTGATTATTGCCAAAGTGTAAGGCAGTGCGTACAATAGATGCGGTGAATTCAAGATCAATTCTTGACAGGCTCCGATCTCGGTCCCGAAGACAGTATCGTGCTCCTCTCGGAGTCTTTCAAGGCACACGGGGTTATCCTGCAGTTCTTTGAACATCCAGCAGATAGTAGTAGACGTGGTGTCGTGACCAGCGAACAGCAGTGCCTTCAGATTGCTAGTGAAGCCATCAACAAACGCTGCCAGGTTGGTCCCGTCGCCATTGAGGGGTCCTTCCAAATCAATGATTTCCAAAGTACGATCGATGATGCTTGGAATGTTCCTGGAGCGCGAGCCGTCGGAGAGCCACTCCTGAATCTTGTGCCCATAGACAGAGTTCATAACACGATTGTTTCTGACTATGGCTGTTGGCAAGAGTGTCAGAAGATGGAAGAAACCCCGTGCAGGATTAGCACCCGATCGACCCATCTGATCTAATTGGTCAAGCAAAGCGCTTTTCAGTGGCGTGTCCGAGCAACTGGTTTGTTGATTCAGTTGAGAGCCACTAATATGAGTCAATCCCGGTAAATACTGAGAATGTAAGACCAGTGGTGGAGACTTACGTGAGAGCCCTATGAATGACATCAAATGTCAAGTTCATGGTCTTTTCTTCAAGCCGGAAGACTTCCCCCCATTGCCCATCCTTTCCGGCAAGACTTCCCAAGAGATCGACAAAAATCACCACTTCATCCATCAGGTCTGGCAACAGAACCATAAGATTGTGCCGATTGAAACCCGGTTGTAGCTTTGATCGCCAAGATTTCCATTCTTCTCCATGCAGCGAAATTATATCCTTGTTCTCGGTGAGTGGCTTCAAGAAGTCGGTATGTACTTTGGCTTTGATTAAATTCCTGGTTTGGGTGAATTGTGTCGACACTGCGGGATGTGTACTCAGGAGTAAAGAAGAGCTAGTAAATGGCCACAGATCTAAGTAGATGATTGGAGGCACGATCTTTTCTCCAGGAAACAACCGGTCTAGCTCGTTCAAGAACCAATAGTGCAGTTGAAAAATGTTCACATCTGGAGGATGCTCCTGACGGAATTTGGCCATCAGGGCAAGGTGACCGAAGAGCCATGAATGAGGAAGTGTTGGCACGCCTTGCTTTTGCATGTCTTTTACCGTTCTTCGAATTTTGTATCCCCTCCAGAGCCAACATGCAAGATGGTATGCTGTATAAAGAGAAATACAACTGAGAATCATTTTTGGAGAAAACCAAATCGACAAAGAGTTCGTGGAGAGCATTTTGTTTACTTGAGAGTCTTCAGCAAAGGTAGAGAATCAAAGAAGTGGTAGAAGTGGTAAATGTGTGCCACTATATAAGTACGCGAATCGCAGCGGAAGGCTCGGACAATACGTTCCACCGCTGAAAGTATCTTCCCAGATTGTCCCGCTTGACCGAGAGAAAATTGGCAAGGATAATCATTTAATTACCTACCCATCAGCTCACTTGTAAGTTCTTGGCACCTTGGCGCCATGACCAAGCCCTCCCCTAGGCCACAATAGGTTATCACAGTGAAGTATTTGGACATGGTGTTTGTCAATTTTAACGAGCGGAGCATATTTAGAATATGCACGATGTGACACGCTCGACACTATAGCAATCAGTACCTTGGCAGAGCTACAAGGCTAGAAGATTATATTCATAAATACATTAACTGCTTTGGCAAGCCATTCGGTATTGGGCTGTGGCATGTGCTAATTAGGCTCCTCGGGGTGAGTGACAAAAGGCAGGATGAATTGTATCTACATTATCTCACCTGAGCCAACGTGAAGGAGAAGATTCGATTGAGAGAGCGCAAAAAAGATGTCTGAAGTGATACTTCCAATATACAAAGGAGAGGTGTTGAAGAGCTATCTAATATATCCCGTCGGGCGATCTGCGGTAGGTACTGACTACGTCAGTGCAACACATTTCGTTTATACCTAGTCTTGTGATAAGAAGATCGTCGTGATTTTTATTTAATCTTTGCTTTAAAGTGTGAAGTTTAAAGCTTATAACCCGCTTTAATATGCTATACCGGAAACTCTCCGTGCTAAACCCGGTGATAGCCCGTTAATCCGAGTCGGAAAATATCTTATATGTTAAAGGTAACTATTAATAGCCCGAGTGTCACTTATATGCCTATTAGACAAAACCAGTTCTAGGGACTAGATTATATATGCCTTGTGTTAAATTCTTGCAAGGTGGTAAGATATCGCGTCGTGCTTAAGTGCCGTTAACACATGTTTTAAGTGTTAAGCGATGGACCATATAAATAATTGCAGCGCGTCGAATGCTTAGCTAAGGATCTTTTTTAATAGCTTGGATAGCTAGCAATAATTAAGCTTCTTTTTGAATAAAATCCATTTAAAATTAATTATATGGTATAGTTGGCAAGTTGAAGTCCATCTCTTGCTAATTAGCGTGGCCAGCTCACTTGTGGATTACGTTACGTAAAAATCACAGTGATGAACTGTTGTTTATTGCACTTCGAGGTAGTCCTGTCTTTTGATGCAGAGATATCATAGATATTTTAGATGACGCTATCATGTTGATTAATATTGTAAATAAAGCGTTCCTCCATGAGACCTCCTTCGTGCATTTCCATTTACTCTGGGTGGCTGAATATGTTGCCTCGAAAACAAGTGAGTCGACTGCAGGAACTGCATCAACCTGACCCAACTCAGCCAACCCCCGAGATTGATTTGAGTTGACTTTACTAAGCGATCTGTACATGGAGTTGATCAACAAGGTCACGATATTGCGTTGGGTTGAATCAAGTTGATTTACGTTGAGTAGATTAAGTCCCTGCCGGTTTCTCTCTAGGCTTTCCTCTCGTCGAGGCCATACTCAGTATCGAGTTCTTTCCTCAGCTCGAGCTCCTTCTCAAACCCAACAGCAAAGAAGGAAATGAGGCTAATTGCCAGACCGAACCACCAAATAGCTTTGAGACTCTGAATGTATACTTCCCAGACTTCGGCCCAGATAGCATCGCTGTAGTCACTACGGACAGAATGGACTTGACTCGCAAAAGAGTAGGCTTGGCCGCCCGCCAATTGTGAGCGCAAAGTGGTGTCGGAAATGTTTTTAATGTTCTGGTCGAAAACGGCATTGAATATAATGCCTGGCGCAGTGACTCCCCATATCCATCCGAATGTGCGAATAAAGCTGTATGTAGAACTGGCAACGGCCACGTCTGCTTCGGGAAGACCAGCCATGATGGCAGGAAGGAGTACAGAGAGACTGAGACCGGCGCCCATACTGGCTATTAATTCGTACCAAGCCCATGCAACTGTAGGCGTTTCGGCATCAAGGCGGGTGAAAAGTCCAAATGCAAGCGCTGATAAGGCCAACGATATTGCGTGCAGCGGCCTGTATCGTCCAAAATGGCTCAAGAGTATACCGGCTGCAACAGCGAAGATCAAAGTTCCCATGGCCATGGGCAAAAACTTTACACCAGACTGGAGAATAGTTGTCCCTTTAACGGCCTGGAAGTAAATGGGCAGGAAATACGCCGATGCCTGAACAAGAATGGATGTCAGGAAAGTCAAGAGGTATGCTGTTGCTGAAGTGCGATTCGCAAATAAGCGGGACGGGATACTGGGCTGTTTCGCATAGTGCTGTTGGAAGTGGAACGCGATCCATCCTACACCTCCAAGCACCAAAGGCAAAATGATACGCCATGAGGACCAAGGATGAACTGTGCCTCCCTCGACTAGTCCGAACAGTATAGCGACCATGCTCAATGTAAAGAGCGCGTTGCCAAGGTAGTCAAGGTCTTTGAGCCTTTCCCACCTCGAGGCGGTGGACGGAGTGTTGGTCTTCTCCGTGGTCGCATTCCCAGTTGATGCTGGACCACCGGGCTTGACCCGCATAAAAAGCAACATAGCGGCCAGAGCAAGCCCACAAATGGGCAGATTCATCCAGAATATCCATCTCCAGTTTGACTGAGCAAGCGCGCCGCCGACTGGTGGCCCCAAAGCAGCTGCAACGCCAGACCATGCAAACATAAGACCGAGATATTTTCCCCTCTCCCTCAGAGGAACGAGATCGCAACAGACTATGTCGAGAAGTACGTTGATGCCTCCAGCGCCGATGCCTTGAACGACTCGACCAGCGATTATCATGGCGGCAGTGTGCGCGCCGCCTGAGATCCCGCTCCCGAGCGCAAACAATACGGTTGAGCCGATCAAGGGCCAACGTCTTCCTAGCGCGTTGGCAAGTTGCCCCGTAAGAGGCTGCAACACGGCGGAGGCGACGATAAACGAGTTGGCGATCCATACGTAGTGTGATGCACCACCCACCGACTCGGTGATCTGAGGCAGCGCAGTTGTGATAATCGCAACATCCAATGCTGAAATAAAGGCGAGAATACACAGGGCGGCAAAAGTCCCCCAGAAACGCCACGAATGGCGTTGCGTGGCTGCGGGCAATGTCGTTGCATCCTGAGCTTCACCTACTGGCCCGGCTTCGGCTTCTACCATTGATGAAGCCTCCATGCTGGGATTCGGATATGGAAATCACTTTCGCCAGAGACGACCTATAGAGCGCAGGTGCTTGAGGAAGCGGGAAGAAGGCAATAGACGGTGGAAATAATAAAGCTGATGTTGCTGACCATAGAGAGAATGGGAGGTAGAGGGAGGCGAAGGAGGGCAGGCAGGCACGGGAAACAATCGAGGAACAACTCTGCGAATACCCACTTTTCGAATCTCCAGGTAAGACACAAGTGTCAATAACACTTTCACACGGTATTTAAACGCGGCCAGATCGCTTTGTATCCGGCGTGGTGGCAAGGCTGAAGGGTCTCGATCTGTCGCAATCAGACGCGCAACGCGAGCCAGGGAACGTACCATCCCCGCGACTTGCATTATGTGGAAAGTGTTCGGTGTACAAGGCTTGGCAGCTTTTTGTTACATCGTACTGTGTACATCAACATCCGTAACGGATTTACCGAAGTAGGCAAGCCCGTTACAAAGGAATTCGTTATCACGAGCTGCACGTTGAATGTTGGCTGCGAGACAGAGGGACTATGCAACTGACAAGCATGTTGGCTGCACTGTGGCAGTGAGTGGTATCCAAAGATCGGTCAAGGGTATATTGGAACATTCATGCCATGGTAATACTTTTTAAGCGCCAGTGCATGTCCAATGATATGTATTCAAGATAGGTACCTAGGCATGTATTCGCCCTGGAAACAATCGCCCTTCAACTCTGGGAAGTAGTTGGCACAAAAGAGACTGTTTCTTCTTCTAAATTTGTAAGACCATGTTGGCTGCGAAGTGACCAGAAATGCATAGCACGGTGACTCTCGCATATCCAAGGATACTTACTCTGTACGCATGTTCTGCGGGGCCAACCCCAACCGCCCGTGCAGATGGTTGTTGTTGTTGGTTGTTGTTGTTGCTGTTGTTGGGGGGGGGGGGGGGGGTTATCTCGGATATGCCACTCCCGCACACCGGCTGCTGCCAAGTCTATTTCCCACTTTATTGCATCTGCAGCCGCCCGAAGGTTCCATCACTGCGGACCGGTCCATTCATTCGCAATTGTCGCGTTCATGTACTGTCCCGACCAGTGCGGCAGTGCGCATGCATGATTTTTGGTGCCCACCATCTTACCGAATGTGACAGGGCTGCAGCGCCTTAACCCAAATGTATCGGTACAACATCTATAGCACAGTACGTTTCGCCCCCAACTTGGACAGTATCTGTCGGGTTGAAGGCAAATGCAGTTGCATTCTTTTGGCCCCTATGAAGTATGGCGAGTGCACTGGATTGGCCCTAGGTGTGGCTTTGTCATCACTCGGGCGCATGCTTGCTGTGTAGAGTCCGATAATCCGAATATTTATTGGCACAAATATCATTCTTCTTTAGCAAGGTATTTCATTCATTCGTGCATTCAGTCAACCTCCCCTATTTTGTTCCAATCTTACCCTACTCTACTATTGACACTCAGTATGGCCTCGACACAAACAGTCGCTGTCTTGGAGCAGGCATTCTCAGCCGAACAAGTTCTACTTCCAGGCACCGAGGCCTATAGGAAAGCCAATGAAAATTATCTCTCAGCCTGCCTGAGTGATTACAGTCCTGCAGCATTTTTCCAACCCAGGGACCCAGCCGAGGTGGCTAAGTTTCTGCACCTAGCAAGTGAGCATGACATCCACTTTGCCATCCGCGGTGGTGGCCAGCAGCCACTGGAAGCCTGCTCCAATATCGACAACGGGGTGACACTGGACTTGAGTCTCATCAAGGGTGTCGAGCTCAAGGATGGTAGCGTCTCAGTCGGAGCGGGCGAGCATTGGCTGGCCGTGTACGAGAAAGTCCAAGCCGCCGGGCTGGCCGTGGGAGGAAGTCGATCTGGGAAGGGTGGTATCGGCGGTCTCTCTCTTTCCGGTGGGCTCTCATTCTTCTCCACCCGCGAAGGCTTCATCTGCGATAATGTCATCAACTTCGAGGTCATCACTGCCTCGGGGGAGATTGTACAAGCCAATGCCCATGAGAATGCAGATCTTTGGAAGGCGCTCAAGGGTGGCGGTAACAACTTCGGAGTGGTCACTCGCTTTGATTTGCGCACGTATCCCCAAAAGCCATTCTGGAGCGGCATTGTATTCTACCTTGCCTCCGAAGCCAATTATCCGGGGCAGGTGGAAGCACTTGTCAACGAGGTCACCAAGCCCGACGTCTCAAGTGACACTCATTTCATGGTCAATCTGGGATACTCGAAGCAGTTCGGCGACAACATGATGGGTCTGAATCAGGTCTACTACACCGGGCAGGATGCTGCCGAGCTGTATGGCGCCAATAACGAGGACACGGGCAAGGCCCGGATCCCCCCGATGCTCGAGCCGTTCACCAGCGTCCAACCACAGATTGAGCAGCTCAACTCCTTCAAAATTCAAACTCTGGCACAGGGTGCGACTGAGCATGCCGTCATGTCGTCTGACCGCGTCCGCTGTTCCTACATGAATTGCACACTACGCACAGATACGGTCGCGCTGCTATCGGCAGCTGATATCTACTCTAAAGCCATTGAGCCGTTGAAGGACATTGAGGGTATAACCCTGTGTCTGACACTGCAGGCTTACCCAAAGTCCCTCTTGAGTAAGACTGCTGAGTTGGGCGGCAATGTACTTGGTCTACCATCCCAGGAGCCGCTCGTCACAGTTCTTCTCTTGACTTATTGGAAGAACAGAGAGGACGACAAAAGGATCGTGACGACTCTCCAGGAAGCCCTGACGGACATGGAGAAAGACGCTGATTCCCGCGGACAGAGGGTACCGTACATTTACTTGAATTATACATCCAAGTTTCAGGACCCATTCCCGTCGTACGGTGAAGAGAACAAGAAGTTTCTGCAACAAACCAGCCGCAAATATGATCCAGAAGGACTTTTCCAAAAGAATGTTCCTGGTGGCTTCAAGCTATTTTAAGGTTCTGGTTTGATAATCTAGTCGGCAGTCGTGTTTGTTTGCGAATAAGAAAAATAAATTCAACCATTTCGACAACGATAAAAATATCATTTCTTTGCTTGATCTCTAATTTAAGATTGATTTCCTGCTAAAAACAATAAGAAAATATTTGGAATATGCGACAGTGATCAAAAGAAGAGTGGCTGTCAGGTTCTACCCACGTTGTAATATTGTTGGTGTTTGGCCACCTGGTTTCCAAGGAAAAAAACTTCTACTCGCAATAAACGCACAAGCCGTTATTTTTGGCAAAGCTTTCCATTCCGACGGCCTGTTCTAAATAGGTATGCGTGACGTCTCCAAGGTTTTCTCTGGGCAATAAGGCCACTATCTCTTGAGTATTTCTGACTTGTCTTGGACTTATGCATTACGGAAAATGAAGAGAGAGGTTCTTATTATAGATACGTTCATATGCGGTGCATAATAAGAGGGTTTAAACCAATTTAGTTAAATCAAAATCCACTTTTCCTCCCCCTCCCAAGCATAAGGCCTGCGCAGACTCGGCATCCCGTCCGCTCTGCCTTAAATAAACTAGTAATCGCCGAATTAGTACTCAGGTGGGTAATTATTAGGGAATCCTCGGTGTTATATATTTTTTCGGCTATCTCCTTTCCTTTTTTTTATTTTAAATACAATTAATTATTCTTTTAGACGGATATTACAAATACCTAATAGCCAAATTTAAAGGCTGATCGTACCGCTTTAAAGGATTCTAAAGACAGTGGAAAGTCCAACGGGTTCCTTGGAAATAATATCGAATTTATGGGCCTGTTATTATAACGAGCTAGCTTCCCAACCAAGTAACGCGTAGCTGGATAAGGATAATTCGACCCGCTCAGAATAGTGGCTGCTTCGAAAGGCGTGCGTGCATGACAAACGCAGTCACACTATGCATCATGGTACTACAAATGTTGCGTATAGTCCCCTGTTGCATTCCATCGTTGACTGTGTAACATGAAGCTATCCAACAACCATGTAGGTACTATAGTCTGTATTGCAATCTTTATATAGTACTGTTTATCAACGGACTTGCAGGTGCGGACCCCCATTCATATTGCGGGTTCCAGCCTAACCAACCAGCCAAACAGCAAACCTACCAACCCTGCGTCTTTCACGGCCACCTCACCGGGGACCTGGGCAGCATGTTCGCGCACTTTCAGGTAGTTAAAGTAGTATGACCGATACTGGAGGGCTTGATGAGGTTCGCTTAATGATGGCACGATTTGACATGAACTTGAGGATTTCGCGGCTTGAGGAACCTAGTCTGATGCACTGAGATATCGAAGGTGGGGTCGACGAGGCTAAGTTCCATGACTGAAGCAAAACAGCCATTGCAGTCATGGAACTTTGCATAGCAAACTCTCTGCCTGAATATCCAGTCAGCGACTGTACTTGGGGTGCACGAGTAGCGAGAATAGTGGCCTGCCTATGCATATTCTCCTTCCATCCCCCCAAGGCTGTTTTGCGGTCTGAGACAGTGTTGGAGGGCCGTGGTGCTGGACGGACTGACCTTGTAGCTATTTCTTGGAATAGCATCAAATTGATCGGGCAACATCCTGTCGGACCTGAACTCCTCTGCATTGCCGCCCCAAATTTGAGGATCCCGATGAAGCTTGGAAAGAAGCACAACAATCACCTGATCATTTTCGACCTCCCAACGACTATCGAGCAACGTGCGGCCAGAAGCGTCGTCACTTCTCAGTGTAAGTGCGAACGCGCCGATGGATGGCTGTAGCCGCATGATTTCTTTGATCCATGCTCTGAGATAAGGTAGTTTGTCAATGTGATCTGAAGTCAAGATATCGTTCCCAATGACAGAGTCAATCTCTTCTTGTAGTCTTTTTGACGTACTGACGTAGTCAGTACCCACCGCAGATCACCTGCGTGTGTATATAGTCGCTGTTCAGCACCTCTCTTTTGTAGGCTAGTCTTTGGGTTGGGGGTGGAACGATTCGTTGACCTTGAATCATCTGCACTGGTTGCTGCGGCACCCGTGTCTTACGATGGCGCCAATGAGTCGCGAGACTCAAACTACAAAGAGCGCTTGGTCAGGCCATGAGATTCCGTGCAGGGCTGCCGATCGTTCGCCAACTGCTTGATGCTGGTGCTTGCCTCCAAGGCCATGAGATCGTGGAAGCTGTACGCAACGACGACCAGGAACTCGCAAAGTTCTTGCTTACCCTGGCCGTCGACGTTATCGCACGGGATCCAATCGGTGAAACATTGCTGGACGCCGCTTATCGCAAGAAAGATTTTGATCTGGCTCAGTATTATTTTGACCATGGTGGACAACACAGCTCAAAGGCGCTGCTATTTGCTGTCAATCGGGCTCTTTCAGCGCGCGATTATCATGGCATTGAGGAATTTGTGACAAGGCGGCTTACAGGGCCTCTCGACGAGTGGGAAGCTGCGGGATTTGTGCTGTCAATTTACATGAATAATTCCCGCCTCACAGACTTGTTTCTCTCAGAAACTTTCAGCGCAAGCTCTGCATTATCTCTGTATTGCTGGCATAGAGAACCAAGAAAAGAGGGCCGTTTATGCCGAACAGGTAATGAAAGAGAATATGGACCCGGTGTCAAGCTTGAGTCAATCCAGTCAGAATGTCACAGTGTACGCTGCCCCAACTGCTGCTCACCTTTTACTATGGCTGCGCTTCTGGGACTACGAGACCTTTTGGAAAGGATGATCAACCAAAAGTATCAACCCGACGCTTCTTATCTACTGAAGATTATTTACAAACCAGGGGCTCTGGACAAGAAAATCCAGGAAATTTTGATGAAATCCTTCTTTGATTCGACCGGCACGGACCAATATGTGCATCGCCACATGCTCATGGCCGCAATTGCAAACTCGACGGGACGCGAAACAATTCGTCGACATGTGTCAAATTCAGGATCGTTGAACTTTTCAATCGACGGTTATCGCAATGGTTCGAGTCCACTTTAACTATCAGTCGTGATGGGTGACATAGAAAGCGTTGGAGACTTGCTGGCAGCAGGCGCAACTGTCGACTGGACATCATCGCGCATGCAATGGACAGCTCTGCGTACTGCATTAAGATCGGACAGCTTACAGATTGCGGCGTTGCTGTTAGAAAATGGCGTCGTCGTAGACGGGCTCTCCCATTCATCCATCTGGACCGCAAGAGAAGGGCATTTGAAGACTGTAGAGTTTCTCCTGAATCATGGTCTCGCCATTGATGCTCTGTGGGATAACACTGCCAGATTTGCACCTTATTCGAAATACCTGAATGCCTTGGAAGCAGCAGCAGGCCACGGCAGAATCGACACGGTCGCATTCCTGCTGGCTCGTGGGGCCAAGATACAAGGTCGCGGGAGAGTACATTTCGTACGGGCAGTCAACTTCGCGATTGAGAGCTGCCATCAAGCAACAGCAGATCTTCTCAAGGACAAAGGAGGCTGGAGTCAAGAAGACTAACAGCTTGCACAGAACCGCGGCGATATTCACGAGCATTCATGGCCCCGGGTCCTTTACGATGATCCTTCGTTCATAGGGTGTCGGACTTGCGAGATTATCGCGGAAAACGCTTCCAAAGCCAGACTTTCTGATCGTGCAGAGTCAAACTCTCCCTGGTCAATAATAGACGGCGATCAAGCCGATGACTCGCCAATGTTGGCGGATGAATGGCACACTTTTGAATCGATAGACTGGGTTGTCGTTCCAAACACGACCAAAGACAGGGAGCTGGACGATACGGCTGGGAAATTGGTTGAAGAATTACCGTACGCATCTAGGTCAAGTCTTTCACAAGCAGAATGACAATTTGAAGTCGAATCAGACTTCCGACTTACATGTATTCCATAGGCGCAACATTTTCATCTACTCGAATGACTGAATGATACTATACAATTGCAAAAATGTCATGGCGCCCCGAGCTGCTACGAAAAGCCGGTTCCACTTCGCGGCATTATTGATGTTTCGTTATAGCGAGTATTAGTGACCCCATCCCGCAATGCGGGGCACCGAAGCTACGGCGACATCAGTCTGAGAATCCCGGCACACCCGATCCGATCACATTTGATACCCCAAGACAACACAGCGATTGTAGTATTCATAGCATCTTCGTCGGCCACCATTATTCATCATGGATCCGTCCATTCTCTCTAGTCTCGAAGGCTACCACTCCAAGACTGTCGTCTACAAATCCACATCAGCCGGTGACATAAAATTGGACATTCTGTACCCCGCAGGCGTGTCGGAATTGCCGCGAACCGTTCTGCTTCATTATCACGGTGGCTTTTTGGTTGTTGGCGACCGCTATGCCTTTATCCCTCACTGGCTCGTCAAGGCGGCTACCTCGCGCGGCTGGATCTTTGTCACTCCAGACTACCGCTTGATACCCGAGTCGACAGCGCAGGCCTCAGTAGAAGATGCCTGCGACGCCTATGCATGGGTCTTGTCAAATCTTGCCCGAGAGCTAGACTGCAAAATCGCATCCGTCCTCATGGCAGGCTCCAGCGCTGGAGGGTATCTAGCTCTGACTACAGCTGTGGAAGCAGAGAGAAAGCCCTCCGGCTTGCTCCTGATCTACGGGATGCTCAATCCGACAATCTCTCGGTACACGACTCCAGGAACCAACGTGTTCGGCAGACCGCCCCCGGCTGACACGGCGTCCATTCTTGCAAGGTATCCAATGCATGAGGACGGAGACACCCGCAAGGCAATATCCGCCAACCCAGTAGCAGCAAATCCAGCGGATGAACCACGATTCGATCTTGTTTCTGCACTGCATGTGGACGCGGTCTTCCTCGACTACATGACGGGCATCAAAGGCCTCGGCCGCCTGGTCGCCGAACAAGGTCCCAGCGCCATTTCAGAGGCGCACCGCGACCTGTTCCCGCTTGCCTTTGCCGGCACCCATAAATTATCTAAGCTTCCACAGACCTTTCTTCTCCACGGCCACAATGACTCTGCTGTGCCGGTAGAGCATAGTCTTGAGGCGGCAGAGAGACTGCGTAATGCTGGCGTCCATGTGGATCTAGAGGCACCCGACGATGCTGAGCATGGCTTTGATGGCAAATCTGGGACAACTGACGTGGAATCAACCGAGGGCGAGAAGGTCCACGGATACCAATCTTTACGCAAGGCTATCGCCTTTCTACAACGCGCCTCCTGATTAGGTTAATTTTAGTGTAACAAGCATTCTAAAGTGCAGGCATATTTTTGTCTTCATGAGTATCCAATGCCACCTTCGTGTTCATCTGCAAAATGCTAAGAGTTGAGAAGATGAAGTACCAGGATCAGTGATTGCGAGATCGGCCCAACTATATTGGCTTTGTGCTGAAGGACGCAGCTAGGAGGCCCCATAACCCAGGCTCTTTTGGCCTTCGAAATACTGACTACGCCGTCGCATTCACCAACTTTCTAACGAAGGACGTATTTCTTCTGCAGCAGCACACTGCCGCAGTGCTGAAGCCATAGCGACCAGATCAGGAGATATGGATGGTCACAGCATGACTCAGATTCTGGAGGCATCCCTGCAGACGAAGTAACACAACAAAGAATCACAAAATATGCTATTCTGCAGTCTGCTGCCATTTGAGGAAAATCTTCAATCTCTAAAGATATTACAAGCTTCGCCTTCGACTCAACCTTTTCAGGAGCACAATTCAGCCTATCTCGGTACGAGCAGAATTTCGCCCTTTCTGTAAGACAACAAATTCGCCGAAGATGGAAAAACTGCCTTGGTTCACTCAATCATTGGTCCAGGTCTCCCGGCGACGGCTGAGCCTGCCGCAACGGTCGTACAGAGAGAGCCCCGTGCAACCTCGTCCACCATTACGGTGGTTCGAAAGAAATACGGCAACCTACATGTATTGGCCGTGGCTTAGCACCGGGCATACAAGGTGCCGCGGTCAGCCCCCACTGCAAGTCTTCGGCTCAGCCATCAGAGCCTCGTGCTCTCTAAGCTAGAACTAGACGTGGCTCTTTTTATTTGATCAACTTTCCAGCTCCCCGTCATCAGTCGCAGGATATTTTCGCATTTATCAATTGATACAAATCGCGGATAAAGCCTGATTGGTACTCATGGAGCCAGCACTCATCAAGAGCGGTGCGCCATCCTTCAGAAGACGGCTCCTATACACAATCCTATATTATGTTCAGATCGCCATTCGATTGTTTCGCCTGCATGTCCTCAGATACTGGCTCCATCCCAGAGAAAAACCTAAAGTCGCTCTGTATCACGACCGCGGGGTGGCTCTAATCCAGTCTGTTATCCACTTGGTCCCGCTGAGCGTCGTCGTGGCCTTTATCGTGATCAACATCAAATCGTGGTACTGGGGCGACGCATCGAGTACGGTGCTCACAACCCTCCAGTTTGCTGCTAAGGCCTTGGAAATCCTGATGCAGACTTCTCTGGGAATGATCTTGATGAGCTTCATTCGCTCCCAATTATTCGGAGATAGCGGTCTGCCTTTGGGAAGCCTACTAGGACCTTACAGCGTGAACGATGTCGCGTACCTATGGTCGTTGGAATTCTGGGGAGGCCTTGTCTCTAAACATGCCCGCATAGGGCAAAGACTTGTCATCGGGCTGGTAATAGCAGCTTTGATCATCTTGGCATCGCTAGTCGGACCGTCCATTGCTGTTTTACTGATTCCGAGGCCGATAGACTATGTAACTGGGCGCTACCTTCAGCTGTTAGATGGACAAGCAACCATATTTCCCGAGCAAGTCCACTTGCAGGGGGGAAACCTCAAGTAGGAGCACTTACTCATTCCCGCAGTCATGTTGGGCTGTTCTTGCTGAGACTCGTACAGGAATGAAGGTGCTTTTCGAGACGCATTGTATCAGCTTCTCCAAAATCGGGATCAAGACTTCAAGTTCATCGATCAGTACAATATGGGCCGTATAATGCCGTCCGCTGCTAACACACCAGTTTTGCCCCCTTCAGACTCTTCCAGTGGTCCGACCTCCGAAGACCGAGGCTGGTACGTCGGGACCCTAGGAGCGACTCTGGTATCAATGGCTATGCATTTTCCGAACTGGCATATCGTCGGAAAATCATTGAAGTCCATATACGCAATACCGATCAAGGATTCCCTGAGGACAACTACCTTCCAAACGTATGTGAAAGTAATATGTCAGTCAAGGTACTGGAGCAAAATTTGGAAAGAAGATTATGCAGCATTCGGTGATATAGGTCCGGAGGTTACAAACATCACATTTGCAGACCTTGACGAGATCATGTACTCGGCTGGCCCTGACAACGATGGAATGGAATACGGCATCGCTTGGTTCGCCGCACCCTTACAAGCATCCAACCACTCCATACTGATGGCGAGGGGATCTCGACCAGTGACAGATCCCCTCAGCCAGAATCACACTGTCGACACTTGCACTATCGACGCCGTCTGGTTAAAGACGAACATGAATTCGGCTGCAGATCGGAACTCGGAAATAGTGATCAACTCTGAATTGCTTCCCGCGGACAGGCAACAGTTCGGCTACCAACCGATCAAGATTCCTGCCGATTGGGCTTCAAGGGTGGTCGACATCTTTCTGGAAAGTCAATCACATGTTACTGATATGCAGACGGAAAAGGTCTTTGCTCTGGCCTTGGCAAATGCCGCCCCGATTCCACATCATGCTTTTGGTCCGCAACCCGTAGGGTGGAAAGATTGCCCCTCCTTGTGCTGGGGTCAACCTCTCGAATGGCTCGATATGTCCCAGACACAGTACGATGCGGCGAAAGCTTACCTCGATTCGAATGAGGACATTCTTTCCAAGCACAACGATGTCTTCTTCTACACAACCAGTAATTGGAGCGATCCCGAGAGCCTCTACCATCTCGAGGTGGAGACCTACCTCCACGGCTATGGTTATGACAGCTCCAGGGTTCCGGTTATCCTGTCTTTGATAGTCTTGTCCATATATGCTTTCGTGGTGATCATACACCTTCTGTATACCTTTGTCACGGGCAGTGTTGGGAGATCGTGGGATACGCTTGCCGAGCTTCTGCTGTTGGGCCTTCACTCACAGCCTCCCGGAGTAGCGGCCACGTCTAATACAACAGTGGGCATTGAGACAATGGCACCTTTTGAGGAGCCTGTCGGTGTAAGGGTAAATAAAAACGGAGGCGTAGAATTGCTCTTTTTGAGGGACAATCTAATCAATAAGAGGGCGCTAGGACGAGTTGAAGCTAATAAAGCGTATTGATGAGCTTGCTTACATGGCAACTTTCTTTGTAGTTGAAATTGGCGGAGAGGGTTTGAGATTCTCCTACAAGAGAACATTGCCGATTTCGCAAAACATTTTTAGACAAATCTGGAATTGCAGTTTCCCGGTGTTCATTGATTTGACCAGACATCTAAACTTTTGGATTCGTCTCAAGATTCGTCGTCAAGGAGCAATATCATCTTGGGGTTCCCAGACGGGAATCGGCCAGCATTGAAACGCTCTCGTCGCCGAGATTGCATCTTGCTCTCGCCCGTTGCCAGCGGTGCTGCATTTGTTCCTCATTCGTATCTCGGACGTTCGCGACATGCCAGATGAAAGCAGTGTAACATGAGTGCGTCACCATCAGTGTCTGGAGTCGCAACAATCGAGTAAGTGGTCTTTAAGCAGTAGGCACAGGTAGCCTAATCGACTTGGTGCGGCTACCTAGCTGAGGATCCTGCCAACACTAGAAGCGGCCTTGGCAGAACTATACCTGTCAAGCACCCCATTATGCCAGAGCAATTGCGGACAAACTCCTCTCAGATGTGCTTCTGACGACGGAACGCCCTATATAAACCGAAGTCGTCCAAAAAGAAGCTAGCTGATGTCAAGGAAATCCGCAAATTCAGACAACCAAAGCCGACATGGTCACCACAGCATAGACTGGCCATCCTAACTCAAGACTCTCATGAATGACTTGTGTGTTCCTAATCAAATCGCAGAAGGGGTGTCCCTCAAAATAGCAATTGTACGTTGAGGATTCATCATAGTCATCATTGTGTTTCCTTCGTGGACAGCTACGATAGACCTCGTAGGTCAATTTCTGACACACGGAGAGCACGTTGACCTCTAGTGGGGTCATTGGCGTTGGGTACTCTCAGTGCTGAAATCCGCACCTGGGGGTCTTGCCGGAGTGCGGGGTTGTTGCGGGGAAAACTGAAGGAATGCTGTAGCACTGGACTATACAGTTTATCCAGGATCCTGAGGGAGGTCTTCCACAATGAGGAATTTTAGAAATTTAAATTCTAAAGGCTTTTTGTGTCGTGTACGGTGGTCATATTCTTGCTACATTCAAATTAATTTGACTCGAGCAATTTTGAGATTTCCACAGATGTCTACAGATCAAGGTTCAAGTAGTTACGAGCGTGGCTAATCATTTCGCAAATGCTAGTAGTCCCAACTACCCGGAGTTGCCGGAAAGACTCTCACCACAAAAATTTCGATTTGCATAAATTGTTGAGTAGGGAACCAGCATGCATACGGACCTTTGCTGCGCTGTCAAGTCTAGGATGCTTGCATGGTGAGTACCACATGGGATCAAGTTGATTGCCGACCATGTGCGTCGTGACACATTTGCTGAGATGCTTAGTGCGCAACAATCCAGGCATTCAGCGACTGATGAAAAGATGAAATCATCGGCAATGGCTGTGGGAAAAAAAAAAAAAATTAAAAAGGGTTTTTTTTTGTTTATTGACTTAAGAATTTTCTGAATTCATTGGGACTGAATATCATCATACTAATTGAAGTTGTGGGAGGAAAAACAACTGGTCTGTAAGTAAAGCCTACATGCTGTCAACATTGAAATTATTCATACATTATACGTACCCACCGTAGGGTGAGGTACCTAGCCTTCCAGCTGTTTAACGTCCTAGTTCAACCCCGCTTGCCCTCCGCTTGCCCCTGATCGACTATGCCAGTTTGCAAAAGGGAAGCAGACAGGACTTGCCTGTTGCTTGCCACTGTCTCTCATCAGAGCCGTCCAACGCGGACGTGTGCAAGGACGTGCTGGTGTCATGAATGAGTTCTGGTTGGCCTTCTCCGATCTACCTCACCTTCCGTGGAATGATCTGGAAAAGTTGCCCTCCGCAAAGACATGCGATTGCCTCCCGCCTGAAGCAGCTGCAGCCCTAACATATACTACAAGCTGCGTACCTGCTAAATACCCCTCAAAGCAGCAATGGCCTAAGCAATGGCGGCCCCGCGCGGGCACGGCGGGCGGGGCGAGATGATGTCAAAAAAAGTTCCCGCCTCACAGCATTTGTCTCTGACCTGCATGGGCGTACCACTGATTCTGGCCAATCTCATGGCCAAATGCAAGGCGATCTGCTCACCGACTTGTGGGCCAAGGCACAGGTGAAGCATGTTTGGTTGTCTGGCGATCTTAGAAGGAGCAAAAGAAACCCTAAAGCAAAAAAGGTACGCAAGGAAGGAACCTTGCAGAGAGCTTGCACGGAGCTATCGTGGGGCTCATGCCATAAACCTGGAAGTCGCCTGTCTCAGATCTTAAGGGTGACTTTCTTCCCATCGTTTGCCAACTTCTAAACTTCAACTCAACACCATAACAACATCCAATCAGAACTTGCACACAGAAGCCAACATCCTACCTTGAGAAAGAGGACAGACGAATCGTCAAAATGGTAATTGATCAGCTTTCTGTTCCAACACAAGCTCCGTTTGAATCTAGCTAGAGCTAGTCACTGACGTAACATACTGTGACAGGTTCAAACATATTTCGACATCGGTTACAAGAGCCGTAGGTCCTCGATTGCCTCCTCATGACAGCCAGCCGTGACTGACCTTTTTTGAAGCTTCGGGTGCTCAAGAGGACTGGGGACGTATCGTCTTTGACCTGTATGACGATGTGCCCAAGACAACCGAGAACTTCAGAGCTCTCTGCACCGGCGAGAAGGGCTACGGCTATGCTGGAAGTGACTTCCACCGTGTCATTGCCAAGTTCATGGCCCAGGGCGGTGACTTTACCCGTGGTAACGTACGCTCAAACCCAACCCCCACCCCAAAAGACCCAATTGCCTCGCCCACTGATAAAAACCGTTACTGACTGTAAAAAACAGGGAACCGGTGGCAAGTCCATCTACGGTGAGAAGTTCGAGGACGAGAACTTCAACCACAAGCACAACAAGCCCAATCTGCTGAGCATGGCCAACGCCGGCAAGAACACCAACGGCTCGCAATTCTTCATCACCTTTGTCCCCACTCCTCACCTCGACGGCAAGCACGTCGTCTTTGGCGAGGTTGCCAGCGGCCAGGACATTATCCAGAAGATGGAGGAAGTGTCTCTCGACAATACCGGCAAGACCAAGGGAACCGTTTCCATCAAGGCTTCTGGACAGTTGTAAGCAGAATGCACATGGCACAAAGACGGGGCTGGTTTTGACACAAAAGCTATTATGATATTCGGACCCTAGCCTGTTTCAAGCTAGATTTAAAATCAATCACTTCGTCGCCTTGGTCTCTTACGTTGTCCTGTATGATGATAAACGACGTTCTTGATGGTACTTACAGTGACAAGACTTGACATGCGTAGTTCATTCTACTGAAGCCGAAGAGCTCTCATCAACGTCTAATCTCACAACTCATCTGGATGGCGATACTAAACTCCGCAATTTTCAACCAATGAGCTTCAACGTGGCCGGGAGTTGCAACATCGTATTATACAGTCGACTCGTGAGTTTGCGTTATTGAATGACGAGACCAATCAGCATCAATTCATACATGGGTGTAGTATCTGCTCAAAAGTCTCGGCACGGATGCCGTATTCATGTCTTGGCACTATGCGACTCCAAGCTGCTCTTGACCCTAGTCGACCTGCCATTTTGAGCAAATATCATAAAAATACGAGGAAAGTGGAGCGATCTCAATGCGACTGACCAGGGGCAGCCCTCGCTAACCATTAGAATACGGATATAATCAAAACGAACAAAGATAACTTGACGATAGAGAAACAAGTATAAGTAAAAGATATGGCGCTCTGACTGTGCTTTGCAGACAATGAGCAACCGCTTCAGACGTCAACCTTGAATTTTTGGAATCGATAACATGAGGTCCTTTGCACTCGCCGTCATCTTTGCTGGCGTTGACCAGGTCTTGGCGACTCGCGCGCGATGCCTGGTTGGTGATGAGGAGGGTACCGCCCAATCATGGGGTCTCTCACGCATCGCAGCCACAAGCCAACCGAAAGCCAGTGCCCTGCCATCAGAGATCGCCGTCGACGTGCACTTTCACATCACCAGCACGACAGATTATGCTAATCTTGTGACCGACGAGATCATTGCTGCGCAGTGGGAAATCCTGCGCGACACCTATGCCGACTACAATATCACTCTGACGCTGGTGTCCACCGAGAGCATCGTCGACGACCTGGCCGGCGCGGGTTGGCTGGTCTTCAACGGCACGGCCTGGAATAACTATCCCGAGGAGCAAAAGGCCTTTTTCAACAGCACGCGCAAGGGCGGCTACGATGATCTCAACCTCTACTTCTTTGCGCCTTGGTCGCCCGGCGCCTCTGGGTACTGCACGTTCCCGACAACGGTGGCCGGAGCTCTGCCGCAGCCGGGCGACGAGGCCTTTTATACCGATCTATGCGAGATTAGCGCCTTGAGCATGCCCGGCGTGCCGGCCGACAATGCGACGCTGGACGGGTACTATTACGGCCATGTCGCGATCCACGAGACGGGCCACTGGTTCGGCTTGAACCACACCTTTGCCGGTGGTTGCAACGAGCCGGGCGATTTTGTTGCCGACACTCCGGCTACTGGGATCGTCTATGATTGTCCCGCGCAGTCGGATACGTGCCCGGATGTGGCTGGACTGGACCCGATCTATAATTTCATGTCCTACACCAATGACACCTGGTAAGTGATATTCGTCTATAGGACGCCACCTGCAATGGCTACCACAGTCCACAATTGCCATGACTAACATCATTTTATTCCAGCACTTCTGAGTTCACTCCCGGCCAGAAGGATCGCATGTTTGAGACCTTCTTCTCATATAGACGAATTAGCGCGTAGGATACCCAACATGATTTCAAGTAGTTGAATTGTCATTGTTTTCTTGCTGTAGGGGCTATTGGAGTGCACGGAATAATCTATGCAAGATGATTACAAACTTGGTATTTTATGCGTTTCAAGTGTGAATATCTATAGTGATGCTTCCAGCTTCTCGACACCCCCAAGCAAAAGCGGGTGCCACTTTGCCCAATCCGCCTCGGGCAGTCTGCCCTTGAGCGGCAGACGCGCCACATCAGGGTTGCCAAAGCCAGCAACCCGGTGGACGGCCTCCTTGATGCCGAGGATGCCAAACTTGCCAATAAACTCCTGCGCCCTGCTCACGGCAAACTGCAGCTTCTGGGCCTCGTCGAGCGCGGCCTGGTCCACGGGCCGCTTCTCGGCCAGATCCATGAGCCGGACCACCGTCTTGGGGTACCAGGCCGCCATGCCGTCAATGACTCCGGCGGCGCCAAAGTGCACAATGGGTCCGAGCTGCTGGCCGAAACCACTGTAGACCTTGAACTTTTTGTGGTCAATCTCTGGGTCCAGCGCAACTTGGACGTGATGCGATACATTTCCGTGCGACCTTTTGGTTTGACATTAGTTGTGCCCTCTCTACTGTGGGCTACAGTTCTCAGACTCACATTTTGCATCCTACAATGTTGGGGTGTTGCGCCAAGGCTGTGTATGTCTCGGGAGCAACGACAACCTGGTTTGTAACGCCAGGGTAATTGTATCTGTCTCCAATTAGCCAATGTGCCGTATTCAAATGCCCGGGCTGGAAATCCTACATTAAAATGGGGATAGGGCTGTTGTCTGCGATTAGAGTGTACCACTCCTTGATATTCTCCTGGTTGGCAGCAGTGCCAAAGTAACCAGGGACGAGGACCAGACCCCACTGGGCTCCGGCCTCCTTGTAGTCGCGCAACCACTCGAGCGTCTCGTCGACGCCATTGGTGAGCACACCGGCCATGATGGGATAGTCCTTGTAGCCGGCGGCCTCGAGCCCCTGCTTGACGCCGGCGACGAGATCCTTTCTCTCGCTGCGGGACAGGTGAATGGCCTCGCCCGTGGAGCCCAGGAGCACCAGGCCCCGGATGCCATTCTTGGCCAGGAACACGCCGTGCTCGGTCTGCGTCTTGATGTCGACCTTTGGCTGGAGCTCACCTGGCGCCGGCGCGAAGAAGGTGGGGACGGGGACGTAGACGCCCGTGGGCGGACTTGAGACGGAAGCCATTGTGAGATTTGTGATATATGCAACAGTCACTCCAAAGGAAACCAAAAAAGATCGATGGTGAAAGTAAAGGATCAATTCAAATGTCCAAAGAAAGGGATTTTACTTTGTCACAATCAATATGTCGTGATTCCATGTCACTGCGAATACGGTGCCTCCATGATGGGTCTATTCAGTCGGCACGTGAGTGGTTTCGGCCGGCTATACCCCGAAACCCCTCAGCTACGCAGCTTTCGTGATGGGGCCCGCTGAATCACCTGGAGGGGAGCTGGCTGGAGCTCTAACTAGATAAAACGGAAGACTCGAGGCCTAAAATCAAGTAACCAAAAAACGTACATGGCTCAGAGTGGCCTGATTCAGATTTACCTAACGCATCATGAGGTATATTAGATGCAACGGCCCGCCAAGGCTCGAATTCTCTGAGAGTCAATTGGCGAGCCGAACCGAGCGAGCATTTCCGAAGTTCGTCCCCGATGAGGCCCCCGATGACTTGCCCCCACGTATCCCGCGGGGTAGTGTACGGAGACCCAGTAGTGTAGCCAGACCACCAAACATTGACGATTTAACTCTCGTGACTGGGTGTAGACAAACGACGAATAAAAAAACAAAACCAAGTGTCTACTTTTGAAGTTTGAGCACACTTGAGCTCTTGTGCTGACCGTGACAAAATCTTTGAAAGACACAATCCCCAGCGTTTCGATCATTCAGACTTGCCAACATGGGGAAGATTGCTTCAATGGAGTATTTCCGCGTACCACCTCGTTGGTTATTTGTGAAAATAGTCGACGAGGATGGCAATGTTGGCTGGGGCGAGGCGTCACTAGAAGGCCATACCCAGGCCGTAGAGGGATGCCTCGATGCATGGTTTGAACGCTACAGAGGATTTGAAGCCGAGTGCGTAACGCAATTCCCAAATGCTTCCAAATCATGACCAATGTCGAAGCACACAGTACCCAGAATGAAAAATGGCATTGGCTTATTTGTTTATGAACAGTGATATCGAGCACATATGGCAAATGTCGTGGCGCACAACTTTCTACCGCGGAGGGCCAGTCTTCATGAGTGCTCTGTCGGGCATCGATATAGCTCTCTGGGATCTCAAAGGTGAGACTCGAGACATTGATGCATACTGGAAGTCTATTGACTGGTAATGATAGCACGCAAACTCGGCGTACCCATCTATCAACTTTTGGGCGGAAAGGTCAGGGATACGCTGAAAGTCTATGCCTGGATTGGAGGGGACAGACCTGGCGATGTCGAGGTACAGGCGTGAGTTCCCTACAAAGTGTACATGCATGCAGCCCATGCATCCACTAACAAAGTCACAGGAAAGCTCGACAGGAGCAGGGTTTCCTCTCCGTCAAAATGAACGGAACCGAAGACCTAGGCTGGCTGGACTCTCCATCTGCCTTGGACGACTGCGTCGAGAGGGTGAAAGCCGTCAGGGCCTTGGGAATGGATGCCGGCGTCGACTTTCACGGCCGCGTCCACCTGCCCATGGCCAAGCAACTGGCCAAGAAGCTCGAACCGCACTCACCAATGTTCATTGAAGAGCCGCTGCTTTCTGAACATATTGGCGGAATCGAGACACTATCAAAACTGACAAGTATCCCGATTGCGCTGGGGGAGCGTCTCCACAGCAGATGGGACGTTCGCCCGTTTCTGGAAAAGGGCGTCGTGGATATCTTGCAGCCCGACGTCTGTCACGTTGGTGGCATATCTGAACTGCGCAGAATCGCTGCCATGGCCGAGGCCTACGATGTTGCCCTGGCTCCCCACTGCCCCTTGGGTCCCATTGCTCTGGCTGCATGCGTGCAGGTCGACTTGACGTGCCCAAACTTTGCGATTCAGGAAATGAGTCTCGGCATTCATTACAACAGCACTGGACAAGATCTGACGAGCTACCATACTAATCCTGAAGTCTGGAAGGTGGATAAAGGCTACATTAATATTCTCAAAGGCCCCGGCCTCGGCATTGAGATTGACGAGGAAGAGGTACGTCGGCTGTCCAAGGACGCCTCGGCTTGGGTAAGCCCTGGGTTTATTGGTCCCGGAGGAGAGATTCGCGAATGGTGATACATGATCACTAGGTATCTCTAGAAAATGAATGATACAAAATGCCTAACACTAAATATCCGCTCAATACTTGGCTTGCAGGACTTAGAAAATCGCGACAGCGTTCGGTGGACTAGCCACGCCGCCTGGGACCTAGAATAAATCAGTAACCTGGCGTGCATGGTTGTCGTCTTGGAGGAGTCATACCTTTAATGGGACGGAACTGACAAAGAATGACCACCTACCCAATTCCTCGCATTTCCTAGCCAGTGCCTCAAGATCAAACATTTCCCCAATCGGCAATCCCCAGCCGCCCAAGAGCCATTGATGAAGTAGTCCACCTCCCTGCATCTCTTCTTCCCACTTCTCGCCCTTCCAGGCGAGACCCAGCGCCGTGTGGGGACCAGCAATGGGCGCCCTTTCAAAACTCGGCATGTCGCCAGCGACAGCCACAAAGCCAGACTCCCAGATCCAGCGCAGGACTTCAGCGGTAGGCTCGACGCCGAGGAAATCCGGAGACGGGCGCTGCGGAATCGCCTTTTGCTCGGCCATGCTCAGCTGGTCGTAGGCGGCCGTGAAGCCCGAGCGGATAAAGAGGACATCGCCGTCCCGAAGCTCTAGATGCGCCTCGGCGGCCATCTGCTGCAGGTGCGCGAGCGGGATCGAGGACGAGGTGAGCGCCGACAGGGGCAGCGAGTGCCGAGAGCAGAAGGCGACATAGTCTAGCAAAACACCACGGCTCACAATGCCTCCCTTTTCAACCCAGGCATCGATGCCAATCGCTGATGGATCGTCAAGCTCGTCCTGGGTATGTCCACCATAGTACTTTTTGGCTTTTTGGTACCCTTTTCAGTTCCTGGTCAGCACGCCCCGAGTTCAGGTAGCATTCAAACAACAGCCCAGCTCACCATAGTGTCTGAAACCATCCCACTGCGAGCTTCCCTGGGTATTGAAATTCAAATGATCGTCATTCACGGTGCGCAACTCGCCGTTGGGATGCGCCCGGTTGGTCATGGCCCAGCCAAACGACGGCCGGTCAAAACTCGGGTATGATGGCTTGTCCAGGGACCAGTCGAGCGACACGCGCTCGCCCGTCCGAATCTCGTCCCGCGCAGCCGCCGCCACGACCGCCGGCGTCAGCATGTTGAGCGCGCCAAGCTTGTCATTGTGCCCGTATAGTCCCCAGGCGTTGCCCGGAGGCCCCTCGGGATCGAGGGGGAGGGTGGAGAAGGGTGGCCGTTTTTGGATTGCTGGTGGTGCCGCCATCATGGATGAATACAAGCTGCTCGCTATTAGAATGGATAAAGCCAAGAAATGATTTGCTTGTAATTAAACCTCACGAATGGACATTGAAGTGATCATGATATTTCGGATATCCTAGCTCTAATCGCCCCGACGTGCCGAAAGGGAATTCCGATTATAGGCGGCGATGGGCCGCCCGGAAAAGCCAACCCAGCTGCTGCGGAGAGGGGGCCGAAAACCGAAGACCTCGCCCACCATTTGCCCGAGAGATAGCGATTTCGCTCATATCCGGCTTGCTGCATCTCAACAATTTGTGGTCAACAAAATATGATACAAAAGACTTGAAAACATCATGCGTTGGATTTTAGATACTGCATATCTGCAAAGCCCAAAAAATGGCAACGTATCATATTCTTTTCCGATTACATCAATTGAGGGTTTGCGCACTCACTCACTCTCAAGCTTTATAAATGGGGCACTAACACGCTATAGCCAGCAGCCAGCCTGTAATAAAACAAGTAGTATGTATAGCCATGTTCACCAAGACACAGATCGTACGCCCTCAGACTCCCCATTCATTACAGACTGAAATTGACCACGCACTCGATTTCGTAACGACGATGTGTCGAATGTGGTGTGACTCTCTTGTGGCAATCGTGTCTGCGATTTCTTGTTGGGCGTGGCGAGACTTTGAAGCTCGTACCCGTTCCGCGCAAATGACCGTACACATCCAGCACAATACATTGCCGCCTTGTCCTTTCTCTCAAGCCTCCACGTGGTGATGAGCTTCAGAGCCGACCAGGCCGTCGTCAGGAAAACCAGGTCGGCAAGGATTATGGCCACTATCAGCGATCCCGTCGATTTCAACTCTGGCACTTGGCATATGTATTGCACGTAAAACGTCGAGGGCCGCACCCCCAGCTCACGAGACATGCCGTGGCTGGTCAGATTGTCAAAGCTACTTTTTGCGTAGTCCCAACTGAGCGTACCATAGCTATGATTCGGCTGGAAGTCTTTGGTATACAATTGTAAAACTTCAGGATCGCTCGCCAGTGTCGACATATTCTGGCCGAGGTCAGACATGATGAAAGAATAGAAAGATTTCGCAAAGGCGTCGTCCTGGATGGACATGTTTGGATAGGCGCCCGATTCCGTCCATTTTGTCACACTTTGCTCCGAGTTAAATACTTCGCGGCCGCTCTTGAGATATATGAACGATGACCAGGTGAAGAAGTCACTGCTGGTTATATCATGGCAAGAATCATTCCTGTGGAAAGCTAAATAGTTGCACCGTGTCAGCTGGGCTTCCCATGGTGAAATTGCTTTTTCGCAACCTGCCTTGCCAGCCCTTCATAAGAACACTGGATTCATGTTCCACATGTGAGATTGAGTCAAGTACAGAAGCGGCGTCGACACCGTGATATTTCCTTGGACATGTCAGTATCCCCGACAAAGGAAGGAATGTGCGGGTTATTTCGGACTTTGGCCACGTACAAAAGTGCCCATGACCACCACAACGAAGGATCACTGGATTGGTTCACCTGCAGAACGGGCCACGTCGCGGTTGGATCAAAATTGGCACGAAGCTGGAATGTCGTGAGTGTCGATTCATGAACTGTTTGGCATATCACAACCCCCTAGTAACATATCAATTTTGGACAATGCAAGAGAGCCTCTTGAATGCAGCCCAATTGACAGAATGGGTATACATACAGATAACGACGGGTTCCATGCGGCTCGTGCTACAGATACGGCGGTCCGATCTTCCAGACTCTCAATGAGCATTTCAATCCCATTTAGGGTACAGTTTTGTAGAGGATTGCTTGAGTAGACAAGGACTGGAGCTGTGGTGTCATTCTCGGACCCAATATCTCGCTGCTTGGCCCATTCCAGCTCGTTGTTCAAAGCAAGTTTATCTGTGTACATTGCTGAATCACCAATCAGCTTGGATTCTCACACGACGGCAGTAATTTATGGTGTGTTTACATTGACCAACCTGAAGTGACGCAGGCTCACACTTTGTAGAAGGCTGCCATTAAGTTTAGCTTTACGGCAAGCAAATATAGAATCGACTCGTCTAGGTACTCTGTCCATGAGGTTGAAAGGGCTGCGGTCGAACCAGTGTTTTGTTGAGATAGTCTCGTTGAAATCCGTTGTATAAACGACCCTGGGTGATGCGGTCAGCATTCATTCCCCTTGAAGTACAATAAACCGAGACACACTTGAGATTATATCCTGTCACCGCCACGTTGATTGTTGAGAATATTGCAGTCAACGCGATCCCGCCGAGAATCGCCGTCCAAGCGAACCACTTGTGTGGATATTCTCGCTCCAGCGCGTACGATACTTTGGGCTGCCACATGTTGCGGAAGGATACTCTTCTGAATAAGACCTCAAAATCACCAATTGATATCTGCAACGGCGAGAGAAATCGTCGACCTAGTTATTTCCGTGGCGACAACTATCCGTCGAGCTAATGAATGGATCTCGAGATACAAATGAGCAATGCGATGCTTCTAGATATGAAGTATTACGGTTGATTGCAGAAAAGCTTTCATATGAATAATTACCAATTCTTGATGTGTGCGTAGGATTTCGCAATGGTTCGCAACGAGCCGCCTTAACTCAATTAGCCAGTGAGGATGAGGCAACCGTAGTGACGACAACCGCATTGACTGCCCCCAATCTCAATCTCCAATATATTTAGCATGCGCCGTCCAGCGTTTATGAACACCAATCAGGGTGCATGCTGTATCTTTTGAACCAAACTGCTCATCACGCATACGGGCGGCGTGGAAACAGGGGTAATCGCACTACGAACCATTCAGATCGCAAAGTCATGTTCATCAAGCACATACAGGGCAATTGGGGGACGCTCAACCCAGTTTTGAAAAGAGGTTGATGCGGTCACAGCCCCCACAATTTGGGCTCACGATCCAAGTGAATACTACCTAGCCACTGGCATCATATTCAGTAAGGAGGCAGTCGGCATTTGGCCCCAATGTAAAAAATACTCGCAGCTTTATTATTTCGGAAACTGCGCCGGCGGAAATAAAGGATGTCAGCTTTGGTCTCCCAAAGGAAAAGAGAAAAAGAAGAGAGAAAAACCCCAGCTCGGAGCTGAGGACAAGTATCTACCAGGGTACTAAGATTATAAAGGAAGGCTATGGCCAGTCGAATATCCAAAGGACGTTACATCATACCTAGGAGCTAAAGCTTATGTAACACTGCTGAAATATTGAATTGTTACAGTACACAAAAATAGATACTTTACATGAGTCCTTTCCTGGAGACGCTCAACAGCTAGTCTTGATACTCGCCGTGGTGCACGCTGTACCCGTAGGTCCACTAGCCGTCTTGGACGGTTCAGCACCACTATCATTGCCCTCGTACTCCCAGCAGATGGCGCCATCCACGCAACTGCTATATATGTACGTGGTATCGCCATAGTTACCATTGACGCCAGCCACCACGTCGGCGCCCGTGACGTAGATGTTATTAAAGGTGCTGTGCCGCGCGTACTGGCTGTCGCAGTTGCCGCACGAGCGGTAGACCTTGCCCACCGTGTCGGCCCAAAAGTTCTTGACGGCCACGGTGCCGGCGCCATTGTGCTGGAGCACCTTGTCCTCGGCGTTGCGGGCGCCGCCGCCGTTGACGTACGAGATGCCCGACGACGAGGTGCCCTTGAAGGTTGCCGCGTCCTCGCAAACGTCGGTCCACCAGCTAATTATGTTTACTCGGGTTAAAAATACTGCAATTGATATTGAAAAGGGGTGGGGAAGGACGACGTACACATTGTTCAGAGTGCAGGTACCCAAGCAGTGGACACCCTCGCCATTGTTCGGGCCTGTGCCAATAGGTCAGTATATATATACACTCCCTAGCATGTCTACCTAGATAAGGTAAGGGAGCATCAGTCCATAATGTTTAGAATACCTACCAATGATAGCATTGCTCAAAACAGCCCCATCCTCTAGGAGGAAGACAGCATCAGAATCGCCGCCCTCGGCTTGTTCATTACAAGTGCTAGGGCTTCGATCCCACTGGTACATGCCCCCGTCAAAGGTCGCCCCGGCGGCAATCGTCTTGACCGCTGCCAAGGCACTTGTCCCCGACGACGCGGGGAACGCGGTTTGCAGATTGGTATTCGTCGTGGCAGCCGAGGCCGCGGCCGCCAGGCCAAGCAGAGCACCGAGAATGATCGACATTGATTTTGCAAATGAAAAAATTGACTATGGCCGTGCCAAGGATAAAAGGGTAAGGGATAGTTGTTTTACTGCGACAAGACCTTGCGTGCCCAGATCATCTTCCAATATAGCGCCAAGAGTCGAGGAATTATTGCTTTATATGTTCAAGACGTTTGCCAAGGAAGCTTGTACAAAAGCTTCTTTCTTGTTCGAGTGCCAAGAGATATTGCGTGGACTGTTGATTCCTTTTCCTATGCGATGTTTATCATGTACCACCATCGCAAAGCAAACGCCGGCTTGGCGTTTTGTAATGACGAGTCAAACAATCATGTTTGCACGAATGGCGTGCTCAGTATCTCTCGAATGAATGGTAGAATCCCATTTTGGGCCAAGGAGAGCACACCCCGTTTTGTGGCGATGAAAGGGGTTAATACTACAATGGCACGCGGCGCCAGGGACCTTGAAGCTACTTCGGTAATCAATGATTGTCCCCACGGCTTGAAAGAGATTTTGATGACCTCAGACATATCCAGGGCTGTGCTAGCCACGGGAGAGGATACAATGGGGATGTTTGCGCTTGTGCACGTGGTTGGTGGGAGTTTTGTTAGAAATTTGGGTGTCTATTTCCCCCTCAATTAGGGACTTTCTTTTTCTGGCTTTCATTCATGCTTTGCTACAGGGTTTCTTGCCATGACTATCCTGATATTAATAAAAAATGCCGGGCGTTTGGTGGATGCTATTGGAGGACGTTTCATTCTGGAATATGGGGAATCCTGGTCGAGTCCTGCTGATCGGATTGGCCACTGTCGAGCCCCGTACTCACGGCAACAACCTTGGAGGCAACCAGGAGTACTCTTTGTCCCGTTTCCATGGTTTAGATATAGTCCTGCTGCCGAATACCAAGATGATTTGCCATGCGAGACTGGTGTTTTCATGGAACGAAACAAACTAGTTCAGGATTATTCTATGCAGTTTTATTGTGTCTCTCATCGGGTTCTGCCATCCAGAACCATTGTTTGATATAGTAGCGACTAACTAATATGGGTATCTTCAAGAACAATGCATTTCACTCAAGACCTGCCCGCCCAATGCTCACCGCTGTGCTATGCGGCATCAGAATTAAAACGCAGTCTTTTAGCAAATCTTTTCCCCGAAACTCCGCTCCTACTGTCCCGTTTTCGCCCATTCAACTCAACAATTACTGAATGGTGGACGACTATATCGTCAATGCCCGTGCCGGAAGTTGAAATGCAATCTTCATTCGCATCCGAGAATATATCGAGTCTTGTTCTGCTCGAAGTCTCTGCGCTATCCGGTAATTCTTGGTGAGCCGGCAACTGTGTCTCTGTCTCTGGAAACATTTCAATAATGTCGGGTACGTCGTTTACCTCAACTTCATCGGCTGCTGAGCTGTTATCGAATAGGGAACCGAACCAAGCCTCTCGAATGGCTAGACCTAGAGCGAGAGCAACTTGCCGTGCTACACTGTTGCCAACAATGTACCACTGTTGGCGAGGCGTACCCGTAATCACTTCGTGGTCTAAGAAGCCTTGAGCCCTACGAACCTCCATCACAGACAAGGGACGGTCCTGTGACCAGTGACTGACTTGACCCACGTGGCGGTCTGTCGGTCCACATGCGGTTACAACAGTTCGGAACAACCCATGGGGATGAACCCGACTCCAGCCCTTGGTTCCTGGCTGTAGACGAAACTCTGTTGGTTTAGGGAAGAAGCTGTCGCGAGTCTCATTTGATATGGTGCCTGGGGCATGCTTTCCTTTTTCATAATAGCCGTATCGGGCTTTATCGTAACCCATGCCAAAGGGACGCATGGGAATATAACGGAATTGGACTCTGGTCCGTGTAGTGACGCCCACCGAGACTCGGTGATCAGGGAATGGAACGCAGATACCGACTTTCCCATCCTGAATGTTGGGCAAATCTTGAGTAGCCGCTGAAGCACTGATGAATTCGAACGGCGTTGGCGCGTGAACTCTCTCGCCAAATGGTTGCTCGTTTGACATCTTGCCCAAAGTTCCAATTTTCGTACCAGGAGGATGAGAATGAGTCGCTGGAGGGGCCTTGGGCATTTTTACTCCCAGAGCAGCAAAAATGAGGAACACACGGGATCTTGATTGCGGCGCTCCGTAAGACCATGCATCGGCATATATGATTCGAACCTGATAGCCAAGGCCGACGATACAGCAAACAAGTTGAGAAAAGAAACACTCGTCTCGCTTGTCGCCCGTCTTGATCATGGAAGAAACATTCTCAAGAAGCCCAAACTGCGGCCTAAAGTGATCAACGAATGATGCGAAAGACGCCACTAGCGACCGGTTCTTCCACTGCTTCATACTCTTCTGGCCACTTGCTGAGGTCAGCCGAGAGAAGCCTTGGCATGGCGAGCCGCCAGAAATGAGGCCAATATCTCCTGGGCGCGGCACTTCCGGATCTCCGGCAAGAGCTCGGTCAAGAAGATCATCAATCGAGCCCAGAAATGGTTTGCACGTGCCTGGCGCACAATTGGCCATATACGAGTGTATAGCGTTGGGAGATATGTCATTCGCCCACTTCATTTCAACGCCACCGCCATCCTCGATGCCCCGACCGAAATTTCCGCCTCCACAAAACAAATCCAAACCACAAAGCTTTTGTGTTGTGACAATATCTTCAGGAAGAAAACCTTGCCTAAACTCCAATAAATGTGTGTCATCCAAGGCTTCAAGTTCATCAAAATCACCATCAAGCTGCCGGGTTGTGAAATAGAATGCATCTCCGGTTCCTCCTCGGCTGTACGGGGAAGGGATTGAATCGCTAGGAAGGAATGCTCTGACCAAGCAGTGTCGGACAATCCGCTTAGAATCGATCTCGACGAGCTGATCAGAGTAGACGAGTTCGTTTGGTGGATAACTTTCTCGCTGTCCCATTTCTTGGCGCCGAAGAAGTGTGCGAAGTCTGGCCCATCTCTTTTCTCCTTCCTTATATAGCCTTTCGATGATGAAGGGCTCTAAGCGAGCAGACTTTGGAAGCTTCACAAGAACTGTGTCTCCGCGACTGTACCTTGTCTGCGAGCTTCGATGTCTGCCCTTTTTCTGATGATTGCACACTAGGTGGTCCTTTGATAGTGCAACCCAGCATCTCTCTGCTGCTAGATACGTCTGCCTCACAAATAGTTCGTTGGTGGCGGTCGAGGCAGGGTCACCAAACCAAGCCACGCGATGGGTAGCTAACACGTCATCTTCGTCGATGCGAGCGGTCTCACACGTACATGTGTCTGATAGAAATAACTCGTTTGACCAAGGATATTTCATCAAGGCACAGGGGGTATCCCTGGACTGGTACATCCAGATCACATCATAGGATCTATGGCCGGTCTTGGAGACATGTACCTTTTGAACCATGCCATACCATACATAATCTGGTCCATGGTGCTTTGAAGTCTCTCTCTTCCATTTGGTTCCCGTACTGCGGTCATCGGGTGGGGTTGAAATGACATTGCCGACCTCGATACTCGCCAGAAAATCCTTGCGGCCTCTGAACCTATTTTGCCCTTGGTGCAACACAAGTCTGTTGCCATCTGTGGCTTTGACCTGACGGATATGATCCCTTTGGACGTCATGGCTTGTTGTTGCTGCCTTCATTATGGTATCGAAGCCCATATGGCTGAAAAGGTCGAAAACGTAAGGAGTGACAATCGTCTTTGGGATCGTTGTGACATTGTTGCCAGGTAAAGGTTTGATTGGTGTATAGTAATTTCCCCTGACTTCATGCCAGAAAATGTGCCAACTAGCGATTTTACGCTCTGGATGTGGCAAGCCAAGTGCTTCTTTCCAGATGAAGTCAATATTTGCAGCCACTGCAGTACGAAAGTCAGCAGACCCATGCATTGCGTACCATCTTTGAAAGGCTTCTGAGTGGGAATGCCTGGTGTTGATAAAGGCAGCAAAATCGGAGCCAAAGTCATGAAGACTAGCCTTTTGCCTCTTTTGTTGGAGATGCAAGCAGTAATCAACAACATGCTTCGCTAGATCCACGACCCAAAGAAATGGTACCCAGTATCTCTCGTATTCTGGCGATGGCTTTTCCAGCTTATAGTAGACCTCTTTCTTTCGATTGTGCACAGATCGGATCCAGATTTGATCGTTGACAGAGTGTTCCTGGCTGTCGCAATAGTTACCAATGGGCAGCTCGCGAAAGGGGATTTTCTTGACAAAATATTTCTGATGGCCATGGTGGAGAATACCGTCAAAGTAGAACTCATCGCCTGCTGCACGTGTGGCGAGCTGGTTGAGAGGCCGTAACTCAATTGGGTAGATCGCACTATCAAGGTAGATGGTGAAATCTGTCAGACCGATCTCGATGAAATCTTCCACCTTGTTGTCCAGAACATCGAGCAGCGCAGAGACAGCCTCGTGCTCTCTCGCATAAGGTGCCCTCGGAATGAAGCCGGAGTATGCTGACCGTGGGTGTATCAAGGTTGACTGTGGTAGGTCAACAATTATGTTGCTGGATGCTGGCACCGCTTTGGCCTCATTGAATTCCTCTGCTAAACTTTGGCTGGGTGTTGGAGATCTGTGGTGCTCTAGTATAGGATGATCTTGCGATACATCCTCCTCACTGGTGTTCGCCAAAAGGGTCGCTGGGCTCGCTGTGCGCGATGTCTCCATGTCCGGAATCCCAAAGGAGAACTCCGATAGACGCGGTGATTGACTCATGTTCATGAGCCCTTCTGGAGTGGTCGTCCCGTCCTCGTAAAGAAAAGAATCGCCGAACTTGGTCCACATGTCGGGGTGCCCATCTGAAGTAGATGGGCGAAGCGAGAAATCTTGATCCGCGGCCATCTTCTCGTGAATTATCAAGACTACCATGAGGAGTCCAGACTTGCCAATAGGTTCCCGCCACTACTCAACCGAAGTGCTCTATGCATTGTCGATAGAAGTGGTGACTTGGTGATTGTGGCAATTGTGTTCTTCAACGCGTTCACCTGGTTGCCATTTCCCCCCCTAGCAGAATAGAGCAGGCACGCTTTTTAGAGGAACAATGGGCAACAAGTCATAAAACCCCAACTCAAAATTCAGATGCAATCGCTCTGGCACCCCCAAGATGTCACAATCCAGACTGGATCTGTATCGCTGACGCGCAGCACTTTCTTTGATCGCGATTTTGGGGCAAATTTTGCAATGAGTCGCCCTGGTCCAGACACGACATGGGATGTTGTCGAGGATATCGCGCGTGTTGAATATTTTGTTGGATCAAATGTAATTTGGCGAACAGGAACTGAGAACTTGATTAAAGAGTCTCCCCCCAAAAATAAAATCAAGACTTGGCCCTCATTCCAATAAAAACTCACTAGTTGTTTTGAGACGAGTGAGAATACACGATAATGGGCGAAAGTCAATTCAAAATTGAGTTTGTTCGGCACTACTAATAATTCGACTGGGATTGCAGCCAATGAGGGAAGGTGGGGGAGGCGGCGCTCTTTCCATTCCTTAAACCGCGACCAGAACAACAAAAGAATGCAGGAACGCAAACGGCGGGCGCAAGTATTCAAAGATGTGGGTCCGCAAAAACTACCATGTACTCACTACCTTTCATATTTTGGTGGTATGCAATCCCTTTGTATGCATGTCCAGAGTACATATACACTCATTATGCTGGATGCAAGCTAAATACCGGCTATATATGCAATCACCATTACTTAACATACTATGATTGGACTCTTTTACTTTATTGACTAGTATATCGAATCATATAACAGAAAAGGTGGTCAATTCAGATCCAGTAGAGGAAAGAGTTGGGTATCATTGGTTACAGTTTAAGAATCTTTCTTTCTCTCTCTCTCCATTCACGCTCGCTCAGCGCCTTTTTCAATACCATTTCCCTGAAACTCCTCACGGTATATCCTTCTCAGCTCAAACAAGACTTCTACAGAAATGAGGACAATAATGATCCACTCTAGCCGATGGCCTCTCTTTTCGCTAGACATTTCCCTCATGACACTGACAGTCTCGTATGCATAGTCGATTCTAGCATTGAGCTGCCGGATTCTGGGATTGACGTCGAGAATCCTGCTGATATTGTTGTAGTAGTTCTCGATTTTGGAATCCTTGTCCCAAAAAATGTCTGGCAAGTCGTCGGTCAGCTCCGAGTAATGGTTCAGCTGAGATCTGAGACCGAGAATCTCGCCCAGATATTTGAGAACCGTCTTGTGGTTCTGTGGTAGTTCGGAACCGCCTGCAAGTGTTCGAGCGACAGGCCTGGCCGTCTCAAGAAATTCATTGAGCTTATTTTCCAGCACTGCCAACTTTGTGCTTCGAGCCAAGCCCATGGAAAAGGCAACCTTGGCCATGGTAACGTCAAGGCGCCCCTCAAGAGACTGATCCCGTGTGCCAAGTACAACCTCCTCTTCCCTGATGAAGCTGTTGTCGCGCGATTCGTCCGTGGTGAAATCCAGATCTTCAAACTCCAGGTCCGCCACGTGTGGAAGGTTTGCCGCGTTGAGTAACTGCCGAGTCGCAATTTGCGTCACCGCATCCGCAGGAACGGACCAGGACACCACAGTGCCAGAGCTAAAGACAAATATATCGCCATTGTTGTATGATCTTGCATGGATAACCGCGTTGCTGTCCAAGCCTGCATTGTCCGGATCAATGGCGAAGCCGTGTCCCCTCAAGGATTCTTCCACCATTTCCATGTCGAATGACTGGGCCACATTGATGGCTCGTATTGTGTGTGTATAGTCGCTAGCATCATCGGCAACCTCCGCGACTGGGCTTTTCGCTTCCGTCCTTTTCGATTTCTTGACCATTGAAGTGGCACGAAGGTTCTTCTTGGAAGCGGACGATCGGGCAGGCTTCCGCTTCATCGGGGGAATAGGTGGCCGCTGGTCCTGCTTGCCATCTTCGACGGGGTCAGGGAAGGTCGTCAATTCGCCAGTCGTATTTACACTTGCAAGCAAATGATTCGAGGTGAAGAAGTCGCGTTTTCTGGGCTGCGCCGAGTAAGTGCTCTGGTGAAAGGAGCGCAGTGGTCGTGGGGATGGTAGATTCGTGGTATGAAGATGCCGCACCAATGAGGCACTGATCTTTTGTGCTGATCGTCGCATCATGGCGGTAATCTCGCCATAGACGGGGGCCGATTATGTGCAGATCTGAAAACGCTGCAAACTTTTTGAAATGTATGAGGATGAGCAAACACGAAGCTACATCAACTCTTTGTAGATGGACCAGGAAAAAAAAAATACACATGCATAACATCGGTACGGGTACCCCGGTACGTCAGTAGGCGCCTGGTCGCAACCGTTGACTGCGATAAGAATTTCTTATCGGACAGCTCCCCACTTTAAAGTGCTCCCTATGGAAGACCGCGGATCGCGTCCAATGGAAATGATGGACACAATTGCCCATCGACCTCGGATTGCAGAATTGCAGAACAAGAGACCCCGAGAGTCGCGTGGTCTCATGTTTGCATCTTCGAATCAAGTCATCCGTGCGACTCGTATGCTTACTGATCGATATTTGTAGGCGGCAGAGCGCTCAGCCTGCCTTCGCCTGCCTGCGGAAGTAACGATGCCGGCGCTGCACCAATCGACGATTCGAAGAGCTGGCACCGGGTGTATTTTATCAATCGATACAGATTCTTGAAAGTCAGTATATCGTTCAGTGGAACATGGGATCTGGCCAGAATTTCAAAGCACAAGCTAACTTCTTAGGGTCAGGTCGAGTCTATCGCTCCATGATATACGATGAGCGCCCAACAATTAATCGTACCACGACGAGCTGGGTCTCTATGGGGTACCCGGGCAACGTTTGCCCAGACATTGTCGGAAATGACCAGTACCAGGCGACATCGCTTCCCGAATTTGAAAATAAGACCAAGTCGCGCGTTGGCCTTGAGACTAGAGCGCCAACATCCAGAGCAGGCCCATCGCTATGGCCACCTCTTCAGGACGATGGCCAAGATCAACAGTGAGCGGCTGCCGTTGATGACATTCCAGAAGCTCTTGAGGCAGCAGGACTTGGGGAATGACAAAGAGCTAGCGGCTATCGTGTCCAAATCCAACCCTGATCTGTGGCAGGATCGTCTCAACAGTCTAGAGAGAAGAGGTTGGCGTGAGGCAGATATCGATCATTGGATCTGGATCTTGTCGGGCGAGAACGGGGATGACTGTGTCTCTCGGCTTGTATCCAGCGACAGGCCGAAGCCGATATTCGTCTTGATGAACGTCCTCTCGAGCGGCCGCCCCTTTCGATCTCCAGACTCTTGGCGAAAAGTTTTGGATTATATCATGAATACGTACATGACTCCCCGGGCACGCAACCCACGTGATACAGGGGGAACAGTACCAGCAGATCACAGAGTCAGACTGAGTGTATCAAAATTCATCATTCTCCTGCGGAGGCTGACACGACGTGTACTGGCCTTCTGGCCGAGGTCCATACCAGCTCTTGCAGACCTCACCAGTACTTATCTGATCAATCTACACACTATTGAAACGGGCGAAAATTTATACCATAAGCAATGCCGTGTTTTTAATTGGGCACTAGCCGAGTTCAGCCGACCTGCATCTTTTGAGCCGATTCGCAACATGGAATTTAACTGGCGAGCCCAAAGGAAACTTCTCTCTACTTCAGATTCATTGCAACGGCCGCTTGTCATAGATAGGCTGAGCTATCGATCCATTCGAAAAGTGCTGGTGGCACAAAAGAAATCAGCCGCTGAGCGTGGAGTTGCAATGAGATACGCCAAGTCCTGGCCACCCTACAGACAGGACTTTGATGGTCACGACGCCAAGAGGACGCCGGAAGATGACCAGTCGCGGAGTGTGAGGGCGGGCACCCTATCGACGGAAGCAGGTTACCCGCAAGATGAATACGAAAGAGCTCTGAATGTCCTCGGTGGTGAAGCTACCAACCAACCGCCCACGATACAGACCAGAAGTCTTGCACCCAAGGAGTGGAAGAACGAAAAGGAACAGGACAACTTTTATACCGTCTGGGCAATGAAAGTCCGTGCCACGAGGAACCCCCAAGAGGCTTGGCGAGCGTTTACATCCTTCACGGACGTAGACCCTCCCCTGCAGGTCTATACTGAAATGTTCCTCAAGCTACAAGCTGCAGAGACGCATGCTACGAGGGATGTACTACCTGGCGACTCACGAGAAACGCACCCAGTCCACCATGGCAATTTCAGCGAATACGAACTAGCTCGACTGACGCCCCCTACTTTGCAAAACCTATATCAACACATGTTGAGTCACGGAACGAAACCGCAAGGGATTTGTCTCCAAACGCTAGTGTCCCATGCGCGCTCACTTGCCGAAGGGCAACAGTACTTGCGAGACAGCACCATCAATGCTGATGCTGTAGCTCACATGTTTTCAAACAAAGGCTATCTCCACACAATTCTGCGTCGCATACCTCTGCTGGTTTTTAGAAGTTATATACAATTGCTATGTCGCCTCCACCCCGATCGGCGCGGCAAAAACAAGATATCAAGTACCGATTTGGGTCAGTTACACCAAGCAATCGCACTCACCAAGGCTCGATTGGCCCCGGGCACCACGGAAGCAGCAACATTTCGACCCGCTTGGCAGATCATTTGTCGTACTCTAGCAAGGGCCAACCTCGCGCTCGTGAACAAGAATGAGCGGGTTGCCAACGACGTGGAAGCACTAGACTTGTTCCTCCAGCTCAACGGCAGCATCGAAACGGGCGTGGGAACTGATCCAGAAATATTCCTTTACCTGTGCCGCACAGTGCAGAAACTGGCCGTGTCGCTATTTGTTCGCGTCGACATGGACTCCCGGCATTCCGATTCACACCTACCAATTCACCTCATGCACGGGGACTCGCGTACTGGAAACTTGCTCCGCGCGGCTGATGAAGTACTCCGAAACATGTTCAAGAAAATAACGGCCCCAGTCCCGTCATCACCCGACTTCAAGCTCGAGCTGCCGGGCTTCTTACACCCTGTCACTCCGGCTCATTTGCATGGGTACATGCGCACGCTCGCCTTTCTCGAGGACACCGAGTCCATGGTGGCGCTGCTCGACTGGGTCCTCGACAACAAGGACCTGGTCGACGACGAGGTGGAGCGCAAGGGCGACGGCGGCCGGCTCATGGTTGCCAAGATGCTCTGCGCCTTTGCCGCCTTTGCCAGCCCACGCCTCGACGACGGCGTGCGCGCGCGGCTGGCCGCCAAGATGGATCAGATTGCCGAGGTGGACTCGTCGTGGCATTGGCCTGCGCCCGAGGACACTGATGCCTATGTAGAGGCGGACAAGCGAGGTGGTTCCCAGAAGCTGCAACAGCGCGTATTGGCTGCGTCGAGGCAGTGACATGGTGGACAAGTGCATTAGGGCAGCCTTTCGGTTGCGGAGTGCTCTTGGCTCTAGAGTAGCAAATGCATATCTGGATGCGACAAGTAATGATCCCATAAATATCCACACCACCATCCATACATAGAGTACAAAAGACGAATATTCCGATAGAAACATCTGAAAGAAACCCCAAATAAATGTTTAGCAGCCAAATGCCGTTGTCACAAAGTAGCAGAGCTGCATTATATTTATTCCCAAATAATGTCGCTTCATCATTTGTCATGTCATTTAATTTACCACGTCCACTGTGTATTGTAAGATACAGCCAACGTGTTCTTTTCTGTCTTGCCCTTTGTGCCATTTCCCCGTTCGTAACCATTTTGTACACGCTAACATCGTACAAGAAATTAGAGAATGTAAATACAAGTGCGCCAATTCGGGTATCAAGAACAAGCGAAAGCAGTGCCCACGACCATCTATGCTCGTCAAGATTGGTAAGATCAAAAGTCGCAGACGTCGTGAGAATCGCTCAAAAAATATATATCGTAAAGATTAGAAATAGACGAGATGGAACCGTCTTCTCTCTGTTCGAATTAGACCTCAAATTTGGTGTCATCGTCTTCGTCCTCCATGGCCTCTTCCTCGTCGTGGTCGCCTCGGGCTGCACGTCTGGCAATCTCTCTTTCGTCATAAATCTCCTTTCTTCTGGTGTTGGCCGTTTGGAGAGAGTCGACATAGGTCCTGAATTTGACAATTTCCCTCAGGAGGTAGGCCGATTTCTTCTCCCAATTCGCCATGGCCTTGGATGCGTTATTTCCCCTAGGAGTAAATGCCAAGAGCATTGGCGACCGGAGTTGATTATGTTTCTGTAGCTCATCTTCGATGCTCTTGACGTATGCCTCAAGAGTCTCCAATTGTTCAGACTCGGAAAAGGTTGACGGCCGCATAGACTGCGCCGGCGGTGCCCATTCCGAGATGTGAATGCGATCACCAGGGAGCTTAGCACGTACTCCAGAACCTCCCACCTCAAAACTAGATCTCAGGCTGCTTTGGCGACTTCCGTTGCGGCTATGCATTGATGTGCGCCCCGCCGCAGCTGAACCAGGCCGCGTCGTACTGTGGCTGTCATTGCTCATAGCAGCTACGAGAGCATTATTGATGCAGGCATCGCTCCATCCGTACTCGATATTAGAGATGCCACCGACCAGCGGGTGAGTAGACAGGCGTGCAGACCAGTAGTTGACCGTGAGGACAAACTCTTTGCTAATCTCCGGCGTGCCTACTTGGAAAAGATGCACAGCACCCGTTGGCAGGCTAAGAGCCCACACATTCGGCCGTGTCCGGGAATAGCCAGGAGGGGGCAGTGCAGAGGCGAGCGTCTGTCGAAGCGAAAAGGTACCCAAGTTGGTGGCATTTTCCTGCCAATTTCCACCGCCGACCACAGCACCGGCGCCGTGCTTGCGCCCAAGGCGTGTCTTCTGGCGTGTGGACTTGGATGAGAAGGAAAAGAGGCTCAGCTGTCCCTTTTGAATGACAGCAAACACCTCGCTCCAGTTCCGGTCTTTAGCCTTCTTGTCGATACCGTCAAGATGATGCTTATGTATGACAATGCCTTCCTTCATCCATGGCGGTCCCGTCAATTCTAGTGATTCGTCGTCAAGGAGGGCGGCGCCATTCACTTCTTCACTCATGACCGAGCGTGTGAGCTCAAGCTGATGGTCCTCGCGAATGATGGCTTGAGAGAGGGCACTTGCAAAACCCATCGATTGGTGGTAATCGCTGTGCAGATAATGCGATCCCAGCGAATCCATTGACGGCGAAGTCTGAGTCCGACCCAGAGAGTAGCGACTCCAGGTGGCTGACGACCCAGCAGGGCTCCAGATGGAGTTTCCATCATCGAAGCTAGTGCGACTAGATGAAAAGCCAGCAGTACCAAGACGTGGCCGCGACCGACTCTTGGAACTCCATCGTCCATTTGGACCACCAGTGCCTTCGAGACGACCTCTAGTGGTTGAAGCAGACTCAGAGGGAGATTTACTAATCACGCTCGGCGTGCGTCTCAACACATTCATAGCAAATAGACCTCCCGGTTGCTGTTGCGGTGGCGGCTCTGGGGCACCACCAAATAGGGGTAGCCGGTCATCACGGATCGAGTTGTAAATGTCCTTGAGCACAATTTCCATCTGTGCCTCCCATTGCCGCATTGTGCCATTAAATGGTGCTTTTACGAGAGGACCACAAGAATCGGGCTCCTGATCATAGTCGCCAATCCTCGAGTCAGATCTTGGTGGGATGAAAGAAGCCCGCCAATTTTTCTTTTCCTGCTCAGTGGCGACTGGTGACTCATTGTCGTTCGGACTGAGCATGGAGCTTCTGCCTGGCAAGATGCTTGGACGGTCAAAGGCATCAGGTATGGAATCGGCCAAGGCGGCCTTCACCGTAGTCATGGTATTTTTGATAAACTGGCTGCGTGTCATCTTGTGCTCAATATCTGCTACATGGAGATCGGTGTTGAGCAGCATTATGGAATAGCACATGGTATGGATTACATCTGAAAATAATTAGTAGAGCGACTTGTGATAAAACCAATTCGAGGTAAACCTTACCCATTGCCTTGAAACCGTGGTTCGGGTTGCACGCACACCAGCGCTCAGAAAATGCTACCAAGATCCGGTCGATTTGTTGAGTCTCGGCTCGAAGGATGAGCCTGTCGCAGATCTCGCGCAGGCCGGTGAGAACACTCTTCTCCGTGAAATCGTACAGCTCCATATAGGCTAGAAGAGTTCGTTGCCGCACGGGTCCTTCTTCACCCATCCATGCTGCTGCTCGCTCTTTCTGTATGAAATCTTCGCTGCCATCAAAGATGCGTTGTGCTTTCTGCCTATCATCCTCTGTTGGCTCGCCGACCGTGATTTCGGGCTCGTCCAATGGGGAGCCGGCAGGTTTGACGATTGATTCCGGGCTTTCAATATGAACACTCGGAAGGCTCGACGTAGATCCAGTCCGAAGAGGCGTGTTGCGGCCCGAGACATTAAGCTTGCCTGGACTGTTCGTGATTTGTGTCTGAATGGGAAGTCCAAGACTATCTGGGCGAGCTCTGCCTTCCTCATTCGAGACATTCTGCTGTAACACCAAAGTAGGCGAGGCAGCTTCCTTCAGGGAAAATCGATCATTCATCGTCTTGTGCTCGGGCGTGAGCGGTGGTTGAGGTAGCTCTTTTGTCGGAGTAGTGCTAGGCGGGGTGGGGAATCCCCCAGGAAGACTTTGAGATTCCGCTGGGCTCAGCAGAGATGGCCTCCTGTGTTCGGGCGCAGGAATGTGAGATCTGTCGACCTCGGTATCACTATTATCCTCAAAGAATGTAGTGTCTCGACCAAGTTTCGGTCTGGCGCCCGGTATTTCTGGAAGCTCACGGGCTGCACCATTGGCTTTCGTTGGTAGTCTTGGTACGTCCACGTTCAGGGATTCACGATTGCGAGTATTAAGTGCCGATTGTGACTTGACTGGCCTGATGGTTGCATTAGGCGTTGGGTCATAGTCTGGCGAGAACCCGCGTGTCTTTCGTCTCCTTTCATACTCGCTGTCTTCGACATCGTACTCTGGAGATACAATTTCTCTTTCTATCCGTGGAGGGAGGAGTCCACTAGGTGTCGCAGGATTGCTGCTCTTGAGATATGGAATCATGACCTGGCGCAAACTACTGGCAGGGCTATGCTCAACTCTATCGAGGGGCATGATGGGATCGTCATCGAGGTCCATGGGATCTAGGACTTTTCTTGCCTTGTTGGGGATTGATGCCAGATTTGGTGGCGGCAACGGCACAGGTGGCGGCTCGGCAATAGACTTCTTCCGTCTCCTGAAGAAGGACGACTTCTTTTGAATAACATGAGGAGGCTGTGGTTGATGTGAGTCCCTTGAGGGAGGGGCTGACGACGGTGTTATCTGCGAGGCTATATGCTGAGGTGTCTTTGAGGTTGGACGTTCGATTGTTTCAGCTGATGGTGTCGAAACGGGAACTGGATCAGGAGGGTCCTGGCTGGATTGTTGTGTGTTCTTTGATGATCCGCCAAATATCTTTCGGAAGAAGCCCGGACGCTCTTTTGGCTGCGTTGGCGGAGTTTGGGCTGTGCTAGAAGTCTCCCGTAGTTGTGACTTTTCGTAGCCAACATTGGGTGCTGGAGCCGAGTCCAAATCGTGGACCACCGGTTGGGAAGGCATCTCGTGCTGCCGATGCTTCGAGGCTGCTCGTCCAGTCGTGGTGGAGCCGCGAGAACGCAGGCTTCTCTTGCGTTCGTCTTGCTCTGGCTTTTTGGGTAATGTTGGGGGTGCAGGCGGCAGAAGAGCTGCAGTAGGTCGGCGTGGCCCTCCGGGTACTGTCGGCGTCGGCGCTCCTTCGTCGTCGGGGTTGAACAGGGAATTGGAAAAGTCAATATTCCACGTGCCGTTACCATCGACTGCTGTATTTCCAGAATTGGATGGAGGATAGTCAAAACTTGAAGATCTCCGACCAATACCATGGGGGATGCGATGGTTGCCCAAGACATGTGCAGTGCCGCCAGCATCAAAACTGTTTATGCTGCTGTTTTTGCTGGCTTTACCTCCCCTGGAATGTAGGGGTCTCCCACCGGTCATAGTGTTGGCGCGAGCAGAGGATGTCTCCTGCATGCTATTGATGCGGCCAAGCCCCGTTTGGAAGCCAGAACTGCTGTTACTGCGTCGGCCATGAGAGAACTGACTCGAAATGCGACTAGTGCCATCGTCCGTTCCCTCTAGGTCGGAACTATAAGTGTAGCTATGGCCATGGTTGTAAGAACTATGCATACCGCGTCCAGGACGTGCCGAAATGCCCGACATGGTTCTAATCATGTCGTCTCTGTCTCCGCTCATTGACATGGAGCCATACGTGCCTTCGTCAAAGGGAGATAATGGGGTTGCTGGCGTATTTATCTGCGAAAGTGAGAAGGCGTCCAGCGACAAGAGCATATTTGTGACGAGAGAATCGCGAGTAACTTGGCGCGCCGGCAGCGAAAGATCATGTGAGTCCCGGTAATTTGCTGGCGATTTGGAGGAGCTCTCTGGCGAGAAGTCTGGCTCGTTCTCCTTGTTGGCCATATCCACTGGGGTGTCGTTCTCAAGAAAGGACTCTTCGAAATTACGATCTCTACCATTCAAAGAGGTGGTCGCGGCGGAAGGGGTGGTTTGCAGCTTAAGCGCCCGGCTCGACACAGGCGGTTTGCCTTTGGCAGACCCCGGGGCTTTCCGCTGCGGCGAGCTTCCGGGGGCGGCATCTCGTCTATGCGAGGGGGAGTTGGGTGCGAACGTGTCAACGTTCAAATTGGGCCGGCGTCGATGGGAGCGATTGCTACCCCCCATCGGGTGCGTCGAGTCCATCCGGTTGGAGCTGGCGAAGATGAGTTCGGGGAGGACAGAGGACGACAGGTTAAACAGGCCGGAGAGGTTGGACAGCAGGGACAGTCGAATAGCGCCATACAAAAACGGGAGACGTGGAACCGCAAAAGAAAAGACTGAGACTCGTGTGATCGATGCCGTGTCGCCGTTGGGCAGTGTTTGTCCGTGTGCGTTGTCGCGAATTGGAGGCTGGGACTCGAGTGTCGATTCGTCTCGACACGACCCGATTCGATTCGACCGATGCAAGCGACACTACGCAGCTTGGAATAAAAATTAGGTGTATGTTCGGTGAGTTTGTTGTTGTAAGGTGCCAGTACGCTAAAAGGTTTGAATGAATTCGACAACGGAGCCCCGAAGACCCAGCCAAAGACCCAAGTCGAAGCCAGTCAGTCCACTCTATCGTCCCTTGATCCCCAAAACTGCAGTCGCTCCGATGTGGACGATCACAGGCTGTATGTAATGTACTGTATGGTAGAACGGGACGGTAGAAACGGCTGAACGGGGAAGTAGTAGTGGTGGGAGCGCGGGCGGGCCCAAAGCGCAGCGTGTGCCTGAATGTCAGGGACCCCCTCCTCTCGCTTAGATTGATGAATGGGTATCCGCTGCGGATCTGGGGCAACATGAACCTAGCATACGGACAACGATTGGAGTGCGAACCTCAAAGACGATTGGGTTGTGCAACATGTGTGCTTGCATATGCGCTGGCAGTAGTAGGTGTACATTCAATGCCTCACTGACCATTTGATTCGTCGCGGGTGGAATGACCTAGTCGGGCAAAGTGGCTGGCCACTGGACGAAGCAGAAGGCGAATACCGGTACGTAGAGCTAGGTATGTATTGCTGTTTGGATGTGCTGCAAGGTACAGAAGCACGGCACGGCACAGGCACACCACAATAGCGAACACCACAAACAGAAGCTACTGGGCCAATGCCGAGTCCAGGTGCAAATCTGTGGCTGGTCAGGCAAATCAGAGCTGATTGGAGGTATGTGTGTGTCGGTCGGTATTGTTTGGTACAGGTAGCATAGATATGGACATGCGAAATTAGGTCTTGAAAATAGCACGAGCTTCTGGAGCTCTACACTAAAATGTAATGTAGATTGTAGGTGCACAGAGCAGGTGGCTTAAAACTCAGTACCTACGGCAGTCAAATGGTATTGGTGCGTAGTGTACTTGGCAGAATGCGCGACGCTGGTTCGGTTGAGTTATCCGGCACCGATTAACGAAGAGGAGAAGCCGCCGCATTAGATGAGGCAGAAAGTGTCAGAGCGACGAGCTGAACACTTGAATGGCCACGCGCGGCTCCAAGCTTAAAGGAGGAGGCTGAAACGGCAGCGACAGTCTGAATGTGGGAACTCTAAAAAGTGTGTGTAGTACAAATGTAATAAATGAGTAAAAGTAATAAGGTCTGTTCTGAATGCCCCAATGTTGGTGGGAGATTGCGGTGCCGACAGAAAATTGTAGTAGTCGTAGTAGTGTAATAATGTGTGTGTAGGTACCTTCCTGACTTATCACCCAGTTACTCTACCACTGTACGTAGTGTGAGGAGGGCAGGTGAAGGTGCTAAAACAGAGGTGCAAACGCACGTTCCCCCAAGTATCGAGGGTCAGTGTTCGCTTTATTTCAGCTTGGTATTGATTGATTGAACTGTGGCTGTTCTACAGATATGGAAGTCTATACGGGCGAGTGCACGCGACGCGCGCGCGCCTTAAACGCATGTATGGTAAATTCTTTTCTTTTTTTTCGCGGTCGTCACAAGGTGGTGCCGATCAACGGGCGCCGTCGTGAAAAAGTACACTACGTCTACACATCTTACACTACCAAAGTAAAGCATCTAAGGTTACTCGAGTACCTGAGATCTGGGTTTACTTGCATCCGGCCTTCTTGTCACTATGGCTAATAGAGATCTGACACCTCCGTGCCTGGTTTTGGCTCACCACGAAAAGGCTTAGGGGAGGGGCTTGGTGGTGCACTGGAGACTGGCCCGAGATAAAAAGTCTATCGATTTAGGAAATCGTCCCAAAGGGGCGCCAGTGCAAAAAGATGGACACTGAGAAGCTCCAAGGTGCAGTAGTGCGTCGGATATTAATTGCAATTCCCACCAATTGCTACGGGGCGGGCACCCAGAGTCACGAACCGTGCCATGTGCCCTCTTTCGCTCTTCATGTCCCACTGCTGTTACTGTGCTAGTACTACTATTGAGCATTATCTCCGGGCCATGGTGCGATAGGTTGGCTAGTGGAGATTTCTCAAGCCCAAAAGAAGAAGAAACCCCCATTCCAGAATGCTTCCAGCTTACTTGGCTGGGAGCCAATGTGGGTCGGTTATAATGAATATTACAGATTACCGGGAACATGGCAGTCCTGCCGTCTTAAATGTGACTGTTATAACAGCTCCATGTGTCACCAGGAAACTGGTAGGTTGGATTTCTTACCCAGCATTACCCGGTAAAACCGATTGCGACTATTGACACAATGATGAAAAGATGATCAAAAATTAGAAGAAATGCAGTGCCTTGTCTTGGGTCGGTTCTTGTCAGGCCGTTTAGGCCTGTCGATCGACATTTGCGGAAACAACCCAGTGGACAGGAAAGAAAGTTTTTGTGATGATTGCACCCAGCGAGCCCAGATCCGGCGCTCTCCTGTCTCAGTTCATCGCCTTAGCGGTTGCCGCTAATGCACGCCGCCACCTGGATCCTTTTGACATGTTTCTGCAATTCGCAACGAGCAGACGAGAGGCTCGTGCCATCTCCCTCCGTTCTGGATTGGGTTTATAACCTGTCGGCAGCTAATATAGGTAGGGCTGTTCCAGGCTGCTGACTTTCTTCATTTTAGTATGTTGATGATGATGCGAAACGCCTACTGGGCAAAGTCCCTATTGCCGACAGGGAAACGATGGGACTGTGCATCGATAGATTTCCTGATTCGTGAATGCGCCGGCTCAGTGTTTGTAGCTTTCAACGGTTACGATAATGGTGACTTGGTAAGAGTATATACCGACCGCCGCGTATCATGTACAAAAAAGGGGCGGGCTTGGCTTCCGAGGCTTGGCTCTCAAGATAGAGCCTTGAACCCTAGTCGGGCATCATAGTCAGCAACCTTGGATACTCCAATCCAGCAAATGATTTTAACCGCTCAATGAAAATTTCAGGAGCGATGCATTCATATTGAATTTGAAACAGAAAACTTGCGGTCAGCGACCAAGTTATTGCCTTTGGCGTCAATCCTCGGATCATTCGCCATCATCACAACTGACCTGTAAGTGGACGACACACTGCAACTCTAAGGAGACAGTTGCATTGCCACGTCAGTCTCTCCAGAAGCCAAGCAGGGTAGTGACAAGTCGAACATGGTCCAGCCACTGCTGCTTCTTCTCTGTCTGGGCCAGACATTGGGAATGAAATGATTTACCATCCGGAACTCCCCATAGGTGTCACCGACCTCTTGCCGACACAGACCGTGTTGAACACAGGCTCAACGGGCATCGGTTAAGCTACATGTAAAATCTCGCATCAGCCATCATTGTCAACATCGCTATAGTAGGTATCGCTGTCACCGGAAAATGGATGGATTTTCGATAGCCCTGAGGTGCAAGCCATCATTCGCCTTCTTGGCACGTCATGCGGGCTCTGCTCTATTATTACATCCCACATGGCACTATCCTCCTGGATCCAGAAGAAGTGTTCTTACGATTAGGCGATTCGTTATGATCCATGCGTCATCTTGTGTAATTATGATGACAAAAGTAAGAATCGTGTCTGTTGACTAGTATATAATGTCGCAACTTATGTCAATGTCGCTGGAGTATCGGTAAACCTTGGATGTAACCACGCATCTGTTTGCTCACGCGGAACTTCGTGAAGACAAGGCCGTAATTGGTCATCGAGAGACTCTGACCGTGGTATATAGCAACGAAAATCAGCTAAGCTTAGGACGCGGCGCCTCTTTGACTTGTCTTCTCTCCTCAAAGATCTCTCCAGCAATCCCTAGAGCGTCTCTTCCCGCTGGAACCCCGCAGTAAATCATGGCATGTCTACAAGCCTCGAGAACTTTTTCTTCTGAAAGGCCATTGCGGAGCGCGGCATGAATGTGGATGCGCAGTTCCGGGCCTCGATTCAATGCAATGAGCATGCCCATGTTGAGCAGTGCTCTATCCTGAAAAGAAAGTCCAGGGCGGGCATAGGATGAGAAGCAGACTTCCGCGATATATTCTGCTCCTAGTTTGCTCGGCTTATCATCCCTCTTATGCGTTGATCAGTATTACGAAGATAGATAGGTGATTAACCATCAAGGAGGCACTTACGGTTTTTGAACGCAGAGCATTCAATTGTTCTTCTCCAAAATACTTCTGCATCATCTTCAGTCCTTGCAACTGTTTTTCTGGTAGATCGGCCATATTGCAGAGTAGGATAAGAGAGTTTCTTGTGACTTGTAGGAACATAAGGATATAATTTGAGGACCATAAAGTCTGCCTTTTATGTAAAACTCGAATTATATGCCTATTGGGTCATGTTCTAGTCTGTTGACAAACCCGGTACCGAAATGCCGACGGCCGAGCATCGAACATGCAATATAGTCTCCTTGTGATTGCATCGCGCCAATATGGACCAAGCCTCGAAGGTCATATATAGGGCCTCTCTCTCAATGAGCACAGTACCACCGAGCATGCCGGATAATGAGCATTTCTTGTCTACCACCTACGGCTCGGTGTTTGTGAAATTCAAGGGAGGTACAACATTCATCAAAACCGAGCCAACTCGGTTGAGCTGAACAAGATTCCCAGAGCCGAGTGACTTGAGCCGAGCTACCAGAGCCGAATCGTATGAGCCGAGCAGGTGTATAGATCACAAATATGCCGATAATCTTATACATCTCTTCAACAGTTTTGAAAACAGTATGGTTCAAGAACAAAGTCAATCTTTTAGTTCCCATCTTCAACAGCGACAGCACTCGATTCCTCGTTCATATTCTCTTAGTTGCGGCCTACGAAAGCCATCATGTCTTGTGAAAGAATAGCACAGCTCTCTGGCCATCTCTCGAGCGCCGAGAAGAAACCAATGCCACCCTACGAAATTCTTGAACAGCCGCTTGGCAATACCAGACACATCAGAATTGTCAATATCGGAGCGGGCATGAGTGGCATCAACATGATTCGCACCCTTCGTTTGCACCTCACAGACTTTGAGCACGTAGTGTACGAGAAAAATCCCAGCGTGGGCGGCACTTGGTTTGAGAACCGATATCCTGGCTGCAAGTGCGATGTACCTTCGCACAACTATCAATTCTCCTGGCGTCCCAATCCCGAGTGGAAAGGATTCTTCTCGACCTCGACTGAGATTGAGGCCTATCTGTGCCAAATATGCGAGGAGGAGCAAATGCATGACTCGATACGAACGCAACACCAGGTTGAGCGAGCAGTCTGGGACGACGTCAATGGTCTTTGGCGGTTGAGGGTACATGATCTCCGCAACGATACAGAATTTGATGACTACTGCCATTTTCTCTTGGATTCAAGCGGTATATTGAAGTTTGTATCAATCTATCCCCTTTTAGGCATACTGGGCATACTTTGAGAGAGTCGAGAACTAACCACTCATGCTGCAGTCATTGGAAATGGCCCAATATTCCCGGCCTACATGATTTCCAAGGCCGCTTGATTCATAGTGCGGACTGGCCTTCACAGTTTGATTACACGGATCTGACTGTGGCTCTGATTGGCAATGGTTCATCCGGTGTTCAAATACTGCCAGAAATACAACGAGGTGAGATATACTGATAGAATTCCACAGAATCTGCAGGACTTATGAGCATAGATGTCAAACATCCCATCCATTTTGTGAGAGAACCGACATGGATCGTTCCTTCTAGGCTACAGATTCTGGCTCAGGGAGCTGGAGACGGTATCTTGGGTGAAGTGGCCATGGACGAGAATTCCAATTTCACTGAAGCCCAAATCGAGAGGTTCAAATCCGACCCGGCCTACTATCACAGGTTTGTGAAAGCAGTTGAAGAAGTTGTCAATGGGAATTTCCCGCTGGTATAACCTGGAAAAACTCCGATCTATTAGTGCCCCTCTAACATTCCCAACAGACCTTGCAAGACACCGAGCTCGCAAATAGATTGCACAGCCAAGCGACTGCGTACATGTCCCAGGCCTTGGGCGGAGACGACCGGCTCTGCAAGGCCTTGATACCCGATTTTCCATTAGGGTGCCGACGACTGACGCCGGGTGTGGACTATCTCGAATCTCTCACAAAACCAAATGTGAGAGTCGTGACCGATACGATCTCAAAGGTGGTGCCTGAAGGCTTGCTGTTGATGACAGGTGAGATCATTCAGGTCGGTGCTATAGTATGTGCAACAGGATTCAATGTTTCATTTTGTCCTCGGTTCCCGATCATCGGCCGCCGAGGCAACCTTCAAGACGTTTGGACTCGGGATGTACCAAAAGCATACATGTCATTGGCCGTGCCGAATTTCCCAAATTACTTCAGTACGTATTTCAATACGCCCTGCAAATAAATCTTTACATGTCTAATCAGACTTGCCAAAGCATTCCTTGGTCCCAATGCACCAATCGGGCACGGCAGTGTCTTTACCATTACGGAGCACATAGCAAAATACGTAGTCCGCATCATCAAGAAGTGCCAGATTGAGGGAGTCAAGTCTCTGTCGCCTCATCAGTCCGCCGTGGATGAATACTTTGAGCATATTCAAAGTTTTATGCCGCGAACGGCTTGGTCCTCCAATTGTGTGTCCTGGTTCAAGAATGGGACTCAAGATGGCCCCGTCATTGCTCTGCATCCGGGGAGTCGTATTCACTTCTTCCACATGCTTGATGCTTTTAGGGGCGAGGACTGGGAGTTTGACTATTACAATAAGAGAAATCGCTTCCAGTATCTTGGAAACGGCTTTTCGACAAGGGAAATGGGAGGCGGTAATTCCACATGGTACTTGGATCAGCCGGATGTCTTGTAGCTCTGAGGTGCACCACGTTGTATAGGCCAAGAATGCCGTGCTCGTGTGTTTCCTTGTATCAAATTTTCAACAGAATGGCATTGTATTTTCTGTGGTATTTCGTAGACATCTTTTTCATAACTTGTGGCTTTTCGCCAATTACAATGCAGTAGTATTCGCAGATTCGCAAGCTCGGCGCAGTTGCTCGGCACTCGGTATCGTCGGTTGACGTGCAACTAGCTCTGAACTACTAATTTAGATAAAAGTCCCATTCACGGTTTTCCAAAAAGAACAGTGTTATGTTTTCGTTACGATCTTGGATTCAATTTGCAACAGAGCCAAGAGCAATGGGCACCGACACGCCCATCGAGTTCATCTCTACAGGCCGCGTAAAGATACGCGAGTCCATGAGTGGACAGCCAGCCAGCCGCCTCACGCTCAACCGCCAGTTACGATCTCTTATGGGACCTTGGACTTCATGGCTTCCCATTGGCGTATTCCTCATCAAACACAAAGACGGTCCAATCCTGGTGGATACAGGTGCATCGCCAGACTGTCTCAAAGACGGCTACTTCTCAGCCTTCAGCTTCGTCGTCCACATTGTGAATCAAATTCAGATATCTCTAGAGGATGGCATCGTCTGTCAGCTTGGGAAACTTGGAATCGACCCAAAAGATCTTCAAGCCATTGTGCTTACCCATCTACACCATGATCACGCAGGTGGCCTCGAGGAACTGTCACAGCTGGCACCAGAGGTTCCGGTATACGTCAGTGCCGAGCATTGGCAAGCCTTTGGGAACAACTCCCGATACGCAGCCATGCAAGGCTGTGCTCCTGACCACTGGCCCAAAGACTTCAAGCCAGAGCTTCTCACATTTGACGGAGCCAGTATTGGATCCTGGACAAGGTCGAACCCCATCACAAGGGATGGAACCGTCGTTGCCGTGCCGACTCCTGGCCATGTGCCCGGCCATATCTCTGTCATTTTTACCACTACCGATGCACGAGACAGAGATGGAACAGCAACTACTTACCTGATCACCGGGGACGCAACTTACGGCTTGGAGTTTTTGGAAGCGAACGAGCCTGATGGTGTCAATAACGACCCCGCCAAGGCTTTGGAGAGTCTGCAGCTTATCAAGGAGTTTGCAAGACAACGGGAAGTTGTGGCCCTCCCGAGCCATGATGTAAATACCCCTCGGATACTAGAGGGAAAAGTTCTGTACCGTCCAAAAGATTGATTATCTGGAAGTATGTTTGTAATATCTTGATCAAACCGCGCATAATCTAGACCGCAGCCGTCTGTCTTTTAGGAACACCAATGTTCAGCAATCGAACTACGATATTCACACCAAGTGGCAAAATTTAGACTTGGCAACCTCCCATGGAAATAATCAATACTATTCAGGGGCCCCAGCTAACATAGAGTATGGTCAAGGTGCAAAAGCAAGTCAATAAGGATTGCGACATTAGACATGAAATGGAACTCTGGATACTGTGTAATTGCTTACACTGATTGCAACTCCTCTAAATCTCTCTGTTTCTCCCCCCAAGAAGCAAAAAATATCATCATTTGAAAACCTGTCTGGCTGAAGTCTAAGATACTATTCCAGATGCTAGATTATTGTACATGAATGCTTCGTGGCAGATTGTGTCCGTAGCTGGTGCTCAAATGCCCCTTCATAAAATCTAAGTCCCTCCAATCGTTTTCATTGTCCGTATGAGAGGGGCCAATGCCATTTATCCGAGCCAGAAATTATCCGTGGTAGATTCCAGACCCAAGATATCCATGATGGTGCAAGCTGGGTCAATATACTCCGCCAGGCCGGAGCCACCAGGCATGCTTTCGTATGCGTCGTGCTGCCGGGAATCGTCATTTCTTGTGTGCAAGAATTTGATGGCCTTGCAAAATTCCGCGGGGAACGGAAGCAAGAGCCCAGATGCTTGCTCCAAGATGTCCTTGTGCCACGCATCTGTTTGCTCTTCGTCTTGCGCGCGCGACGATGTGTTGGTCCTTGTATTCGCTCGTTCAAGTTGCAGTCGATTAATCTTCTTGAGAACGAGATCGGACCCACCAAATTTCTGGCGCAATTCCCCCAAGACTGCGCAAAGAATGTCAAGCGACTCTTGATTATAAGATTCCTCCTCTTGGGAGGCACGGACTGAAAATAGAAGAGGCACAGCTGCTGCCATACATAGAAAGCCATGTGTCTGCATCAGATGCTGCGCATCTCTTCTGCAATGTATCTCATCATAGAGGGCAGCGATGCAATGCGACGAGACAATAGACACTACCGATGGCTGGAATGCACTTGTTTCTTTGCACATGAGCATTTGCGACAGGATGATTGTGACCAAGTAAAAGATGAACATTTCCGACACAATGCGATCGTAGGCCAGTCGCTGTCCATTCGAGTCGAAAAGACGCAGGTGCCAGGGAAGTGTATCATGCCATGAGCGAAGCGATGCAATGACATTGGACATGTCCTCTTTCGAAGGTGTTTTCCTTCGCGAAGTCATGTCTACAACAGTGCCGGTGATGGTACCCAGTTGGAAGATACGCATGGCAATATCGGAGCGTACGTTGCCCTGCTGTGGAAAGTCCTGTAAGCTAGGCATCGCTACGTCGCAGTGCTCGAGCAGGATGGCCGAAGGACGGCCCCAGCAAGCTACCATGATTTTATCCACATTCTGGTGGTATATATTAGCATGGATTCTGAGACACAACTCACGACAAGATGCCAGAATATGCGACGCAGGAGGCCCGGACGATCATGATTGGCATGTCTTTGCTGCTTGTGTACACCCATCTGGATCGATAGTCTAATTGCAGAACCAATGCACTGCCAAGGCCCATCCAGAGTAATGGAATCAGTCGACTCAGCACTCCAGCAAGACATGATGCATAACGCTTGCAATACCGTGAGGTGGTTTGGTTCGTAGTTGAGATATATAAGCGTTTTAACTTTTCCGTACAGCGAGCGAGCCAGGCGCAAGCTGTCTTGGTCGGTCCGAGTCAGGCAACCTGCTGAAGCAGAATTGATGAATTGGGACCTCTCACATCGCTTGGATCAACCACTGGATAGAATGGGAAGACGTGTTCAAAGAATGCGTCGGTCAAGGCATGCATAATAGGCCCACGCGGCAGGATGTCCGATCCCGTTTGATCTAAGATATTGGTACTACCGAATGGAATAGGGGTGCCAGGGCTGGCGGCTTCGTCGCCCGACGTCGCCGTTGGTGCACTTGACAGGACGGAATTAGAGGATATAAACCCGCCTGGCCGTCCCGATGCTATGGGTGAACCATGTTGCATGATATCAAGGTTCTCATGTTGACTTTCGGCAACGAAATCTGTAGCTTCATTGAAACTAGTGAAGTTGGAGCGTGCTAATGGCGAAGAAGCTGTGGTAAAAGTCCCATCGATACCACTGGTCTGTCGCGGTGGTCGCGAACGCTTCTTGCGAACCCCGGTGCGGCGGCTACAAGATTAGCAAGTCAGCCTCTCTGTCCCTGCCTTGGGGGGAATGAAGTTTCAACCAACATGCATCGTTGATTGAGCCTGCGACAATTCTTGCAACTGTTGTCCTCGCGGTCTTGCAAGTCACATTTGACCTAGCCAGGGTTAGGACGAGACCATCACGACCAGGAGTCAATATCTTCACCTTTCGATCATGACATTGAACACACACTATCCGAGCGCGGTCCTTGGGCGGTCCCGCGTCCATGTTTAGATTTCATACTGCTGCTCACGAACCACTCTGGTGGTCTAACATTCAGTCAGCAGTAGTAATACATTGGCGGGTTGATAGATGATGTCTCGAGATGCAATTGAGCTTTGGCAATATTTCTCCACATTATTTCACCTCAAGCCTCGGCTTGACGGGCCGGTGTTAGACTCCGTAGCGCCAGTCTCGTATGTAGTGCCAGACTGGCAGTTGCCCATGAACGGCTTGAACCATATTTGCTCATTTATAGTTCATGGGAAGGACTTCATCATCTGTTTAAAAACAATATATGCTGTGGTTTTGTTCTGAGATATATGCACATGGAACTAGAAGCTCGGATTTGGGTATGATCGCTTGACTTTTCCAGCAACCAACTCATCAACGAATTCGGCAAAAGTTATAAACTGGAAATATGGATACAAAGACCACCCGTACATTTAGCCCAATATATCACAGTTTTTATGCGTATTATCAGCTCGCACGTATGAAGAATGTGTGTACTGCGCTAACAGCAGAGCTTTGTTGTTCAGATGCGACGGGTCCAGATTCGCTGCATTTGTGGCCCCTGCCAATCGCCGCATCATCTCCGAAGCCGATACCTACCTATTATACTATATATTGTCAGTCGATAAACATTTTCCTCATACCAGAGGCACAAAGGGACAGTAATAAAATCAAGCTCTACGTTTTCGCCAATCTTCTCTTTGATAATTGCATTCATCTCGACCCAATCTCTGAGCTGATAAGTGGCAGGCTTGTCGATTTAACTCTGTTCGGACGAAACAAGTAATGTCGTAGGAGTAGGAAGAAAACATTAGTTAATATTACGAGCAAGAGCTTTGGAAATTCCTGATCATGGCTCTTTTGTGCGCACCTACATACCTACTTTATTTGCTGGATCATGACCATCCTCGATCAAAGCTTGGAAGATTCAACCTCCTGTTTCACCTGCTGCGCCAACAATAAATACTTTCTGTTTCGCCATCTCTAAGAGATCTCGACTGGGTGAGTTTGAATCATAAAAGAAAAACTTGATGAGATATTGATTTTGGGCCAACTTCTTCACTCCTTTGGGGCCAATGATGGCGTCCCGTTCTGGCGGTCCATTTGTACCGAGTGCCGAGTACCGAGCTGCACTCGCCGAATCTGCCGTCCGCCGCCGTCGCCCAAGGGACAGAAGGGGTGGAGATTGAATGAGTGCATCTCATACAAATGCATATAAGTTAAGCTGCAAGTGCAGTCGACGGATTTCTTAAATCTTCATTCAATTGCACGAATGTTCCTAAAAGGAGTCCAAAATTGGAGCGCCTGTCTGATCACGATCTGGTGGACAAAATGCCCACTGCCTGATGCCGCGCGGCACGATAAACTCTAGGTTCACTGCATCGAGCTCTTACGCAGGCACTTGACGAATTTGGTATCCCATGCCCTCCCTCTCTTGCAACATTTTAAACAATTGCCGAAGGGGTCGTATATAAGGTTTGGCGTTGAGCCAGGGCAAGCCACGGGGCACAAATGTAGGGCTGACGACGGAAAACAAACAATGCGGCATAGCTAGTACTACTAGTCGTATTTCGGAACCGCTATCGCTTATGTGACACGACTGGCAACTTCCCGCTATTGTGTGATGTTGATGTGATATGTATTGGGATCATGGCCTGTATCTGCCAAGTCTGCCTGCCAAAAGCCCTACGTGTACACAAAGGTATGTAATATGCGAATACGCACCTGCGTTGTAGATCACCGAAAGGGATGTGAGTGAGATCACCAAAAAGAACCAAACTTCCCGTGCAGTCCGTAAGCACCACAAGCTGGTAGCCTCCTTCCAACCCCGGCTTGCCCAACGCCGCTGAGGAAACGCGATTACACAGCCGCTCCTTTTTCTACAGAGTACGTGCTGACATGGCGTTCAGCTTAGCCCGTTTGGCCCCTAGACGCGATGATCTCTTCCAGAATCCGGCAATCGCGCACAGGTTGTGTAGCGCAAAGAGCAGCACCGCTAGAGTCGTGGGCCGTCGCTAGTTGGCCTTGAATGACAAGCCACCAGGAAAGGAGTACCGTCATGTTTTAAATAGAACTTGTGTGATGGGCGGGTGTAAAAAAAAAAAAAAAAAAAAAAAAAAAATCATATATAGCCCAAGTCTGACGTATTCAGCACTACCTCGTCCTTGCTTGTGACATGACTCCAATTGTCTAATCAGTAGCTCAAGATGTATGGAACGATGAGCAAGTTGCTCACAGTCGTCGCTTGCCTGGGGTTATTGCAGCCAGGTCTTGCATATCGACAAGGAGTAACTCACGACGGCTCCTGGGAACCCGAATATGTCCTCATAGCAACATCACAAAATATTACAGTCAATTGCCATTCTCGAAAATCAGTAGTCTTCAATGGCACATCACCTGGACCGGCGATACACATGGTAGAAGGAAAGACGACATGGGTTAGAGTGTATAATCAGATTCAAAATGACAATCTCACAGTGGTAAGACAGCCCCTATGGAATGCTCATCCCCCAGAGTTGGAGGAGATGAATAGAGCTGACGCTCGGTAGCACTGGCATGGACTTTCGCAAAGAACGGCGCCATTCTCGGATGGCACACCTCTGGTGTCGCAATGGCCCATTGCCCCGAACGAATACTTTGACTATGAAATCCACCCCGAGATTGGCGATGCTGGTACCTACTTTTACCACTCGCACGTTGGCCTCCAAGCCTTGACTGCCCACGGCCTATTGATTGTCGATGGGGCGAATGACACAGAACCATACGAATATGACGATGAAATTCCTCTCGTACTTGGTGACTTTTTCCCGACTGAGGATGAGGCACTAATCGCAGGACTAGTGGCCAATCCCTTCAAGTGGTCAGGAGAGACGCAAGCATTAATTCTCAACGATCGCTCTGGCAATGCATCATTTAGTGACGCAACTGATCCATCGTGCACCCCGTACGTGATGACGGTCGAACCGGGCAAGACATATCGACTTCGTTTTGTCGGTGCAACGGCGCTATCTTTTATCATGCTGGGAATAGAAGGTCATGCCAATCTGACTATTATCGAGGCCGACGGTCAATACACCAAGCCCGTCGCCACCGATCACATCCAGATTGGAAGTGGCCAACGCTTCAGCGCATTGCTCAAGACAAAGACACAGGAAGAGCTGGACGCGGATGGCAAGAGCTCATACTGGATCCGCTACGAGAACCGTGATCGTCCTGCCAACGTGTCTGGCTACGCTCTCTTGCAGTACACCCGTGGCGGTTATCCTCAACTTCCTCCTGCAATCTTGCCCAGCGAATCTCCCGTTCAACTGACGAGAAATCTCTCCGAGTATACAAAGTGGTTGGAGTATTCTCTAGAGGCGCTCAACCCGCTAGAGACCTTTCCAACCCTTGACGAGGTGACGCGAACGGTTTATATCCAGCTGAATCAGCATGTCGTCGATGGTTTCTATAATGGAAGCGTGAATGGAAAGCTGCAATGGGAGTATGTTGAGTTATCCTGTTTTCCGGCGTATATGCAGCAATACTAACTTTTCACCACCTAGCTCCAATAATCTGACCTGGACGGAGGAGAGTCTCGAAGTCGACCACTTTACGCCGTACTTGGTATCAGCCTATACCCAGGGGACTGTTCCGGACTATGATGCCGCAATCGCCAACGGCGGATGGGATCCTGCCACGCGAGCATTCCCTGCACGTGTCGGTGAGACCCTCGACATTGTCTGGCTCAGCAATTCGGGACCTACTGGCGGGTTCGACTCTCACCCAATGCACGCGCACGGCGCTCACTTTTTCGACCTTGGCTCGGGCAATGGAACGTACAATGCCACTGAAAACGAGAAACAGTTCTCCGGTTACACTCCAGCCCGGCGGGACACGACGCAGCTCTACCGCTATGCCACCTCGGGCCAAGCTAATCACACCATGGGATGGCGAGCATGGAGGCTCCGTGTGACCGAGGACAATGTCGGCGCGTGGATGATGCATTGCCATATCCTTCCGCACATGGTCATGGGAATGCAGACAGTCTGGGTGTTTGGCAATGCCACCGAGATCATGAGCGAGATACCACAGCCATATATCAACGGCTACCTAGAGTACGGGGGAAGCGCTTATGGTAATGATAGTTCTGACCCATTAGTTGTGCCGTATTATGACGATTAGGTCGTACTTTGGAGTTGAATCAGTAATAGAACTTGGAATCATTTATGAAGAACATCTTGGGGGTTATTCTGTCGATCGCGGGCTCTTTGCCAAGAAATGTTGAGAAATGTCCTGTTTGAATCGCAGTAGATTGAAAAGAAGCCAGGCACGTATTGAGGCAGATCCAAAGGTCGAGATGCTGCTGCTGACTGTAGCGGGCGGGTCGAATCCTTCAGCTCATCAGGCCTGAAGATCCGCAGATGACAGAATACGTTCAGTTGTCATATCAATGTGAGGGACTACTTGAGGGATCCCATGGCATGAAGAGGATCGAGGTCCAAAGGATTGGCAAAGAGAACCTTTCTATCAAACGTCATTGGCGTGATGCCAGTGATGTCGAGGCTCCAGCGCACCATGCATGGTCATCTTGGGAAAATCCAAGCGCAAACGACTAAATTTTAACTTGGTACGCTGGGGCACAGCACTCTTAAGTTTTGTTTCAAATATTGAAGGGTATTAGGCTATGTGGCTCATGACGACTAGGTTAGGTTAGTTGGGTGCGGAGTCGATAGCGAAACCGATAGCGAGCCATTGAACATTCAGCCCTATACTACAAGAAGCAACCAGCCCTATTGCAGTGCCAAGTATGAACATTGCACAGCCCCATGAGCTTTCGATTAGAGCTTCTGCTTTGCTACGCCAGATGCCCCAGGTGTGGCGTTTAGTACAGACAGCTTTCGAATCCCATCTCTGGAACAGACACAGGGCCAAAAGTACTTTTTATTGCTTCTATATTCAGAAGATCTGCAAGGACCCCGCAGAGGCACCCCGAAATGGAAAATGGATTCTTGGCTGTGCCGCAAAGACAACAAAGTGAGAGCTCCCTCCATGTCGCTCGTGCAGGGGCTGTAGGGGCACAGCGCAGTGCTGACAGGCCATGCTCCACACTTTAGCCAGGGAATAGATCCTACGAAATGCAGAGTTTGCATTGAAGTCATCTTTTGTATTTGAAAGTCTTTTTTTTTTCAGAGTAAGACGTTCATGAATGGGATTGGATTGGTATGTAGAAGTAATGTTGAATACCTACTTTGCTCATTTATTGTTTGTATGGTATTGTCGTTGCCTGGCAAGTAAGTATACTATCATGTTCATTTGGATTATATCAATCGCAGGGCTCTGTGTAATACCCAACGCGCATCATGTCCCGCCAGCAACAGGAACAGCACCCGCCAGAATGGATCGATGCAGAATCCTTCAAGTTTTCAATTGATCCTTTCAATAATTATTAGAATTTGCTAAGCAAAGAATCGTTGATGACTGGACATGTCCACTTTTTGATCTTCGGTATTCGCTGCGCTGCTAAAGAGTCCTAAAGGTTTTGGGTGGATGGCGGATCCGCATGCTCGCTATCGTACCTGCAAAAGAAAGCTTAGCGATTTCACAGTGTGGTCTGATTGGTCAAGAACGTGGGCTTACCAGGATAGTCAAGATAGCATCGTGGCTTGGCTTGGCTGGGGGCTGGCTGCCTTGTCAAGACTCGCACTCGGAACTAGTAATGCTTGATTCAAAAAGGCCACTGCAGTGAGTGAGCACCTTCTATGGGACATGGCGACATGAAAAGGATATAAACGTTCACGTATCGCTGCCTTGGCGGTGTATTCATTCCACCACAAACAAGATTCAAAGACTCATAAAACGACGACACAATACAACCAGTTCATTGTTTTTGATAAACTAAAAACTTTCAACACATTATTATTACGCGGCACGTCTATACAATTTACAACATTTCAAGGAATCATCACGACAACGTCGCCATGGTTCGCCATCACCAGTCTTCGTCAGACGACTCCAACAGCACACATGTCTGCGATACACCTGCTTTCGAAATTAGTACGTCAACCTAGGGATTCTGCTCGGCCCATTGATAATAAGACTGACTTTTGGCCTTTACAGCTACAACGACACCAATCGTTGGCAACTTCCAGTTCCATGAGTTAAACATGATCATCAGCGGCGCATGTGCCGCCTTTTCGGTCATTGTGCTTCTTTTACTCATGGCCCGACACACTCTCAACTTTAGCAAGCCACAAGAACAAGCCAAGTGAGTACCGACCAATGCCAAACTACTACACCTATCCAGCCTTTTGCTAACCCCAACAAAGCATTCTGAGGATTTGTCTCTTCATTCCAATCTATGCCATTGGCAGCTTTATAGAGATCTGCGCACCCGCCGCTTACATCTACCTGCGTCCGTGGCTCAACACGGCCCAGGCCGTCGCCTTGGCCAACTTCTTCCTCCTAGTCTGTCGCTTCCTCTCGTCCGAGACCGACGACCGCCGCGAAGTCTTTCTCGCGCCCATGCAGGCGATGCGCGCCAAGTCGACAAAGGGGGCCGTCAAGGCCGCCAACGGGTACCAAAAGACGTGGCTGTTGATCTTTCAATACCCCGTCGTCTCGGTCCTGGTCGCCATCTTTACCGCCATCACCGAAGGCGCCAATGTGTATTGCTTTGGCAGTCGGCATGCGTACTGGGCTTCCCTGTGGTTGGAGATTGTGGACAAGGCCAGCACCATTTTCGCGATTATTGCAGTCCTCAAGACATACAGCCAGCTCAAGGAGGAGCTCAAGCCGCATCGCGCCTTGGGGAAATTGTTTGCGTTCAAGACCTTGATTGGACTTCAATTCTTGCAACAGGTGAGTTTGGAGACCCTCCGCAATACCCCATGCAAGCATCTTGTACTGACAATTGCCCCCAGATCATTTACATGATTCTCACGCGCATCAATCCCTCTCCGCTTGAGCCCACCGACACTCTCAGCTACACTGACATGGAAGTCGGCATTCCCCTGTTGCTGGTCAGCTTGGAGCTCGTCATCTTCTCCGTCTTCTTCCACTTTGCCTACAGCGTGACGCCCTACCGTCTCACATCGTACCAGCCCAAGCCTCTATCCGTGGAAGAAGGCAGCGAGTTCATTGCCAAGCCCGACGGCGGCAGCAACCACGGCGGGCCTCTGGGCATCCGCGCCTGGGCCTCGATGCTGGACCCGCGGGAGCTGATTGCCGCCATCCTCTTCACCTTCAAGATGCAAAGCGAAGCCCGAAGGTCGGCGCTGAGATGGGATTCGTCGTCGCCGGCGGCGCCGCTGGGCTCTTATGGTGCTTCGGCTCCGCTGTCTTCGCCGCCACTATCCCACGAGTACGCTGGCTCGGGACGTGTCACGCCGACTGGCCAGCAACCTCACGATTCGGCATACGACCAATACAGACAAAACGTGTCCTATGGGACCCACAACTGAAGACTCGAAAAGTCATGATTTAGCGGCGCATCAAATAATGACTAGGTAGCCGGAGTCTGGGGCTTAACGGTGTAATTTGGTATTATGAAGATGGAGGGGGCCTACTGAGCCAACGTTGGTTGCATTCAAGCGATAATAGACATTGATTTCAAATTACCTCATCACACCTTGTGTCATTTGCGTGCTCATATCACATCATAAGCAAATGTATCGTCTTTCCTTGGGCCCACGCAACAAGGACAAATGCCAAGCTCAGCTGCTGCTGTTTATTTCATGACTTTGGGGATCCTGGAGTTCCGCGCCACCTTTGTTGTTCCTGTTGATCTTCCTGATCAAGTATATGACAAGGGTCTCATGACTACTGGCAATGGTCAAAAATTATACATGATTTGGCAATTCATTTCTTCCATCTTGATTCGCACAGGTTGAGATTGCCGAAATGATCATGCAAGTATAACTCTTCTCCAACATCACGTACCAGACAATTGACTATGAGATTATGCAGATCACTGCCAAAAAGTTATAATGGTTCGCTTCTTTGGGAGATAATTCGCGAAAGGAATGACACGGTGAGCACCTGCAAGGATTCTAAGCTTATTTTCTCTGACAGGCCTCATTGTGACACGAATTTTGAAAAGCCATGCTACATTTGGAGCAATGCGTACAGTTCATCATTCCCGAACAAGATGATGTTCTGTTCCAAGCCTGTTCATGTCCAATCATTTAGCCCTGTCGGATATGTACATTGAGGGGGTTGGTTTGAGCGAGGCTGCTTCCCGTACATGATGTTCCGGGGAAGCGCAGGGGGACGAGTTGACCGAGTCTCAGCTTTCATTACCACATATTCTTTAGTTGATGTCATGTCTTCATGTTCTTTCTGTCAGCACATGATCCTTTTTATACAATCTTGTCAACATGCACAGTTACGCATGCCGAGACCTTTTGCTTCGAGGAAGTGTTAGCGTCGTGATTCGATCAGTGTTGCACAGGTTGAGAATATAAGAGGGCACCCATCCATTTCAAACATGAACTTTTGTTTACATATGCTACAACTCTGACTCCAACTACATCCAGAATCAATTTTCCCTCCCAGTCTTTAAGAAAAACCATTGCACGGTTCCGACATCATCATCTCGAGATCTTACCCTGAAACCACCATGCAGTTCAAAGCCTTCATCATCACCACGCTCGCAAGCGTAGCAGCTGCCGAAAGCCTCTCGGACGCCATTGCCGACTTTCCCAGCTGCAGTCTCAAGTGCTTTGGTGACGAGGTCAGCGACCAGGGCTGCAGCCTCACCGACTTTAACTGCATCTGCGATCACCAGGTCCAATTGGCCGTGAGCCTGGGCACCTGTGCTGGAAATGACTGCAAAGGCGTTGGAGACAGCTTTGGTACGTTTTTTTTTTATCCCTCTCCCTCTCTTTCTCTCTCTCCCCCTCTCCCTAATCCTCTTATTCCGCTCCTACTTGACGATTTCAATTATTCCCCCGCAAAAGTCTAGTGTTGCTGATATTCGTCGCGCTATCTTTTAGATGTCGGCCAGGCTCTCGGCGACTTGTGCGTGCGATGGCACGAGGACCCTCCGACCAGCGAGGTCAGCGCGGCCACGAGCACTCTCGGCGCCGCCGTCGCGAGTGCCACCGTGGTGAATAGCACTGCCGTAGATGCTAGACCAGCTGTCGGCATCATGGGTCTTGCCGCCGCCGCCGCCGCTCTGGTGTTCTAGGTTGGACAAACTGAAAAGAGGAAAATTTGAAAGAGTTCAAAACTACCAAATGCATGATACTCCTGCATGCCCCGTAGCATAGTTTGTCTAGGGAGGGAAAGAAAATACCTGCTTGGGGACGCCATGGGACGGGATGGACTCGAACATATAATCTAGCACGGTGGAGTTAAAGGTTCAGGTATCGGATTTAATAGCGACGAGAATATTGAGAAATACAGTCAGATAATACAGTGTCAAGTTCTTGGAATAGTAAATTACATTATATGAGACTGCTGACATACGCAAAGTCACAGTAAAAGCCCACGTACATTGACAATGGGAATTCTCGAGGGTATACCTAAAGCGTACAATAGGCGAGTTCATGAAAAGGGGCCGCTTTGTGATCGTCCTATGGGAGGCCGTGGCGAGAGACAAAGCAATGCAAGAGGCTGAGGCGACTTATCAAGTGAGAAACCCGCCATCAGGACATACGAATTGACCAAGGCCTCTTACTGACCAGCAATGGCGCTACGTAAACGAGCCACGTATCCCATTGTCATCGTAGAAGGGATTTCTTAAATCATGGATAAACTTGCAATAATCACACAGACAAGTATAGCAGCAAGATGAAGCGAGTCTCCTGAGACACCGCAACATCCCGACTTGGCATTGATGCCCTGAATATTATATGATGAGACACTTGTACTAGGCTAATTCCATTGTATACTGCTACGACATGTGCTTCGCCTCGGGGCCACGTCACGAGTCAGCTCTTTTGACTTTCAAGTGCATGAGTCATTAAACGTTGTGACTTTGCATGGACACGATCACGATTATCCCAGAGTTTTCTTTTTCCTACCAACACCCCCTTTGCTTGTCAGGCGCGTGCCGTAGTGTCACTGCACCAACGGGTATCTTACCGGAACATTGCAGCGCGCATATACGAGTTCCCCGTCAATCAAAATGCGGGTCTCAGATCGGACATCTCACCCGGGCTGAAAAGAAAGGCGATTTTTGGGTTGATGAATGAATCGACTTGTACGGAATTCTTCACATTACTGGGTGGTTTCTATACTGCTCCTCTCTATGCTGTTTGCTACAGGAATCGAAGGCCTGGATTTTCTGTATCCGTCCATATCCGAGCTCTGTGCAAGGGTGACCTCTGCCTTATCCGCTCAAGTGATCGCAACGTTGGGTATCTACAAACCGAGCTTTGCGAATCTAAGAGCAATCATGATTGCTATCTTATATCCTCTCTCCCTCCTGCTTTTCGCCAAGCTCCCCTCAATGGCTGATGATGCAATATTATATATAACGTGATGGCGGCCGTGACGATGACGTATGTGCAAATCCTGCGCTCTTCAGCGCCAAACAAACAAAATCCTTGACCCTGAAACCAATTCGTGTACTCCTAGAAACGCCATATGTCCTGCTGGATGAAGCAGTGTATGCACGCAATTGTAAATGCCAAATCATGCACGCCGAAACTTTGAAAACAATTGACAAGACAAGCGAGAGCTGCGATATCGTCTTGGGAATCGCAGCTGATCCGTGTGTGACACGACCGGCTATGTCGTCGGTCGTGTTTCACAGGCATTGCCGGGAAACAAAGGCGTGGTGAGTGTCTCTTGTGTTCCTTGGCTCGGAAGGCCTAGTACACTCGATCCAACCACGGCTTTCGATCATCAGAATTATTGGTTCTGTGATTATCTGGCGGTGATGGTGTCTCTGTGCGAGTCGAGACGGGTTGAACGGCTGCATCGCATTTCTATTGCGGCAGCAAAACGCCCCCCTCTTTCTCGTCGTAATTCTCCTTGACGTGGGTTACAACCTGCTCCGTCAGCTGCGCACACCACGGATCCACGTATGTTGTCCACAGATTGGCCACTGCATAGTTGAGTGGAAGCCAAATTGGTAGCCACAGCATCAGCTTCCAGGCGCCGGGGAACTTCAGCTGGCCAGGGACCGTCTCGCCGGCATCATTGACAACGTCAGCAGGCAAGCGAGCACCGTACACCATCCAGCACAACAGCCAGCGGAGAAGTGGTCCATGCAGCAGGTATACAGCAAAGGATTGCTTTCCAAGCCAGAGCAGGTACTTGCTCGAGAGAATATCCTTGAGGAAGGGGCTAAAGTGGATGCCAAGGGTGATGAACTCGAGTCCAATGCCAGAGCCGAAGCGAGGAAAGTCGGGATCCTTGGGCAAGATGTTCTTGAGAATCGAGAATAGCCAAGCAGACCATGGTTGCCACTCTGGGTGGCCTTCTGGGTAAGAAGCGATGAAGCAGCCAATGAACAGGAAAAAGATGGCAAGCATCTTGGAAATGCGGGGACGATTCGCAATGAAATCGTTGGCAGAGGGCAAGTTTTGCAGGTCGCAGAGGAAAACTCCCCAGAAGAATTGCATTCCAAACGCCGCTGTGGAGGCCAGTAGGTTAGCAGGGAGAAAATAGCTAGAGGCAAGAAATGAGGTCTGCGGGCAAGAAAACTCACAATCGGATGCCACCCAGAAATAGGCATACATGGCCAAGGAAGCCATCATGCGGTATCTTGGCTGCATGTAGGCGGTACCAATGATGAAGACATAGACCCAGAAACTGCCCTTCAACAGAGGCAGCAGCGTCCATTGATTTCCATCGTAGCTGTTTCGACCATGGGTCCAAGTGGTGATGATATTGTAGAGAAGACTGTAGAGCGCATCGCCCAGGTGGGGTACCTGATCGGGTGCAGTTGCGCCGCACCACCAGCAGTCGCTTCGCTTAGCCACGAGGAAAAGGCCAAGCTGCGCCATGACCCAGATGATGCAAGTAGCCAGAGCAGTGGGGATCACAAGACGGGGAACTCTGCGCAGGGCCGATTTGGAGATGGAGGTGAAGGCATTCTCCTGGTTTCCCTGGCGGGAGAGCTTGATGGGCTTGAGAGCGCAGACATAGCCGGTCACAAAGGCGAAGATGGAGACGCCAATGCGACCCTGAACGAGGATTCTGAGAAAGGGAAGCTGCAGCAGTCGTGGTGCAACATCCTGAGCGGACGCGGGCGAGAAGAGATCGCCATCAAAAGCGCGGGCAATGTGCGTAGAGACGACTAGAGAGGATGCAAGACCTCGGAGGCCCTAAAGTCATAGAAGGTTAGCTCAAAGACCACGGCGGGTTCAACAGGATATAAGCGATGACGAAGAGGTTTATGGGTGTCGGTCGCTGTCGCTGTTGCTGCTTAGCCGTCGCGGTCGCTGGGGGGTTGATCTGATAGCCAGTGGGTCAACGGTCGTCGGCAGTTCGAGGGCCTCAAGCCAGGGGGCCCATCCAGTCCTTCAGCACACTATTGGACCTTTTGTTGTAAGCTTAAAAGTTGGCGATCTGCGCTAGAAGACCAGCCACGAGTCGCTTAGATCTAAGATGTGTGCGGTCGTTCCAAGGAACCAAACCACTAGCTAACAGGCCTGTTTTTTGTTCGGTTCTGAAAAATATGACGGATCCCCATCACCGAAGTCATGTAGGTAGGTGTGTGGTGCGTTTGTCAATTTTCGTAGGGGGGATTTTCCATTGTCTTGCATCACCATCGGAGGTACGCGGTGGCTGAATTGGCGCGTGTTTTGATCTAGGTGATGCGCCGCAGACCTGGGGAAATGGCAAGGCGCAAATCCAATGGCTTCGACGAAAGATGAGAGCCCGGCAGTCGTCAATCACTCCTTCAGACAGGCCTGGTGCTTGGTGTTGTATTGCCGGATCCCAAAGCATGCTTAACCGATTCCTCATTGACGGCGACCCAATCGGGATTTGTGTAATTTGTGTTCTGTGTGCAGATGGGGAAAACGGGACCTGTGAAGTTGACTTACATCCACCCATTTTACGTTTCCCTCCTTGCCAATAGCCATGGCGAAAGCAGAACCTGGTAAGATCTTCTGGTCGAATGGAAGATCGGAATGGTTTTCGTCTTTACCAGGACATCCGTAAAGTTGCTGGCTATGATTCAATGGATTTGGTTGACCACCTGCAGTGGTGCTCGTGTCCACTGACAGGCTCCGTCCGAATTGACTTCGTCCAAATTCAATTGCCTGCACCAAACTGGCAACAGAGTTGGTGCTAGGTAGAGAATCCGGGGTGGGAGAGGAAGGGAGAAAAAAAAGCAGAGCCTCCCAAACTTTCAATGTCCACCACTCCTAGGTCTTGTTTACGCTTTTCCTTTGAGGCACAGAAACCACAATTGTCTGTAGCCCAGCTTTGTCGTGATCCGGATGTCAATTGTTGTGAGTTTGAACAAGAATCAGGCCTTATTGGTCGAGAACGAGCCAAGGAATATCTGTGACCTTGCCGAACACCCGGGGTGGGAATGCCGTGTGCACCTGCGATCTGAAAAGAAAACGCAAACGATATCGACTCGGTGATGATGGACACAAGGTATGACCACAAACAATGAAGGAGGGAAGTAGAGAGTAGTCAAAAAAAGACTCCAAACAGAAAAGAACGAGAAATAGACCCGCGAACGAACAAGCGAACCGAAGGGAGGGAACGGTAGGAGGCTGTCCCAGAGGAGGCGAATGGCTGAGACTTTTGAGGACGGGGTCGGGCTTAGGGTGGAACAGACCTTCCAAGAGGGGAGAAGGGGAAGTGTAAGTACTAGTAGTAATAAACAAGAACCAGAACTGCTTTCTCTAGGTTATGACGGTGACCCTGCTTTTTGTTTCTTTTGCTGCTGGCTTAGGTAGTAGACGACTGACTGACTGACATGTTCCGGGCCATGGGAGTCAAGTTGTGGGAATCTGCGTCTTGGCATACAGGTTGCATAGGGTCTCTGAAATGGATCGATCGTCTGAAGCGCAGCCAGTCAGGTCAGTGCCCGGTATCATTTTAGCAGGTGGCTATCTAGCAAGTACTGCCAATGGTACCTACCTCCATTATTTTGGTATGATAGCAACGCAGGTATTGTCTACTACTACTGGGTACACTATCAATGTATCTATCTACCTGACAGGCTTGTTTCCCAGGTTCTTGTTCTTCTCCACGCCTTTGATGGGGGGCCCTGGGGGAGCGGGAGGGGAGGGGGCGGCCATCTATTACAACCCAGGCAAGGCCTATCTCTTACCTGCCTTCTGACCGTAAACATTGTACATATTTTCAATGACAACTAGAAGCGGTGCAAGCCAGAAAAAGACCATCCCGCCGGACAGGACGGCAAGGATCTCTATCTAGGTGTCCGAAGGTGCCTTTGGGGGCGCTGCGCAGGGGTTCACTTTGGGCTTTGTTGGAAAGGGACTACTTGTACTTGCTTGTGGTGCTTGTGTGTATGTCTGTGTGTGTGTTGCACGACCTACCTAGGAGCGAGAGCTACCTTGTACTTACCACTCGGTTGTTGCTGGCCGCCAAGCAGGAGGTGCGGATTTGGGAGGGTATCAAAAAGGGAATTGCCGGTTTGCCGATTCTGGCGCTTGCAGCACTTGTCTTGGCATTCGCATTTGTGTCTTGGCATAGGGTTCAGTGGCTTGCCAATTCTAAGGCTCAGGGCTTCCCAAGAGGCAGATCTCATTCCCAACGGCCCCTATGCCAGCACTAGTATCGCAGAGTGGCACGAGCAAAAAAAGACTATCAAATCTGATTTCTCAAGAATCATCACCGCCCATGGGGTAGGTATGGAACGATCTAAGGGGAGGGGAGAAAGATTCCAGAAAGAAAGGGGCTTGGTTCAAGGGTCTGGCTGATTGCTTTCTTCCATTGCTTGCTTTAGTGAATTTGACTGGCTAAATTTGTCGTCTCGCAGATGAGCCTTTGTGCCTTCATATGATGGTAAGCAGGCAAGCAAGCAAGCGGTTAGGATTGGATTTCAACTTCCGATATAACCGGTCACCTTACCAGGTAGGATTGGGATCGATTATTGCTCATCAAGCACGATTGACAGGAAGATTAAAGCCAGACAAGGCCAGACATGAACACGCGTACAGAGTATTTTTGGTACCCATCGTGATCTTCTCACTGATCTCTGGCAAGGAAAAAAAGAAGAATAATTATTAGAATAAAGTTAGGCTCAAGCATAACCAACTCTAAGCAGGAAAGAAGAAGAAAAAAGATTCGCTGTGTCCTTCCTTTCCACCTGCACGTGTAGATGTGCTATGTAATAGCGCTTGGTCTATTATGGTAGCCGTCTCGTCGCTCATAGTCCAGCCTATACTAGAAGGGGCTACCCCACGAGTTCTAGACCTTCCATAAGGAGCAGGCCTATGAACTTGACACAAGTTAAACGGGCTGACTTGAAGAATGCTGGGGCTGGTAGTAGATACATTGGCTACTATGTATGTGTAATAAAGCAGCACTCTGGCTAGTAATCTGTAGTAATCTGCTGATGTCAATATGATCACACAATGTGGAATTTTTGGGGGGATTTGACGATTCTTTGGCCTTGTCAATGTCGTCGTCTTCCTTGTTCCCAATCCCCCACGTTCCCGTCGTCGTTTTGTCGTGCCTCACTCGTACATTAGTTTGCCGATTTGCCGTGCGCTGCCGCGTGCAGTCGAATCTCTGGGCAAGACTGGGCACATGGGCAAAACAACAGCATTCAATGGTGCAGGGCAAAAGGCAGTCGACAGGCATTGGCTGCGCTTGCAGTGGTGAAGGCGGATGATCTCCATAAGCAGTGCTCTACAATGTACCGAACAACGCCCAACCGCGTCCTTGGACGGCCCCTGTCGCAGTTTTGGCCTCGTCCCAGAGTCTTGGCCTGCAGCGGAATCCAGCCACTGCCACCTTGGCAGTGTTTCGAGCGTACTAACGGATCTTAGTATCAGGTACCTAGAGTGGGAGAGGCCAACAAGGTAGGGCAACACCATTGACAAAGTACAACAACCACATCAGTTGATTGACTGATCTACTTGATTATTACCGTCCGCGATGGCGGTGCATTTCGAACCGTGTGTGCGTGCCGACTAGGCGGACGGCTTGCCAGGCAGGAACGAAACGCAGTACTGCTTGGTGGCTGCCATTCTGATTTTTTTTTTTTTTTTTTTTCCCATGGACGCACTTCGCCTCGTTCTCCTTGCTGTTTCGGTTATGTTTATCTTCCGAATCATGTGTCTGGGATTGCTGGGCGGTGATGCTTATGTGATGGCTTTTTTTTTTCCCTCCCCTACCACACATTGACACGCATGAGTGAGTGCGAGAGTATACTCGTCGCATGTCCGGATTGTTAGATACCCGAATCGGGTGAAAACCACAGCGCTGAAGCCAGCCGCCTGCACAGTACGTACAGAGCAGACCTATGATCTCTTCTCATGTAGTAACAAGTCTTGTTACCACTTTTGGTAATCTCTTCCTTCCTCATTGAAGCAATAATTGGAGCGCGACCCCCAACAATAACAAGGCAAGGGATGAAAAGACGACCATAATTCACGCGACTCGGCGAGCTTCAATAACGTCATAGTCCGGTGGCTCCACTAATGGAGTGTCCACGTCCGATAAGAGAAGCCCAGAGCAGTGATCTCTGCGCTACTACCAGCGTGCTCCTCTTCCACTTATCATGTGTGCAGACAAGTGCCCCATCCCATCAATCACGATGCGACAGAAGATCCAGTCCTTTGCTCATTGCCGGTGGATATGCCAAGCATTATTCGAACACCTAGAAAGCCCGCGACAATGTCAAATTGAAGCGCCGGCGGGCGCCTGTCCCACGGTGGCGCGTTTGGCTGCAAGGTGTCCAGATGGAAGAAATCTCCCCTTCACTATAACACGGAATCTTGGCATTGGGGCTATTCGGCATAATCGGGTAACCCGGCATCGCTGTGTCGCCGCTCTCGAGCATGTTTGTGATACTACTATTCGGCTCATTACAGCACAGCCCGTCAGCTTAAAGGAGAATAAAAAGAATATCCAAACAAATATAGCCATATGGTTTTCTTCAGGGGAGCAGATGGCAAAGAAAATTTCCAGGTTCAATCTCGCTTCACTGATTCATGGCAGAGAAAGCAACGCTGGGCGAGGCTAGCAGAGGGCGGATGGGGGAGACGTGCCTGTCAGATGCTTGCATGCGGCCCACTAAGAGGTACCTAACCTACCTGAGGTTGTACTAGAACCTGCCCTGGAAGCCGTCCACATACCTCACCTCAACCTAACAACCTCGTTCGACGGGCATGCATCTTCCAAGGAACCAAGGTACTGCTGTAGTATCTGTCTTCCAAGCCGGTCGATTTCCGAGGAATTTGGCCCTATTCCCGCCGCTTGTGTTTTTTTGGTCTACTTTATTGTCAGTATGAAAGATCCTATGCCGACAATATTTTATCATGACACTCACGTGGGTTATTCGGGAAAAATAAAATGAGAAAAAAAAGAAGAAGAAGGCAAACTTCACTTGACTCGCCGCTTGTGCTTGGCATATTGAATTTTTCCCCGCAGAAGCCCATAGATCTTTCAATATTTCTCATCATCGTGGAGTGCCATGATTGCCCATCATTATCCAGAACCACGGAGCATCCCTTCCAATGAGGACATCAAAAGAGGATCTCGCTTGTGGAAGAGCCTCAACTCACCCCAGTCAACCTCCACTACAACTAGTATGCACAGGCCTGTCCCCTGGTAGTTCATTACCGGCTGGGTTGTTGGAATTTAGTTGGAAACATGGGCGCATCACTTTGATATTTCTCTTCTCTCTACTTTCGACAAGACTCTCAACATGAGGAAATAATTGCTTTCTCAGACATCACCTGTTGAGGAAAAAAAAAAAGTCCACGACGGTTTTATGCCAATTTGTTTCCCGTCGTGGTTCTGCATGCCGCGGGAAAGGCTCGATGCAGTAGCCCGGTTCTATAGCGAGCCTTGACTCGGGAGGCCCCGAGAAACAATATTATAAACTTCAATTGCGGCTGCAATTGGAGGGAGAAATAAAAAAGATTAAGGTTAACAACCAATGCTGGCTGCTCGGCCGAGGTCAAGACATAATCTCCTCCACGTGAGTACTTTGTACCTTTTTGTTTCCCACTTTCCAACGGCTTCCAGGAGTCAATTGGTGCTTTTTGGAACTTTTTTCAATTATTGCCCGGTTGATCTGCGACTGGCATTCTCGCTGAACCCCATAGGTAAGAGGGATTATCGTGAGAATTCAGCACGGCGCCTGTCGTGGCCTCCGAGATGACCCTTTTTACTTGACCGCTCCAATCAACCCTGTGAAGTGACCCGACAGCTAGTAACTCGTACAAGCGAAGGGGGTGGAGAGGGGGAATGGGGAACATGTGATGACGTACACCTTGTTCTTGGCACATGGCAATTCCCTCGTCTTACCCCCATATCGTAGCTCAGTAAGATGAGCCTAAAATGAACCTGTTTGCAACGGCAAAAACCCCCAGATGCAGCATCTTTATTCCGTGATTCGGGTTCGGCTATCATGTGCTGTAACATTATAGACAGAGGGAGAGAGTGAAAATCTCTGCCGTGTGAAGAAGAATGCGACGCTACTTTTGAACGACTGCCCAGCGCAAATCTGGCGCTGCTGCACCTCCCCCCTGGTCATGGCCTTTTTTGTCCCTTTGCCATTTTCGGAAGCCGACTCGGCACCGGAGGTCAGCTTAGTCGCATGTGTGTGAATGTGTGTGTGTTTCCCACATCTCCCCAGCTGCCCGTTCGTACAGTACAGTCCTTGACTTGATGGGTTAAAGTACTGCGGATGTGGCGCGCCAAGCCCGTTTCCCCAGGTCCCGAATGCGCGACGGCGGCCGCATGCCGTATTGGGCCATTTTCCTCATTTCCATGACACTCGTTTGTATTCTCGGCCAAAAAAGAATTACTTTAAAACGCCCATCAATCATTCTCTGTTGGAGTGGACGAATTATTGTGAACATTGACGACATTTGATCGACAGGAGGGGAATATAAGGGTCCACGATGTTTCATCCTTATGCCTTCCTATCTCGGAAGTGTATATTCCAAGCCTTGATATCATAAAGATAAGTGGCGATCACTTGTATGTACAGCCATGCTGATCAACGATAGTGAAACAAAAACAGTGGAAGATTTATCGGCAGTCCGGATTTGCTACACGTGACTAGATTATACTGAGTAGTGAGTAAAGTGATATGATTCCAGGCCATTAGGCGATGCTATAGTGTCGCCTGTTCGGTGGTTGCGACCACTCGGCGGCGCGCAGATAGAGCAGTAAATCCAATGTACCGGTAGACTTTTTATCTTGATCCCAGATGTGAGGTAAAATAATCCCACCTGATAAAATAGGCAATGATACTCTTACCCTTTAGCAAGGACTGGATATGAAGTCTCAAAGAAACGTCGAAACAGCACCAAGGACACGTGAAGGGTAGAGGTGATCGTCCGAGGGATTAAGAAAAAAACAATTTGAAATCAGTCCAGTTGACTCAAGTCGCAACGGATAAGCCACCCTTGCTCGTTGATGCCCGAGTTGACGTACGGCCGCACGAGCCGTCCATCCTCATCCTCGAGCTCAATGTCCCAGACCCGAAATTCGGCAGTAATGCGGCTCCGGCACCCGGGCGGCGGGCTCATCCAGCACCGGTAGACGGACCAGTCGGCGACGCCGACGCTGATGGTGCGGTACCCCCGAGCCCGCGCCTCGAGCATCATGAACCGGTTCAGCGCCGTCATGAGTCCGCGCCCTTCGTAACCTTCCTTGGTTACGCAGCCCGACCGGATAAGGGCCTCGCCCCAGCTGGCCGGCTGATCATGCCTCGACGACGATGGTGCGTCGCCGGGAGACGAGGACTTGCTGCCTCCGCGGACGGATAACCAGGTACCAAGCTCCCGAACTAAAGGTATAAAATCGTACAGGTCTTGGGTTGCCGTGTCCGGTTTCTTGTCCAGGACATCGAGGGCTAGTCCTACACACTTATTATGACCTTAGAAAACGATCTGCGCGTAATACTCTTTTTACGATTGATTCTATGAAACGCAACATAGCAATACATGTGAGTATGTAACGGAAAACTAACTTACAACCACTGGAAAGTCCATGCCCTCAAGCATGAGCATCGTTCCTTTGGTCTCAAAGTCTGGGTCTTCGGGATCCAGCTGGTCCCAGTAGAGACAACCGCCTGTCACTGCCGATTCGGCTTTTCGAAACTCATACTCGGAGTCAACAATGGCGTAGGAGCAACCGCTATTTATGGCACTTGGGGGTCGAAATATTTCAGCTTTATGATTTTTCCGACAAAGATAAAAGGAAAGGGGATCCCCAATACTTCATCAAACTGTGAATAAAAGCCTCTTGTGTTGTGGAAGAAGAGGCGGGATGGTGAAACAGATTCTCAGAGCAGATCGCTCCAGCAACCCCACGAAAAGTTCATGTCTGCCGCGTATCTGGGTACTCACTGCATAAAGTGGCCATCAAGGGCAGCGAAAGCGCGCAAGGCATTGCCGACCTTGGGCTCGGGCAGCAGCGGCTGCCAGATGGATGGTCGAAGGAGAAACCCGTGAATCATTACTATGAAGACATGGAATTAGTACTTTTGTTTTAGCATTGTATAAAAATTGCTGTCGATGATAGATTCAGCTATATTATATGCAGAGTTGCTGCAGTATGGCTTTCCGGACACAGCAGTCTGCTGCCAGCATACATTCAGTGGGTCTAGACAAAGTAAATCTCCTCAATCATACTTACAAGCTTTGGCCCACGGTGCCAGCGCCGCATCGATTGGCCGGATCGTATACCGAGGAGGTAGCGAGATGCCGTGAGTGCGTGATATGGGTGCGGGTAAGATCGGCATCGGGGATTCGAAATAATTGCAGTTGAAAGAAAAGAGAAACTATGTTTTCAACTTGATTTCCGTCAGAGATAACCAAGGAATATTATAATTCACACGTAAGACCTACTCAACAAGAATCTATTAGCTTTCGCCTTCCGGGTGTGGTCAAACAACACAATCTCTGATACGTCCTAGGCCATCAAGTCATATAACATTGCGGCTCATTGCAGAGTCATGAAAAGCGTCTTGTCGTTGGCAGATGGTTTACACAGTACGCAAAAGTCAAATTCCAAGCGAACGACAGTCATGCGTGGTGCGCAATATTTGTGTCGCAGCGCGGCCGTTGATATCTGTCCGGGGCGAGATGCTACCGCCTGTAAAAGAACTGCCGCCAGCCTCGCTCATTCCTACTCTTTCTTCATTGGCCCCAGGAGCTTGGGGCCAAACGAGCAGACACCGGAGGAGAAGGGGGCTATAATCACCAGAATAATCCCCGGTGGACCAATCCTGCGCTGGCCAAGCTTGAAACGGCAAGAAGTTGCCCACACGAATATAGGTTGGGCAGGATTCGGTTTCCAACCGTTGGCGTCGAATGAAGAAAAAGCTCCGCAATCCCCCCTGGCCTAAAGTTTATTAAATGCTGACATGCTCCCAGAATAGTGATATAATACGGCCGGAAAGGATCGCTGCCCTGGATGCCGGCTCCAAAAGAGCCCAAGGGTGATCTGAAAATTACCCGGCAATCTTTCATGCTATACTAATACAACCCAGCGCTGGGAATGTTTATGGCTATGGTTGGTATTCAGCAAACAAACTTGGAATGGCCTCTGGTCACTAAATTCGCCCGCGGCCCTCGGCTGCAAGGAAGGGAAATACATCGAATTTCGCCTTCGTACAGAGATCTATGTGCGACCGAGTCTCCATTGTTTCCCTCCTTACATAAGAACCTTATGGGCAGACCAAAAGGAAAGACGCTTTGCGCAGCCCTTCCGCCCACGCCATGAGATGGTACGAGTCATGATGGTGCTTACTCAGGAATTACCGAGCCTGATAAAAGCAAATTTAATAGTGTTCATTAAGATGTGGTAATAAAGCATGGCAGTACGGATAGAGAAATAAATACGTCAAGATGTCTCTACGATGCTCTGTTGATTAAACGATGTATGCCAACATCACAATGTGCGGGTCATACATGGTACACGGTATGTGGAAAGACAGTTATATGACTGGTATTCCTAGTAAAGAATTAAATGAAGTATCTACGGAAATAATGCATGAACTCACGGACTTGGTAGCCGTTCCCGTTGTCACGCTTCGGGTGACACACTATAGCCACTCTGTGACGCACCAGACGGACAGTGGAAGATATGCGGCGTAGTAAATATGGCGGCACCTCCAACACCACTGTAGATAGATACGGAGAAGAAGTAGTTGTAATTGTGTATAATATAAGTTATCTAATTATAATCTTTAATCTCAAACTTCGGGACCATTACGTTGAACTTACTTTGATATATTTACTTCATGTTCATGATCTGCTAAGCATTTATGTTGATGAATACCAACAGTCACGTGTCAATGTGTCTTGGTTCCAAGCTGTGTCCCTAATACTTGGAAATGTTGATTATCCTGATGCAGGCAATTCTCTATACAGGAACTGTGTAATAAACCTATCGTCTAGATGCTATTGGTACGATATTGTATCCAACTCTACTGCGTTGATGCAAAACAAGCCCAAGTACCTAGCGCCGTTGCCCAATTCCACAATGCCATCTATTCTTCCTTGCTGCGACAAGCAGCAGAATCGCACTCCGTGCCCATGCATATGTAACTCCACGCTATCCCCCTATTGATTACCCAGCCAAAGGGACGTTCAATTCTCTCAAACCCCGTCGGATCCAGAACTCGTTCAAACTTCCGGTACATGACCGTCCACGCTAGCCATGGCCGCAAGATTGTTTTGGCTCAGAACTGTGTCTCCAATCTCACCACTATTTCCAACATTTGCGAGCAGCGCCATCCCCTCAATCACATCCGAGGGCTCCAAAACGTGATATTTGGCCAGTGTGACCTTGGTGCTCGCACCGACCGTCACAGTGAATATCTGCTCCTCATCTAGGGCAACCCCACTGACGCCGTTCAAAGCACGGAACATGTCTTCATCGGTGAAATCATCACCCATGCAAAGAGCAAACTCGACGCCACCTTCACGAGCTGGCTGATCCTTCCCAGCCAGGTGAGAGGCATCAGAATTGTAGCTAGCGACCAAGCGTTTGACGATTTCACCCTTGTTGATAAAGGTGGGCCGCACCTCAATGTTGGCCTTGCCAGGCATGACATCGACTTCCCATTTCTTGGCCACAGTCGACTCGAGCTCTCTCTGAGCTTCTTGCGCGGCGTGGGCTCCTTGCTCCGGGTCGGCCTGGCGGTAGTGCCATGTGAGTGCGCAACGCTTGCGTTCGATGAATGAGCCTATTGCGGGGTTAATACATGCCTTTTTCGTCATGAGCCGAATATGAGTACTTACCAGACACGCGGTCGGTGTATTTTTGGAAGATATCAATGACTTCCTCTTGCCAGGACATGTCAAACGTCTCAGCAAGGTTTTCCCAGTTGGTCTCGCCCGGATGTCTAATAAAGCTTCCGTGCTCAGCGCTGAAGCCAAGCTCAGTAATATGTCCCAAGTGCTGCTGCAGGAATTCCTGGTCACGACCAGAGATGATCCAGACAGCGTTGCGGTGGTCGGACGCCAAAGCCTTGAGGGTTTGAATGACGCGCTCGCCTGGAATTGCCGCGCTGGGCTCCCTGACGATGGGCGTGAGCGTTCCGTCATAGTCAAACATGAACAAGCGCTGCTTGGCGTTGCGGTATTGTTGCAACATGACAGTGCGGTCCAGCAGGGGCGTTGCGATAGCAGTTTGTGTGCTGGCCAATGTTCCTACAAGCTTGCGAAGGAACTTTGTGCTCCAAGCTTGAACATTGTGTGTGGTGACATGATGGTACAAATGCGATTGCATGGCCATGCGCTTCTCCTCCGACATGGTGAGTGCATCGTTGATTTGCTTGGCCACGTCCGAGAGATCCCAGGGGTTGATGTGAATGGCGTCCCGAAGACTGCCGGCTGTTCCACTGAATTCGGACAGAATCAATGGTCCGTGGGTATCGCGCTGGCACACAACGTACTCCAAACTGGTCGTATTCATACCATCACGAACGGATGTGATGAGACCAATATCTGCAGCCCTAAGAAGCGCGTAGTACTCGTCCGGGCTGAGATACTGGGGGAAATGCTGTACAGGCGAGAAACCGAGACTTCCGTAGTTGCCATTGATCTTCATGACCAACTCGTTTACTCTGCTGGCGATTTTATTCTCCGACTCTGCGAGATCTCCAATGCTCGTGGGGGAGGTCACTTGAATGAGAACGACCTTCTCATTCCACTCCGGGTAGAGCTCCAGAAACCGATCAAAAGCCATCAGCTTCTGGGCGACACCACGGACACTATCCAGGCGATCGCGACCAACAATGAGCTTCTTGCCGGCGTAAAGCTTCTTCAGCGCTGCGAATTTCTCGTTTACCGGTCCCGACCAGGCCAGTTGTTGGCATTTTGCGGCGTCGATACCGATTGGGAATACTCCCACTTCGACGCGACTTCCGTATGCATTGACGCCAAGAGAGTCGGAAGGGAAATCCAGGATCCGGGTGCAACAGCTGGAAAAGTGGCGGGAGTAGCTGTACGACTGGAAACCAATCAAGTTGGCACCGAGGGCACCCTCGAGAACCTCCTTGCGCCTCGGAAGGCAGCGGAGAAATTCACTGCTTGGGAAGGGACAGTGCAGAAAAAAGGATATGTACATCTTTGGAGCGCGTTGTCGCAGCATACTGGGCAGTAGCATGAGTTGGTAGTCGTGAATGACGACAATGTCGCCCGGCTTGCAGATTTCTATGATCTTGTTGGCAAACTTGAGATTCATCCGGTAGTAGTCAGCCCATTGGATGCGCTCTGCTCGTCCATCAGTAGGCTCGTGTTGCTTGTAGTGGAACAAGGTATAGAGATTCTCGTCGGCGTAGCGCCTCCACCGGCCCTGGTCTCTGAGCCTAATTCCCTCCTCATTCTGCTCTTCATCGTCAGATAGCCAAATGGGGACTGTCTTGATCATCTTGTGCTGGGAGAGCTTCTGTTCCAACTCCAGCTGGTGTTGGTGTGGAATGAACAAGCCGTCCGGCGGTGTCGGCGGCGCGTGGCCGTCTAGCGGAACAGGAGCCGAGAGTGAGTTGGCACCGTAAATATTGCTCGTGTCTGGAGGTGTAGTTGGGGGAGACATGGGGTCGCTTGGGGCTGCAACCTCGCCAGTCCAGGCCACCACTGTGTGGTTCCATGGTGCTTCGTCCGAAGACAAGTGGGCAAAGGAATCAAACAGGGCAGATTGGCCGCGTCTAGATCCCAATTCCCAATCTCCACCAGTGCGGTATTTGAGCGAGTATGGCAACGTAAAAGTAGCTGAGATGATGTTTCCAGTCAAAGCCAAATCAGGCACAGCAGCCTTGATGTCGCCGATAGACTCTCTCCGGCCTCTAGAGGACAGGCTCATGCGCCTCAAAACCTCTTGACCAGACATTGTGCCCTTTGAAGCTTCAGTGGGAGAAGAAGCCCGAATTTCAGAGTCTGTGGCTTCAGGGATCTTTCTTGGGCGTCGATCTGCCTGCTCAGGATTCCGCGAGAAGTAGTTGGGGCTTTCTGACTGAGCCCGGCTGTGGTTGTTCGAGAGGGCGTGATAGGTCGACAAGTGAATGCCGGGGGTTACGGGGATGCTGGTGACAGACTTGCGCTGGTGTGCCGGCAAATCTTCCTCGTCGACAGACTGCCGGGCTTCGTCGACGGGCGACCTGGCGGTATCTCGGGTCTCGTGGACGACGGCCTGGGAGCTAGCCCGTTGGTCTCGCTGCTGGTCCGCCATGGCGGTTTAGCCTTGTATTCTGAAGAATTCGGAGCAAGTGGACGTTTGCGAGTAGAGGTGCGCGCCCGTTTTAGGAAATCTGCCAAGCGCCGCGCGTGGAAGAAGCAAAGAGAGGTAGAGGGATGAGCAACAAGCAAACCTAGAAACTAGCAAAAGAGAGAGGGGGGTGGTAAGAGTAAAAGGGGACAAGAAGAGAACTGTAGAGAATAGACTAGAGTTGTGGTTCTTGTTCCTCTGCCTTCTTTCGAAGCGGTCGAGCAGGATCAAAAAGAGGCTTGGACTCAAACTGGGCAGTATGGATAACAGGTACCTCCACTACGTAATGTAGGTCTGATAGGTACATATAGGCAGGCCAGGTATGATGGTAAGGCACATGCATGCGGCCAATGTAACTCCAGTACAGCGCTGTGGTCCAGCTAGTATTTTAGGAGAACAGGGGTAGCAGATAATTCGGGTGGTACCTCTGCAACTGGGGAGCGGGACATGACCAAATAATGACCTGCCCAAGCAATGCGATAGCCAGTAGTAACAAATATCAGAACTCCATGGGCTGGTCTTCTATTTTGCAGTACACGCGGCTTTCCACATCCACAGCGCGGTCAGTCACATCAATAGAGATGGCTGACACTTGACTTTTTTGTCCGCCTGTAGCAAAGAACTTTCCAAGTCGTGCCTATTTCCTCGCCAAGGGAGCCAAACCCTTGGCTGGAGACAAAGGATAGTGCACTTACACTACATACAGTGTGCCTGCCCACTGGAGTACTCAGTACACTCACTGGGCTAGGCTATTGTGTATGCTTTTTTTTCCTTTTCTCTTTTTTTCTTTGCAGTAAACAACCAATTTGGCAGCAGCCCTGAGCTGCACATGGTGGTGGGGTTCGTTACTAATAACCCTCACAACGACTTGTTGAGGGGCACCGGGGCCTTGGAAGCCCGGGGGAAGGAGGAGGAAAGTCGGGAGGGGAGGTTTTGCTCCTAAAATTGAACCAGACTCCCCAGGATCAGGAATCTCTCTGCATTGATCCCACTGGAGGGACACGATAGCGGTGACCACCTGGCAATGTGGGTAGAGAAAGCAACCAGAAGCAAACCAATATGCATTCGTTGCACTACCTACAGCCGCTGTGCCTCCCTCAGATTCGGTGCATTGCATCTGATGATACCTAAGCCAGGTGGTGGTGAACACCACCCATAGCATGTGTACGATATTTCGACCCGCTCGTTCGTTTGGAACGGAGGGAATGCACCGTCATACACTACATACTAGTTGTGACTGGCAGGACATTCATTTTGACAAGGGCTATGTGATAGGTTGCCTTGGTTGCTTCACAGATCGTCCAATTTTGTCGACTTTGTGCTTTACCACTTGATATCTCTTTCATGGAGCATTCGAGGTTCGTGGGCTACTGGCCGTGTACCTTCCTCGCAAATGACGACATGATGACCAGGAAGCTTTCCCCAGCAGCTTGGGACGAACGGAACGAGAGACGACTAGGACTCAGGAATACTCGCAGATTTGGCGAACCACCAATTGGGAATCCTTTGAAATGGGGAACTGATGGATCGCTGACGGAAAGCTAACACAACAAGAACGTACCTGACCACAAAAAAGTGACGTAATTCACCGAGTGAGGGGCCACGAAACGCGGGACGAGAAAGTCTCAACGCTGGTACAATCGCAGCGTCAGATAGATGCGCCAGGGTCGTGTCAGGTAGGTATCCGTTTGGGGCTCAACCTGGGTCGCTGGTATGTCGTCCAAAAAGGTGAAGCTATTCGCAACAATGCCAACAAGGCGATTTGAGTCGACCCAAGTGAGGAGAGTTTGTTAGATGCACAAAAGGGGAAAGCTGAAATCGGCGATTGACAGTTTCGAGGCGCAAGGAGAAAAAGGGACGGCTCCACCCATCGGCCAAGCTAATCAATCATTCCAGAACACCATGGGGGAATAGAGACATCTGATTTTATCTGGGTTTTTATTGTTGGGTTGGCACATGGCCACGTGCCATGGCCTAAACACCTAAGTAGACAATGTACGAACTTGGCCATCTCTTCAGCCCCTTTCTAGCCCTTTGTCCGTCGTTCTCAATCGTCCAGACCCTGTGGTTCGTCTGGGGATCGCCTCCTCGGGCGCTGGCTGAGTTATTCGGATTGGGTACGGGGCAATTCTTATATTGGATGGCTATCACGATACTTTGCCGGCACAGGTGTAAGCCAGCCCAGCCCAGCCCTCGGCTCTGGACAATATTCGCTGGTGTGCCTGTCGATCTAGACCTCAGCGGTGTATCCCACAGACCTGGCTAATCACCTGCCTGGACGACTATGAGAAATTTGTGGAGAAATAGTCGAGATGGCACTGATTTGGCTGCCGAGGCCTTGTCTTCTAGGCCTTGAGTACCTTCGCCTTTACCCTTTTCCCCTCTTCTTCTCAGCCAGCTTATCCCCCCAAGCACACAATGCATAACTTCAAATCAGGTATAGTATAGAGACGGTGAAAAGACGAGTACCTATTAGCAAGATGGCTGCCGAACGATTTTCAAGACTTGCGCTATTTCTTTGCAGAATTTCCCACCGTCTGGTTTACTTGTTTTCAGCTCTATTAAATCCAACCCAAATAGGACCGAAACTCCTGGGGAAAATGCATCTGCGATGTGCTGCAGTGCAACATGGATCTTCGCATGGGTCCAATTGACAATCGTTCATTGAACATTCAGTGGGGGAAATCAGGCGGGGTGTCGCTGCCAATGCGATCAGCGGAATGACGCACGTCCTCTCCATCTCCAAGAACCGTCTCCTTTTCTTTTTGGAAAAGGGCACATCCATGCGACACGACGACGTTCCATCACCTTCCGAGGACCGAATCCAGATCTATCTAGAGATTCCTCAATCTCCTCTCCGTTCAATTGCAGATGCCCACATTGGACACGAGAGCTGATGACTGGCTGAATGAGGCTCACTTTGGGTTTCTACTAGTTGAAAGGCCAAACTGCCCTGGCTTCCGGCCCTAATGCAGTCGCAATCAACTTGTGTGAGGCGCCAGCAAGAAGCGCCAGCAGAAGCGGAAACACATGTTTGCAGGCAGTGGCACCATCATGACTCGAATTGCCATTGGCAACAGTAATGCAGCGCGTTCTTGGCATGCCATGGAATCATTCACATGTGTTGGGCAATTCCTGTTCATTTGATCTGGTTCTCTCGTTCAGGCCGCGGTCTGTCTGTCTTCTGGCCAGCAGGATAATGTCGTGTGCATGCTGTTGCTATACTACAGGGCACGACCAAATCGTATCTGTGGCCACATCACGATTGACGACGGCCCCCGACCGCACGCAACTCATGATCTCTACTCAGCGTCTTGTCCATGGTGGACCGTCTGATAAAAAGGCTAAGCAAAAGGGCCAGCCCAGATATGCCCGTGTAGAATGCGTATACACCCTGGAGGCCAAACACATAACTTTTGATTGCAGCCTCTCTGGGAGGTGCGTCTGTAGGCAAGCTGTGGAAGTAATCAACAAAGGCCTCGGCTTGGCTCGCAATATACCTTGGTAGCCCTTCCCATTCCAGCTTCATGGCCATGATGTTTTGGAACGTCGTTCCACTGACGCCCAGTCCAACGGCCACGCCAAAGTGTCTGGCAAAGATGTAGACAGATGCTGCATCGGCCTCGAGACCGGGACGACAGAGAGCCTGTGTCGCGAAATTTTGTGCGGTTGCGATGGCGCCCTGGCCCAAGCCAAGAAGGACGATATTGACTACCCATACAGGCGTCGTCGTGTCCGCATCCCAACGTATCATCAAGCCCGAAGCAAGCGTGGTTAGTATCCAACCTGACCATACAATTTCTTGGTACCTATTCGTCCGTGTGACTATGGCTCCTGTGACGATGGCGGATGGAGCTGCCATTAGCATCACGGGAAGCAAGGCCACACCCGAGTAGATGGGACTGAAACCCTTGACCGCGATGAAATAAAATGGAATATAGTAGAGTTCTCCAAACAACTACAATATGGTAAGCATAAGGGATATCGGTTCGATAGTCCGGCATTGAAGCTCACCACAAGACCTTGTATCCCTCCACATATATAACAAAAGGTGGCGCTTGCACTTGAGAACAGTGCAGTATTCAGGAGAGGCCGGCCAGTAAAATAACGACCCCAGACTAGAGTCGCAGCGATGCCGACAAGACCCAGACATAGCGGCAGCAGTTCTCCTGCGCTGTTCCAGGCGAACTGAGTGCCTCCCCAAGAGATTGCCATGAGAAACAAGGTTGTACCAACCATGAACGCCAGACTCCCTATCCAATCAATTCGCCTGAGCTTTTCTCTGGTCGTTATCATTTCTCGTGGCTTCAGTGTCAGGAGCCATGGGACGCAAATCAAGCCGTAGCCACAGAATGGAAACATGATGTAGAACATCCAACGCCAGGTCGTCTTCTCGGAGATGGCGCCGCCAATGAGGGGTCCTGCGCTGCTGCCTATAGTCCAGGAGGCTTGTCTGGATTCACTTGTTAGATCTGAGAGCAACAAGAAAAAGGTCTGCTAGGGGCGTTCTTGCATTATGCCGTACCACTTTGGCCGCTGGCGCAATGGCACGAGATCGGTAAAGATAATGCTCGTGAGGACGGTGATGCCTCCGCAGCCGACGCCCTGGACGGTGCGCCCTGCCAAGAGCATGGCCATAGTCTGTGACAAACAACAGATCAATGAACCTATGGTAAAGGCCACGAGCGATGCGGTCAAGCAAATGGGTCGGCCGAAAACGTCGCTGACTGCGGCAATCGTTGGCATGACGACCGCTGTGGCCAGGAAGTATGAAGTGCCAACCCAGAAGCCCTCGGTCGTGCTGCCATCAAGGGCCGTGACGATGGCCTATGTTCGCTGTCGTCAAGACAGATCCCGAATATTGAGGACCAACGCGGCCAAGGCAGTACTTACGTGCAGGGATGTCGCCACGACGCATGCATCCAGAGATATCATAAACGTGACGATGGCCAACGTAATCATAATCAGCAGCTCGTGAGTCGACGGCTTCCATTCTTTTGTATCAGATTCTGTTACTCCCGTTTCCCATGCTATTGGATCGGAATCGCTAGTCATATCCATGACTACTTTTGGGGATCGAGTTTTCTCCGTGCTCGAAGACATCATGGCTCGTTGGATCAAGATGTTTCATTAATCAGTCAGTATCGTGACGAGTGAGAATGGACAGATGTACTGATGCTTCTGATGGACAGAGAGCTACACGTTCAAATCTCAACGGGAAAAGGGTGAAAAAAAAAAAAAAAAAAACCACTGCGCCCGACGAACACCAAGTTGCCACGATTTATCAGCGCGGCTCATGTTCCGCTGGATCAGCCGCTGATAAGTTTGCATAACGACGAATCCAGTCGTAGGAAATTTGCAGTCTTGGTAGCACAAAGGCGTTTTTCCTAATAATCATGGTTGATCCAAGTAGCTTTAAGCCGAGCTGACTTTCAACTTCAGCACCAAATATCATTGAACTTTCCGTTTGATGAGAAGCTCGCTTGCCAAGCATTTCAATTGGCTCAGATGAATCCACCCGGTTCCATTGTATCAACACTGACATTCAGCGCGGCATAGGGGGCAAGTCAGATAAGCTTAAACATGTACATTCCGTGTTGTGGCTGGTTATTAAGACAAGGATTTTCTACCTGCCGCTGAGCCAATGGCACGCCACACAGCGGGAGTGTGTGCAGTGACACAGATCTTATGAAAATATCTGGGTACTTTGGTGAGTATATTATGTACAAAACAAGAATCCATGTGTGTTTTCGTCTGCCACGTCCTAGTCGGCCGTTTAAGCATCATTCTCATGTGCCTCATAAATTATAGAGAGTGTGTGAGGCGTCGACGAGCTGAAAGTATGGCAGGCATCCTTTTACATGAGGCTGATGGCATGTCTACCTATATAAATTGCTTCAGGGCCCAGAACAAGATGAGTCAAGCGATTAATCATCATAAAGGCGATCACTGTATCTTGTAGAAGGATTCTCAACCAATCATATGGCTCCATCAGTTTCCATGGTACAATTACAATGAACCTCAAATTATTGAAAACGCTAACAGTTGATCCAGGCTCCAGATGGGACAGAGACCTTTGGCAAGAGGTCCCCCATCGCCATCTGTGGCATGGCCCTGCGCTTGCCAGGAGGAATTGCTACGCCAGCTCAATTCTGGGAATTTATCATGCAGTGCGTCATCATTCTCCTTATTCCTTATGCATCTCCTATTGAAAGACCTCCAGCCTGTCAATCAAAGTACAATAATACTTCTCGCTATCTTGGGTTATTGGCCTTTCTTATTAGTGCGAAAGGCTGACTATAAACTCCATACTTCTCACAGAAAGAAAGATGCCGTCGGCCCCATCCCAGAGTCAAGATTCAACGCGGAAAGCTACGTTTCAAACAGCGGAAAACCTGGATACATCAGATCAGCAAAAGGCTACTTTCTGGACGGTGATATCGGAGCGCTGGACACGACCTTCTTCAGCATGGCCAAGGCCGAGGTTGAAAAGGCGGACCCGCAACAGCGCATCCTGCTCGAACTGGCACGAGAATGTCTTGACAGCGCTGGGGAGGTCAACTATAGAGGCAAGGATATCGGCACCTACGTTGGCTCCTTTGGTGAGGACTGGCCCGACCATTTCGCGCGCGACTCCCAGAGCGTCGGTCTCTACCAGGTGACTGGCAAGGGCGACTTTGTGCTCTCGAACCGCATCTCGTACGAATACGATCTTCGCGGGCCGAGTATGACGATACGCACAGCGTGCTCGTCCAGCCTGCTAGCCTTACACGAAGCTTGCTTATCATTGTGGACCGGCGGTTGCTCGTCTGCGCTTGTTGGGGGTTGTAATATTATGATGTCGCCGGATATGGCTTTGCAAATGACGGAGCAGGGAGTTTTGTCGCCAGATGCTTCTTGCAAAACGTTTGACGAAAAGGCCAACGGATATGGTGAGTGGTACTCACTACAACGACTGTTTCGATCATTGCTAATCTGTGGGTCTTGTAGCTCGGGCTGAGGCAGTGAATCTGATTTATATCAAGCCGCTGCAAGACGCCCTTCGAGATGGTAACCCCGTGAGAGCCGTGATTAAGGGCGCCTGGACAAATGCAGATGGCAAAACCACCGGACTGAGTGTACCGAGTATTTCAAGCCACGAGACCATGATTCGCCGGGCCTACGCCAGCGCGGGGATTTCCGACCTCTCTCAGACTGCGTTTGTAGAATGCCACGGCACGGGCACAGCCATTGGAGACCCCATTGAGACCAAGGCAATCCAGAGTGTCTTCACCTCGGGTGTATTTATTGGGTCAGTCAAGCCGAACGTGGGCCATTCGGAAGGTGCCTCTGGTATTTCGTCAATTATCAAGTGTGTTCTGGCTCTCGAGAACCAAACGATTCCGCCCAACATCAAATTCAGCCAGCCGAGCACTAGAATTGACTGGAAGAATCTCTACGTACCTACGGAGCCCATGTTGTGGCCTGTTGACTGCCAAGAACGTGTCTCGGTCAACTCGTTTGGAATCGGGGGAGCAAATGCCCATTTCATTCTCGAATCGTGCAGAGCCGTTGGTGCAGCTGATATAGAAGGTATACGAGATTTGCCCTCTCCAACCAACAGTCTTATTCTACTATCAGCAAACACATCAGATTCGGCCAAACGTCAAGTCTCGAACCACGAAGAGTATCTCCAGAAACATCCATCTCGGCTCGACGATGCAGCCTATACATTGGGCGTCCGGAGACAGCATATGCCATACAGGAGCTTCGGCGTTGCTGGTGATTATACAAACAACAACAATCAGAGGATGGCACTCGACACTTCTGTCCCGACAAAGATCCCGACTGGTCACCAAAAAATTGCAATGGTTTTCACTGGCCAAGGGGCGCAATGGGCACGAATGGGGGTAGAGCTTTTACATGCCAACTCCACATTCGCCGCATCGATTCAATTCATGGACCAAGTGCTGAGCGAGTTGCCGGATGGCCCATCATGGTCTATCCAGGATGAACTTGAAAAGACGGCCGCAGAAAGCAGCTTACATATGGCCGTCCTATCACAGCCCTTATGCACTGCTATCCAAGTAGCTCTGGTTGATGCCCTGGCGGATCTGAGCCTGCGCCCAGAAGCTGTGGTCGGGCATTCATCTGGTGAGATTGCCGCAGCATACGCATCGGGAAGAATCACGGCAAGGGAGGCCATCATTGTGGCTTACTACCGCGGCATGGCTTCTACGAGCGTGAGTCGAAAGGGAGCAATGGGTGCAATCGGCATGAGCAGGAAGGAGATAGAGCCCCTCCTTCGACCTGGAGTAGTGGTTGCATGCGAAAACTCTCCAATGAACGTCACTATATCCGGCGATAAGGAAAAGGTCGAAGAAGTTCTCCAGGACGTACGCAGTGCCAAGGGAGAAATGGTACCGATCAAGCTCTTGAAGGTCGACAAGGCATATCATTCTCATCATATGAAGGCGGTAGGAGACACTTATACATCCATGATTTCAAAGTATCTGAGCGACCAGAAACGGAGAGGTCAAACGTCTGCCGTCATGTATTCCAGTGTGACCGGGGCACCGCTGGATGTTTCTAGGCATTTGGATGCTCAATACTGGCAAGACAACCTAGAGTCACCCGTGCTCTTCCGCAGCGCTGTCGAGTCGCTTCTGAAAGAACAAGAAAAGCCCGGCAATACTCTGATATTCGTCGAAGTCGGTCCTCATTCTGCCCTGTCCGGGCCTCTGCGACAAATCCTGGCGCAGGAGTCTTCGAAGTCTTCATATACGTCATGTCTGATTCGGTCTCAAGATGCACATGCAACGTTTCTCAGAGCTGTTGGTTGTATCTGGCAACAAGGTATTTCCTTTGATTATGACCGCCTCTTGAATCCTCATGGGTACGCAAAGGTTGTCCATGACCTTCCATCGTATCCGTGGCATCACGAGCACTCTTACATCTTTGGCAGCCGTGTTTCCAACCACACCAGGGTCCATCGCTACCGACGTCACGAGCTGCTCGGCACTCGAAGCGCCGAGAGCAGCGATGATGAACCGCAATTTCGAAACATGTTGGTGCCCGACCGCGTTGCCTGGCTGAAAGATCACTGCATTGACGGCGACGTCGTGTTTCCCTGCGCTGCTTATCTGGCCATGGTCGGCGAGGCAATGCGGCAGCTGCACAATGGTGAATACAGCGGATACAGTGTGAAAAAGGTGGCCATAGGCACGGCCATGGTAATCAGCAATGGGCAGAAGCCGGTCGAGATCATCACGTCTCTGAGAAAGGTCCGACTCACAGATACCCTGGACGGATCCTGGTGGGACTTTACCATTTCGACCAATTCGGGCTCGTCGTGGATGCGACACTGTGCTGGGCAGGTTCGTGCAGACAACCAAGACATGAGCCATTCTGAAATCTCAAAGTCCCACGAATTCACTCGCGTGGTAAACACCAAGAACTGGTATAGTGCGTACAGGAGCGTTGGTGCCGACTATGGTCCTACATTCCAAGTATTGAGAGACATTGCGGCATCTACAACCACCCAGGTTTGTAAGGGTACAGTACTAGACGTGGTCAAGGAGAATGAGGAAGACTACGCAATCCATCCCACTACCATCGATGGCTTTTTGCAGCTTTTCGGCATAGCCGCGCACAAGGGAGGCGCCCACAAGCTCTCTCGTATGAATGTGCCTACCTTTATCGAGAGTATGACTGTTGCGGCGTGCAAGTCTGGCGTGACCACGGTAGTGGAAGCTTCAATATCTCCACGTGGGACACTCAACGGCCGCGGCCAAGGCTTTGACGATAATGACTCTCTGGTATTCAACGCCAAGGGAGTGAGATTGAGTCCGCTGAGCACGGGTGCAGCGTCCTCCACGGACGTTGATTTGCACGCGGCAGCTCGCACTGTTTGGAACTCTCATGTCGAATTTCTCGACTTGTCTAGTCTGGCCAATAAGACTGAGAACCATGCACGCCAGATAGATATCTGTCGCGACTTGTGTCTGCAGTGCATTCAAGAGTCATTACTATGCCTACAAGAAGCGGGCATCAGTCACGGCGTGCCATCTCATTTCGATCGCTTCTTATCGTGGATGAGAAAACAACCCGCGCCAAGCTCGGGCCAAAAAGCCCAGATTCTACGCGAAAAGCTGATCAATACACCATATGATGCTTTTGGCGAAGGCTCCCTGAAGGTTCTGAACAATATCGTACCCCTGTTCAAAGGTGAGGTACAGTTGTTGGAGCTGCTGCTTCGGGACGGAACCCTCACAGACATTTACAACGGTTCCGTTTTCGCCAACACGGAGCCTCTGTTCAGAGCTCTAGGGCACACTTGCCCAAACATGAGGATCCTGGAGATTGGAGCTGGCACGGGCGGCACAACGAGCAGATTGCTCAACTGCCTTGTCAGTGACAATGAGAACGCCCGTCTATACCTTGACTATACTTACACCGACGTCTCGCCGGGATTCTTCGCAGCAGCCAAGGAACGGTTCCAAGAATATCCTAATCTTCACTTTAAAGCTCTTGATATTTCCAAAGACCCTCTTGAACAAGGTTTTGCCCTGGAATCTTTTGACTTGGTGCTCGCCTCCAATGTCATCCATGCAACCAATTCTCTGCACCAAAGCCTCAGCAATATTAGAAAACTGCTTCGCCCAACTGGTAGGCTGTATTTGGAAGAAATGTGCTCCGACTTCAAAGGTATCAACTACATCATGGGTCTGTTCCAGGGTTGGTGGCTAGGAGACGAGGATGGCCGATCCGAAGAACCCTATGTTTCGACGGACCGCTGGGACAAGGAGCTTCGCAGAGCTGGCTTTGGTGGCCTGGTCTCAGCCACGCTCGATGCACCGCGCCCATACCAAATGTGCGCCTTGATGCTGGCAAAGCCCGACAATAGCCAGACGATGCAGAAGACGGTAGCAATTCTGCACGACTCTTACTCACGAGGTCTAGCCCTGAGTCTCCAAGAGCGGTTCTCTGCGGAGCAAAATGTTGTTCTGCACGATATCGAGAAACCCGCCCTGCCTGAAGTGGCTAATGTGATTTCCGTCATCGACTTGGAAAGACCCTTTTTGCATGACATCACAGAACAGAGATTCCTAGTATTCCAGGGGCTCATGGAAGAACTTGCCAAGACACAAAAAGGTTGCCTTTGGCTCACCAGATCTTCCCAATTGGGATGCACGGATCCTCGATGGAGTCAAGTCATTGGTGCCGCCAGGACGATACGGCGAGATCTAGGTTTGGATCTTGCAACCTGCGAGATTGATCATTTGGACTCTCAAACGTGGCAGGCGGCCATGGACGTATTCCATACCTTTCAAGCCGAGAAGGCTTCATCTTCGCAGCGCATCGAGTACGAATACGCCATTGTGAATGGTGTCGTGCAGATTTCTAGGATATTTCCGTTTGCTCTGAAAGATGAGCTGTCTGCGGCGGACGTCCCAAATACAAATAATGACTGCTTTCTAGACATTGGCGAATATGGAAGACTCCAGAGCCTAAGGTGGACAAGTGTACCGCAGGTGGAGGCGCTTCGACACGATGAGATTGTCATCGATGTAAAGTGTGTTGGACTCAATTTCAAAGTATGGGCTTCCTAATCTATTCTTTGAGTACAAAGGCTAATGCGAATGGCGCTACAGGACTTGCTTGTGGCTATGGGCGTCATTGAGTTTTCCGCGTCTGCTCATGGCGCACCTTCGAAACTGGGCATTGAAGGTGTCGGCGTCGTGAGAAGCGTCGGTCCGGGCGTCCGCGGAGTGAAGGTAGGCCAGCGCGTCTTTACCATGATGAGCCACGGGTGCTTCGCGACACGTGTGACTGTTTCCGAGAAATACTGCGCTCCGATCCCCGACAGCCTGAGTGACGAAGGGGCTGCGACCATGCCTTGCGTCTTTGCCACGGCCGTGTACGGACTTGTCGACGTCGGCCAGCTGAGAGCCCATCAGACGGTGCTCATTCACTCGGCTTGCGGCGGTGTCGGTCTGGCTGCTATACAGGTGGCGCAAATGATTGGAGCAGAGATATACTGTACAGTGAGCACCGAGGAGAAGATTCATTTCCTCGAAACGAATTTTGGTATCCGCCGTGATCATATATTCAATTCTCGCGATGATTCGTTTCTCGCTGGTGTCCGAGCAGCCACGAATGGCCGCGGGGTGGATTTGGTTCTGAATTCCCTTTCTGGAGAGCTCTTGCACGCTTCTTGGCGCTGCGTCGCAGAGTTTGGGAAGCTGATCGAGATAGGGAAACGAGACCTTGTTGGCAACGGCAGTCTCGATATGCGACCGTTCCTTGAGAATAGAAGCTACCACGGTGTCGATCTGAACCAATTCTTTGACGCGAAACCGGAAGAGTGTCATCGGTGAGCAAACCACATGTTCATATGTATTATATGCGTGAAATCAACAAGCTAACATTCTCTCCAGCCTCTTGGAAGAGATCCTTCGACTGTACGCGGAGGGCTATATTCGTCCATTACATCCCGTCAAGGCCTTCACAGAGCAGGACGTTGAGGCATGTTTCCGGTACATGCAGAAAGGTCAGCATATTGGCAAGATTGTCATGACCGTGGCACCATCGCAATTGAAAGGTATTAGGCCTGTCACGAGACAAATGGTGATGGATTGCGAGTCCTCATTCGTTCTTATTGGTGGCTTGGGCGGCTTGGGCCGTGTTGTCGCCAGCTACATGGTTGAGCGCGGTGCGAGACATCTCATCTTCTTGTCCCGCACCGCTGGATCCTCCAAGCACGATCAAGCTTTTGCCGAGGAGTTATCTAGTCAGGGGTGCTCCATAACGTTTGTCCAGGGAGACGTGACGGTGCTATCCGACGTTCAACACGCTGTGGCCAAGGCACCAACTACGATCAAGGGCGTCATAAACATGTCCATGGTTCTTCGGGACAGTCGATTTGAATCAATGACCTACGAAGAGTGGACAGCCGCAACCGGTCCAAAGGTGCAGGGTACTTGGAACTTGCACCATGCTTGCCTGGAGCGAGAACTTGAGCTGGACTTTTTCATTCTTTTTAGTTCCATATCGGGCATCATCGGACAACCAGGCCAGGCCAACTATGCCAGTGGCAATGCATTCCTCGATGCTTTTGTCCAGTATCGTCAAAGCAAGGGCTTGAAAGCATCCGTGATTGACGTCGGGGTAATGCTGGATCACGGATACCTAGCCGAAAACGAGGCCATGCAACAACAAATGGTGTCCCACGGACATTTTGGCATCAGGACACCACAGTTGCTCGATGCTCTGACAGTTGCCATGTTAAGCCAGGCTACCCCGGCAAGGCAACAGCCTGATGGCTGGAGCAATACATCGCAGTTGGTCATAGGAATGGCGAGTAGCAAGACGCTCGATGACCCGACGAATTGGGTGGTCTGGAAGAATGATTGCCGGCTCGCCGTCTTTGCCAATCGAGTCTCCTCTGAAGGGGCCGCGCAAGGCTCGGACGAGGATGCACTCTCGAAATTCATTGGGTCGGTTGCTTCCGATCCGTCCATCCTCGCCAGGCCAGATACGGCCGTATTTGTGGCCAAGCAGATTGCTTTGCAGCTCCGTGCTCTGCTCCTCAAGCCTGTTGACAATGAAGACGACATTGACATTCAAACCCCGCTTCAAAACGTAGGACTCGACAGTCTCGTGGCGATCGAGTTACGGACCTGGTGGAGAGGGGCATTCGGCTCGGATATTACGGTTTTAGAGATGCTCAGCGCAGAATCTCTGTCGGATCTTGGCTTCCGTGCTGTCGCTGGCTTGCGCGAAAAGTACGCAGAACAAAGCCTAGATAGGGCAGAAGGATCTTCGGACACACTGGTTGTGGATCATATGGACATTCTGCCGACCAAGATGCCCTAGGCGATGACATGATGCCTGATCTTGGTTGGCTTGATATGACCATTTTCTTTTTTTTTTCAATATTACTACTGCGACGAAGATAACATCATACGAGGATAATGTCCGTGGGTATCATTGAGAGCAACCTTGGATATGCGCAAGCGCGGCGCGCCCCTCCCCGGTCTGAAGAATTACACAAGAAGGAGCTGTGTTCCTATTCGACCGATTGACGCTGCCTGGCAGCCTGGGTGACACAGCGGATGATGATGATGTGTAGAGGGCGACCATCTGTGGTGTCATGGGTCGGCCGAAGGATCCCGCGGGGTGGGGAGGGGATGGAAAAGGAACCGACACTGCATTTGACGAGGCGGCATTGCGGCGGGTCTCGGTATAGCATCCAGTAATAAGGGAAAGGAAAAAGAAAAAGAGGAACGATTCTATTCCAACAGTTTGGCTGCATACATATGCAGACGCAATGTTCAGGGCAGGCCAGCCTTGGCACATGATATTCCTGAAATTTTGTCCCATCACCCCATGCCTATTTTTGCTGACCAAGATTCTTACCATGGCCAAGATGAAAACAAAAAGGGCTTTTGAATGTTCACCAGACCATCGACTTCGATTTTGAATGTATGACGGTCTTCGGGTGTTGTACAATCCGTCCAGCCACTGCAAGCATTAATAACAAAGTAACGTTTCCCTAGGACCTTGAGAGGATGACATGGTCCAGAACATTGAATATATCGAAGGCGTTGTTGGTCTTCAGAGAATGGGTTTGACATCTTGTTTTTGGGAAATTTGGAAAATTCAAAAAAGTCAGGAAAAGAGAAAATGTAACATGGGGAATGAGCCTAACCCCCCTGGCCGTTGAGCGGGTGCATTGCTGGGGATTACCGATGAAAGCTGGAGCTATTCCTTTTCCTCTCGAGTGCGACGAAACATCCATCTCAAGCCTTTTTGGCAATTCGAGTCATGTTGATTTCTAATTCTGCTTCTGGACCTCACACAAGCAATGTCGGCTAGTGGCGACGACGGTTTTCTTTATCAGCGCGGGTCGGGACGGGGGCGTATGTCTCGTGCTTCTACTCAAAGCAGGTACTGCCTCTTTGTTTACAGTATTTTTAGAGCGCTCCCGGTTTAGCATGAGCGTACACTGTAGAATGCAAGACTGTGGCCCTGGAAGCAAAAGATATCTTGCGTATGAAATATACTCGGCGCTCGGAAGACGGAACAGGAAAGCCATGCGAAATCTGACTGCAGACTGCCTACCAACTCGGCTGTCGCTGGACGAATCTTACCACGAGGTATTGAGAATCTCGGCTCTCACATTGCCACCTCAGCCTTATGGATATGTGTGCTTGCCAGGGATCCTGCTGCCCCAAAACATGCTGTCTCAGACGCGCGAGACAAAAGGATAGCTGTCATAAGCAACGGCTAACTTGATGTAGTAACCATTTAACCTAGTCCATTTATTCTCCCGAGTGGCTCTTGGGAGTCTTGCTTCCTTTTTTTCTCGCTCAATTGGCAAAAGCCGAGGGACAAACGGGATGGCTGTTGATGGTGCTTTGCTTGCTGACCACCAATACTCACGATACGAGAGCGTGGCACACATACACACACACACACACACACACACACACACCCCTCTCTCTCTAATTTGACACTGCGCTGCAATCATTGGTAAAGTTGGGCGCTTGATGAAACAGATCGTCCAGCTATGGGTCTTGAGCTCTCTTGTACCTGGGAAATTGAAAGAAGATGCAATAAACAACCCACGTCCTCAATGAGAGTTGAAAGTCAGGGTCGTATTTTGTGATGATACCTTGTTGTGTTGGCTGGGGAAAAGACTGTACCGGGGTCTTTGTTGCATGGCATGGCATGGCTAGGGAAGGGTGTGCCAAGATTCGAGTCGACTGGAAGTAAATGTTTTTTCTTTTATTATTATTATTTTATTTTTATTTTCTCACCCATGACAATAGCGACTCCATCCATACCTACCCATCTACACTACACAATGCAAGGACTCGGCTGTCAAGGATTGCGATAGGGCAACGTGATCTCTAACCCGCAATAGGGAAGAAGCTGCAGATCGGATGGCTCGTCTAGGTACCTAGGTCGACATGATTTTCCTAATTTAGGTGACCTAATATTATAAAAACGTACATTCGTAGCACAGTACATAGCGCAATAGCACCCGTCCGCCATGAAACTCCTTCTTGGCCTTTTCCCCACCACAGCCTTATGGGGGGATGTGCCGCGGGAACTGCCCAGACGTCAATCATTTAGTTAGCACGTACGCTAAAGAGACACATGGTCAGGGGGGTCCCGTCCCCTAATGACCCTGAACCCCCCTTCAGCTTGCCAGGCCCTTGCGCTTAGCTGTGCAGGCATCTAACCTAACCTAATCTCTTGCTTTCCCAGGTACGAATGGAAAAGATCCAAGACCTCAATGAGGAACCTTTTTTTTTTTCTCTCCCCCCCTTCCATCAAACCTACCTAGGCAGGCTGGGTTCTCTCCACTTGCGGCTTGTCTACTCCGCACAGTGGAAAAAGGAAGCCAAGTCCGATAAAGACAAGATCCTTCCGATCTCATCCTGCGCTTCTACTATGCACCGCGCGTGCGAGCTCCAACCGCCGAGCGACCGATCTGCTCCCTCTGCTTTTTGTCCACCGTCTGAATCTCGCAGCAGCTTCGGGGCAATGTGGGTAATGTAAGAATGTAGGGCACTTGATAGGAGGGATTGTTGGTCTGCCAAGGCTTCCTGGTGTTGCGTCCCCCAATTCAAAGGCCAGTCCCACCTGATTGATGATGCTGCTGCGGGATTGGACTTGAAGCAAAATGGCCTACACGGTAGCTGAGAGCAGAGCTCGGAGAGAGAGAGAGAGAGAAGGCTTTTGAAATGATTATGGCCCCCACGACCGTATCCGCTTCTTGCTGGAATACCACACCCGTTCCCCCTCTCTCTCCAACCAGAGCAGCATCGACTCTTGCAAGTATGTACCCAATATCCAATTTTAAATCACTGCACACGACACATGTCAGTAATTGTGGAGAGGGGTGATCTCATGGTCACATCTTGTAGGTGAAAATAAACCCCAAGCTTAAGGTGGCCGGCCCCTATATCACAGGCATACTATAGGTGTCTTGGTTTACTGACGTGAGGTGCCTTCATTCAGCTTGACAGGTAAGGAACTGACAGACACGCAATCAATCAGGCACTTGGTTGTTTTTGGCACTAGAACGCAAGTGTCTCTCTTTATTATTCTCTGTTCCCTTTTTTATTTCTTTTGTGGCTTTCTTTAGCGCAACACCCACCTCCGATGTACGTAGGTATATTCCCGTCTCTGCCGTGTCCGTTCTGCGTGTCCACCGACCCCAGAAGTGCTGAAAATCTGAAACGAGTGACTGCCATCATGTTGATCGATACCACCTTGGCTCATACTGCTACTATTAGCGTCGGTCTACGCAATATGAACCAAGACGCACCTATCGCAACATGGCTCGTGCATTGTCTCTCCATGTTCCTATTATAGCTTTTTTTTTTTTTTTTCCCAAGAGCACTAATTATTTTCAACGCCCCGAGCCATAGTACATACTTCTTGTGGTATCTTGTAGCCTTTGGCCCAGCCAGGACCATGCAACCACCGACCGCCGTGCTTTGCTGACAGATGAGCAAGCCAACGGGCGATGGGACGCCTCGACACCTCCAAAACCATCATGCTTAAAAAGAGCATGTCCCTTCCTTGGATGGTCCTGGAAGCGTGAAATATTGTCTCTTTTTTTTATACTTATATTCCCATACGAGGCGTACTCTCTGCGGCGCGGCACGGCATTCATAATCCTTCGCCAATCCTCTGTATATGAATACAGGGCCAGTCGCTCTTTTATCTCTGATTATCTCCAGAGCATTACCATACGTCCTCGACTTCCATCCCCTGCAGTTGATCCGTCGTCACGCACACCTTATTCGGCCATATTGTTACCTCATTGACACACAATACATACATCGACAAGTGAAACCATATCTCGATTCTCGCTCCGTCTTGAATATCTCCAACATGCCCGGCATGGCCAAGTCGCTTGACGTTTGTCAGAGCACATGCTCCAGATCCTGCAAGAAGTAAGTAACCTTATTTCTTTTCCTGCTTGTACCACTTGTTCTAACATGGTTCTCCATAGACACAGGCCAAAAACCAGTTCCACAGAGCAAGGCTTGCTGCATCGAACAAGACTCGAACTCCTCAACAACCCCAACAGTAGCAGCGCTGCAACCGAACGATTATGGAGCACAACCCAGTACACGACAGGCTACCATGAGAACCGCATGCAGAATACCATTGACGGCTTCGACCAGAACTTTGCATCACGAGGATCCTGACCATTTACAAAACCTTTTGCCTTTGCATCCATCACACCAAATCAAATTACATCATATCACCATTTGTATCAATATTATGTCGGAGAGGGAAAAGTTTTGGGGCTGGATACGGCGTTTTAAGGGTTTCAAACCACACTGCTGTTTATAGAATGACTGGAATGAGGAACAACACGATACCGCCACCTTTTGTTTGGCACGGAAAATGTATTAGTATCAACCTGCCTATGTCGGCATCGAATTGCATGATGCAAATACAGAAACGCTGTAGATAATGATAATACCAATTGAGCCAGTGTGTCGCTTCCACTTTTGCAATCTTTCCCCACGTATAACAAACCCTCTATCGAATCATCGACTCGCGATTACATCAAGTTGGTGGTTTCCAACAAGCTTTTCCGTATTGGAGGAGGCCCAGGACAGTCAGCAGGGCCTCGTGGGAGGAAAAGGGCCGCCCCCTTGGTGCCATTGATGCATCTCAAAACGGATTAGGTACCTACCTACATACCTGCCTTTTGCTGCAAAAGGTACTGAGCGGCGCGGTACACACCCACAGCGTCTTTTATTCCAATACATTCCCGTCTAACCCACTCTTGTAAGAATCTTACACGCTCGCTGTTACCCAGGTCTGTATTACCTACACGGCTGTTCGTCCCTTTTCTCCCTTGGCACCCCCACTTATGATTAAAACCTTTCTCTTTCTCGGGGGGAGCGACTTGAATCACTTTGGGGGTCCATGTCCTTTTTGCAGTCAGGGCCAATGCTCCCGGCAGAAAGAACAGTTGCGCGCTCAATGTGAGAATTGTGAGGACTACTGCTTGTTTTTCTTCTCTCTATGGAAAATAAATAACATTTTGATACAAGTATGGTGCAATATCTAGAGATTCCATGCCTGTGCTCTCTATGATGGTGTTCTTAACCCCCCACATACATCGAGGAATGCCGCGGCGGCAATTCATCATGTATCGTGATGGCATTTCCGCCCGATGCAGATATGTACATAGTAATGAGTGCGTCCCCTCGCTGCCTGGTCGATCGAGGCACCGACAAGTCTATTATAACCAGGTATCTAAATACTACCAACCTTGATCCATGCGCCTACCACGTGCGACCTCTATTCTTCCCCATTTTTGACTTTTTTGAATGGCATGGTTCTTTGCGACATCGACCAATCGAATGGCTCAATGGACCCTTCTTGCAAAAAAGGAGGGTCGTCTTGAGGCCGGGGCCACCCCCTTGTCAGCCCAGGCCGGCTCTACTATATGTTCTAGCGCGTCGAGCCCAGATAAAATATGATCGAGTCGTTCAAGGACGTTTATTTTTCCAACGCTCGACGGAGGATTCAATAGATCTGCGCTTTCTGCTTGTTTTTGCTGGGGTGGCGTACGTAGGGCTTATAAGGGACAATTCTTGCATGCCACCCCCTTCCTCCCCTAAGCGTTCCCAGAAGGTGTAGATTCTCCGTCCTGATTGGTGATGAAGCTGCCTAGCAGCGCCCAATCATTTAGGCAAATACAGATTGCTTGAACCAAAGAAGCATCATGCGAGACTCTGGTCCCTGCAATGAGATGCGTCCCTGTCCGCCCAGGGCGTTTTGCCTTTGTCAGGGCAAGGCAAATAAGGATAAGAGAAGAAAGAGTACCTGCTGTACTCTGTACCTTTTTTTTTTTTTTCTACAACACGTGGCCGCCACGTGCAGGTGAGAAAATGCGAACCTGAAAAATCGACATCATTCTTCCACCGGTGCCCGTCATCCAGTCATTCAATGTTGACATTTGGCCCCACCTTGGATCCCTTGTGTGGAAGCTACATTGCCGCAAGCCACTCAGTGCTGTCCTACCGGCCGCTCAATCCTTTAGCACACGAGTTACGAAGCACATTTTCATCTGTCTCTGTTTCAAAGCCCCCAATCCCCCACAGCGACCTTGAGCCTTGGGGCAGAACAAGCAGGGCAACAAAAATAAAAAGCCACGCAAGCTTGCGCTGCATGGAATAGGTCTGCACATGGCTCCGAACCAGTGTGACATTGACTCTGTCTTCTTCTTTTTTCCCTCTTGCCCCGTAAACCAGAACCTTGCTAAAGATATGCATGCGATCCTCCTCAAAACCCAGTCACATCGGCATTCCTTGTTTATTTCGCCACTCTATTTCGTCGGTATATTCATTTAGAGTGCTGACAAGAAACGAATCTGCCGCCCCTCTTGCCCTCTGTCTCTCCTTCGCCACCCTCACCCCCCCTTGCGACGCCGCCTCGTGCCTTTTTGTGCCCACGAGGCTTCTTCATCGGCTGTCTCCCACCCAGCCCCGGGAAGGGAGAGGGGGCATTGACGAAACGTGCATGACAGACAGGCACCAACACGTGTTGATCGTTGTACAGAGTCCAATCTCCTGGCTTGAGGGGGGAAATGACATACCGCAAGCTTGTCGGTAGCGGTTCGGGAAACATTAGTACCCTATCGATCTGTAGGACTATCGCTCCTAGTGCTTTCGTCGTGAGCTGTCTCTAGCGAGCATGCAAGGCAGATTCTTTTGTCCTCTTGAAACTCGGGAGGGGCCCCTGGCAAATGAAATATATGATTCTTTTTCAAGCCTGCCTAATGTGAATGTCCTTGTACGCCTGAATGCCTTTCAAGTCATGTCTTGGCTCAGGTGATGAACTTGGGCGCTTCCCATGAACGAGCAATGATCTACAACATCGTGACTACCTGCCCCAGAAAGTAGAAAAACTTACTTTCTTTTGCAAGTATTTGCCGACATTTGCCGACCTTTTCAGTGAGATTCGATGAAATCACTCTTATGTGGCAGCCAAACCCAGCTTCCAGTGTTTCTGGTTTGACAATATGCCCGTTTGGCTCTCCGATGAAAATTTATCACGTTTATTGTACCAAGAGGATGCTTCTCTTGTTCACTGAGAGATCCAAGTACCCTGCACATGATTTATTATATGATGATATATGGTTATACATTGCACCTACCATGAATACCAGAAATTTGTTAGTAGTTTATTCTGCAGCCAGAGATGCCCGTGTGGTGTAGACTTCTTTCCACACATCACAATCATGAAAAAGGCAGCAAGAGACCCTGGACGCGCAAAGGTATCTTCTCTACAAGACAGTATGGATAGGCGCAAACATTGCATCCCACGATGGCGATTGTAGCTGCAATTCGCCCGACGATTGGCAATCATGCAACGGAAGGACGATGGACTTGGAAGGCAAAGATGCAAGTTCAACCAAGGCCCAAGTGATTGGGCGTTGCTCATAATAAATACTCATATATCACCCTTACATAGTACATTCAATATCGCAACAATGATTGGAGCGCTTGGTCATCAAAGGATCCTACAGGGAGCTCTCGGGTTGCTGCACATTTTCTGAACCAACCGACCGGGCCTAGGAGTGACTGGACGAATCCCTCTCTCTGTTCCTCTCTCTGTTCCTCTCTCTGTGTGTGTGCCACAGAGACCCGAGGATATCCAACCGGCTTAGTTCCGAAGAGGACGACACCCTGGCTCTACCTAGACCGACAGAACCTTGTTGCCTGCGCAAACTTGGCGGGCGTGGCCGAGGAGATGACTTGATGCAAAGCACTATCCCCGATCCTTCACCTAGGTCTGGCGCTGATGCAAAAGCGGTGAGTCGGATTAACGCATACCAGAGATCTGAAGCTTTCTCAATACTCTGGCGTTGTGTATTACCTTGACATTTTCCCAATCATCCGTGGGGATTCGACGGCCTGCAATGACTATACCGGTAAGCCTATGCCGGGGTCCCTGCGCAGATCCCTGTTGACATGACGAGATGACAATATCAAGAGATTATCTCAAAGGAACCAAGTCGTTGAATTTGAGTACTGCTATATTAGGATTTGGATATGGTTCCAGCACATTGTACTCCATCTTTACACTTAGATAAAGTGTACCAAAGTCGTCATCTTGGTGTAGGAAAGTAGTGCCAAGCGTTGTGAAAAATAGCTGATGAGGTATCCAGTGGAGTCGAGGTTCAGCGCCATGATCAGCATCTTTGCAGAGGGCTTTGATTCAGCCTTTCTACCAGGGGAAAAAGGGAACAGTTCATGCGATCGTCCCTCTTTCCGATGGCGGTGGTGTCATGGTGTCGCATCCCGGGACCGCTGTCGCAATTAATCGTTCAACGGTCTCGGCTCGTCTGTGGCGCGGATGCAATCAAACGGGTCCCGAAGCGAGCCTCCTACTCGGGAAGTTCGGTTAGTCGACATATGCAGCCGCTGAGAGTTATTTTCGCTGACGCGAGCATGGAGCCATCAGACTCAGCCTATTGACACATTTTCGTGTTCGATAACGAGAAGATTATCGCATCGAACGCCATTGCGGATGAGAGGACCGCAGTTCCACCGGTCAGTCGGTGTGGGAATCGTCAGATTCGAGGCGGCTTATCCAAATGTATATATATATTCAGAGAGGTCTTCTCGCCACGGAACTTGATGAGGATAACAACAGTTTTCCACTTCCCCAAGGTAGAACTAGACGCAAGAAAATAGTGTCTTCTCAGCTGTACTTTCAAGCTCCATTCATCGGCACGTCATGCAGTTCTCCATGTTCAAGACCCTGGCAGCGGCCTTGACGCTTGGCAGCACTGCCTTTGCCACCATCACCGGACCATTCTACATTACCATTGTGCCCGAAGATGGCTCAGCGTCTTATCCATCTACCATTGCGACGGTATCTCGAGGTGCCCAGATCTTGTCATCAGCATTGGAGTATGAGCAGCAATTCACATTCAACGAGTACGCTACGTTCCGTCAAAATGTCCAAGGTGCAACATTCAGCTAACCCAGATACCTCCCTCTTTAGAACCTCGGGTCGCCTCTACAAGGCCGACGAGCCAACCAACGGCAGCGGCGCATTAAACGTCGGCGCCCCCTTCCTCTTCAGCCAGACCTCGGGCGCTGCGCTGACGCAGGTCACCGTCGACGGCGAGACGTACTTGGTGCAGGCCGGTACCAGCGACATTTACCAATGGTGGAGCACGCCGACGACTACTGGTCTGGCCGTGCAGGTCAACTTTGAGGGCGTCGGTTCTGATGACGCCAATGCGGCTCTCCGAGTGGACGTCGAGTCAACTTGAGCCCACGGGATATGCAAATTATTATGAACCAAGACGGCTTGGGGATTGGGGTGCTACTACCAATCACGAATCATGAAAAGAAAAAGGTCACGATCATAGAAAAGCGATTGCACAATTTATTTAGTCGTACTGATATAGCTTTCTTATACATTAATGGATGCGTTGCTGATCTGCCGGGCAATTTTATAATGGGCCGACAAAGTTTGACCCGGGTGACTCCGGTGGGGATGTTTAAGCGCCTAGAAAAGTGGCTCTGATTGTTTGAGTACTCAGTATATTTATCATCTTCGCGTCAACTACGAGCGAGCTATGAGAACCGACATGACTTTGACATGGTGAATAGGTAGTTATATGAAGCAAGAAACGGTGGGATACGGCAAGGAAGGGAGAACAAACGCCCATTCCCTCCGGTGGGATGCGGATCTTAAAAAGGGGGAATCCTCAAGTATACAACAGATGAAATAAGCTTATCGTGCCAACCCCCCGGTTACGCCTGAAACACACCCCGAATAGCGGCTTCTTGGCACTATAAACAAGACAGCGAATCGCCCAACTTAATCCTAATTTACGGCAAATGCTACATTTTGGGATTTGGGCACCGCAGTAAGTTGGAGTATGCGGGTTGAACCATGAGGCTCTGCGAATGAATAAATGCTTTGTCGATATCTCCATTCGTTTGACTGACTTTTGCGGCTCTTCTCCAAGTTCTATCAGAAGTTTTCAACCTCATTTACATTCATTTATTCATTCATTTTACCTTCTTTTTTACTGGCTTTGGTCCAGCACATTCATTACCTGACTACATTATCTAACCAATCCTTTCGCTTCAAAATGCACTCCAATTCGCTTCTATGGTCCGCCGCTTTTGGCGCGGCCAGTGCTTACACTGTTACGACTTCTGATAGATTCATGCTCAAGAACATTGATCCTATTGTTTATCCCGGACAGTATGACAAGAGCCACATGCATTCATTCTTTGGCTCGGATGCAGTCACCATTAACACAACCACATCGGCTGAAGTGCAAGCCGGTTGCTCAAGCACTGCCAACCCCAACGACTACTCTGTTTATTGTAAGAGCAAATTGACTCTATACCCTTTTCTAGAAGCGGCTACTGATGATTCTGAGCAACAGGGGTCCCTACTTTGGTCTACACCAGTCCCAGCGACGGCGTGCAGTACCCTGTGCCCGTGAACCGCTTCAGCGCGTACTACGTCTCCATCAACGCCGCCGAGGTCGCCATTCCCCAAAACTACCGGGGCGTGGCCGGCAACGCCTCGGCCACGTCGCAGGACGAGGTCAACAGCCTGGCGGGCATCTCTTGGTTCTGCGAGGGCGACAGCGACCAGCCCGAAAAGGACGACGCGGCGTTCCCGCTCAAGACGTGCAGCACGCACCTGCAGACGCTGCTGCTGTTCCACGACTGCGTCAACGAGGACACGCTCGAGTCGGCCTACTCGGGCACGCAGAACTGGAACTCGACCTTTCGCCCCACTAACCGCTGCCCCGAGGGCATGAAGCGCATGCCGCAGCTTCGCTTCTCCATCCGCTACGACCTGCGCACGGCGCTCCCCGATGGCTGGGAGGGCCAGCCGCCCCTCGAGCTCGCCTGCGGCCCGGGCTACTGCTCCCACGGCGACTTTATCAACGGCTGGCTCCCCGAGGCTGCCGAGAACATGCTCCTGGCCAACAGCAAGACCGAGTTTGCCGGCGTCGACGGCCCCGACGGCGCGTACAATGCCGGCTCCGTGTGCGGTGCTGAGAATGCCACGGACGCGGATCCCGACAATGGCACGAGCGATTACGCCGAGAGCGTCGCTTTGATGTCGAAGCGAGCTGTCAGCAGCCGCAGACGTGCCGCGACTGCTTAAAAATACTGGTTTGAGACGGGGCAATGACTTTTTTACTTGTATTTTAAGCTGCTACAACGACACAATACATGATTAGTCGATTCTCTTCTGCAATCTATTTCTTGATTCACGGCTATGATGAGTTCATGTCCCTATAATGAGGAAATGACCGTAGTAACAAGCAAGTGTGCAAGTATATGATTTTAATGACTATAGCCATGTGCTGAATACTACCCCAACGGCTTGAGTTTCAGCATCAAGGCTACCTATAAAGCATGAACCCTGCAAATATGTTGGCCAGTACAAAGGACTCATGCACGTACATAGTATTTATACTACATTCCCCCGCACCGACGCGCGGCACCCACTAAAAGTGCTAAACGGCCACTAAATTCTCAACTCACACGCTATTACAGTTCCCCGACTCATAACATGGCAATACTCTCAAATTTGTGTTAACAATGGCAGGGCTGAATAGACTACTAGTCTATATTGATTGCAGGAATATTACAAAACTAAAGCGCATGGAATTAATATTCAAATTCCGAGACTTTTAGTCAGCATAAAATTTAAATTGCATGAAGTTGCAACAACTTTCACTTTACTCAGGAAAAATGTTACCAGAAAATTAAGTCATCCCTAACCCAAGTACTCGCGTTTCCCCCAGAGTGCCAAGGTCAAGGGGTCCACCACATTAATGAATTCTACCGGGAACTTCCCGATGATGGAATCATCTCACGGCGGGTATAGTGACATTATTATATCCACAAAAGCAAGTACATCGTTCGCTTTGTAGAATTCGAACAAGCCACCTTCCTCTCCAAGCCTTGTCTGGATAAACAGAATTCCGGAAGCTACCCAAAGGATCAAGTCTGTCAAAGCTTGATAGCTCGATATAGAATGTGACTGATCACCTACAATGAGATTCCATCATTAGACAGAGGTAAAATATGTTCCGTAAACATATATATATATATATATAGAGAGCTCGCATTTCCAGGCGGAGCACTTGGCAATGCGGTGAACTGCCTCGTTCTCAAACACCATCTGAGCCACTGAGCAGGCAATCCTTTGCCAAGATTTTCATTTCAATCGACGATATACCATCATGGCTGGAACACTGGCTACCGGGGTTGCGACATTGATCTTCAGCCTTACCGGCGTCAACTTTGAAAACAGCATCGTCCGTCCGAATGGAAATCTACTTCTGACCACCATCAACAACGGCAGCCTGTACGAAATTGACCCGTCCTCTGCAAGTCCAGCAGCCCACCTAACTGCCACCTTTGGCGGCGCCAACGTACTCGGGATCAGCTCAATCGGCAGCGACAAGTATGCAATCGCAGGTGGTTTCAGCAGCGGTGGTGGCGGTGGCGGCGGCCCTGGCGGTTATTCCAACGGAACCATCTTCACGATAGATCTAAGCACCAACAGCACGCTGCCGCTCCTCGGGAGTCCCGCCGCCACCATTCCCGACTCGCAGCTCCTCGACGGCCTGACGGCCCTGCCGGCGCAGCCGCACGTCCTCCTCGTGACCGACGCGCTACAGGGCCTCGTCTACCGCGTCGACACGGCCACGGGCGCCGCAGAGGTCGCAGCCCAAGACGACGCCTTTGCGGGGAGCCCCGGCGTCAACGGCATCAAGATCCTCGACGGCCACGCCTACTTTACCAATACGGCGACCAAGACGTACGGGCGCTTTGCCATTTCCGACGACGGCCTGCAGGCCGGCGCCGTGGAGATCATCGCCGAGGACGCGAGCTCCGACGACTTTGCCTTGGGGCCCGGCGGCATGGCCTACCTCGGCCGGCAGCAGTCGCCCGCGGCCGTGGTGCGGATACTGCCCGACGGCACCAAGGAGGATATTGCCACCTCGGCGGCCATGGGCCGACCTTGTTCCTTGGACTTGGCTCTGGATGGCAAGACTGGTTATGTGACGACTGCGAGTGGGCAGGTTTTTGAGTTTGATGTGCCAGAGATTTGATTATTTATACTCAATTGGCCAACTCTTCTCAATTCAAATAATTCATATATAATAACTATTCATCAAGGGCTCTTTAAAACCTTGTCATTCTCTGAGCTCTTCTGGATAATCACAGGCCACCCGCGGGGCGCCACGGTGAAGTACGCTTTATATGTCCAATCCTGACTAGGGTCCTTTTGGCGAATATCGTAGTCCCTCACCAGAGTCGCCGAGATCTTGGATATCTGGATACGGGCAATGTTCTGACCGGGGCACGAGGCATAACCAGCCCCAAACGGAATCCAGTACTTTTGCATCTTGGCGCCTTCAGCCGATAGCCAACGCTCTGGCCTAAACTCGCGCGCTGTCTGTCCCCAAATCTCCTTGGAGGCGTGAATCACGTGGTTGTTGACCGACAGAATCGTGCCCTTGGGAAATGTCTGATCCCCAATCGTGAGGCCCCCTTTGCCCACGACCCGTGGGAGGCCCATTGGCGTGGGAGAAAAGATGCGCAGGGCTTCCGTGATACACGCTTGTAGGTACGATAGCTTTTGTGCATCGTTGAACGATATAATGGGGTCGTTTGTCGCGAGACTGGCCGCTTGGAGTTCCTCCCGACAGCGCTGCCAGGCGTCTCGGTGGCGGATCATGTGATAGACAAACGACTGCAGGCCGGTGGCTACCGTGTCGCTGCCGGCGGCGATATTGTTCATGGCCGCCGAGTGCACGTCAAAGATGCTCATGCGGTCAGGGTTCTCCCTGAGCGCCTTGAGCCAGTGATTAATCAGGTCAAAGCGCGCGTCCGGGTTGGCCTCACGCTCCTTGGCGTATCGCATGGCCGAGTCGAAAATGTGGCCATAGGGCAGTATACCCAGCCAGGTCACGAGCGGGTTGCCAATGAGCATGGTGTGGACCCATCCGTAGAAGCCGATAATGGCGACATAGGCATTGTGAGCCAAGGAGTTTTCAATGGTATTGCCAATGTCGACGCCCTTTTCCAGGAAGCCAAATGATCTCGAAAAGACAAACTCGCCGACATTGTCATTTGTCGCAAAGGTGAAAAGTTGAGCGAGATCTACCTCCTTTTGCTCATCGGCAGCCTTGTCCAGCCATCCGCACAGCAGTTCAATGTTCTGGTTGATGGCTGCCTCAGACTGGAGCAAGTTTGAGATGCTGTATGTAGCCTGCCGACAGATTCCTGGACCGCTCGACCTTTTCCTTTGGGTCGGTGCTTGACATGGGATTTTTGTAGCGCCCGTCGGGAAAGGCGAAGATCGAGTACCAGCTCCCCTGATGCAGCTTGTCAGTACCTCAAGTTTGGTTTGACTTGGGATTCAGGTGCCGAACCTTGTGAAGCGGCGTGAGAAGTATCTTTCTTACAGCATCCGGGTGACTGACGCTGACTTCATTGTGAGAGATTCGAACAAAATGGCCTGTCCCAGGGTCAGTCGCGTTTCTTCAGAGCTGCCTATAAGCTTTCATACCGTGCTTGTCATGTAAAGCAATCAGTGCGGTATTTTGATTGCCCTCTAGAATTCTGCCAATGTGCCAGAGTCGCGAGAAAGACGCGAGAAACGGCCCAGGTATACGACTCAATGGGGAAAGATAACGACGATGTACAATCACCAATAGAACACTTGCGACAATAAGGACTGCCCAATCAGTCCAGCCGAGCTGGGCAATTGGAAGCAATCGTAACTTTTCCATGATGGCCTCTGCGCAGAATGCTGACGGGAGCTTATGTCTCAACACTATAGTGAACTTTATCAAGAACAAAGAGACTTGCGCCAAAGGTAAAGGCGAAAGTAATCTTTGGAAATTGGGGATATGGATACCTCCAGGTCCATGGCATATGCCGATTTCCCATGGCACCCACCGGCAGATATCTTTGTTTTCATTCGTTATCAATAGGTTTGTCAAGTGGAGTCAGGTTTCACGGCATGTCGACTTTGACTGCTTGGCTACCTGCGACATGGACATATGGTTGGTCAGAATGTGAAGACAAATGAGCTGCATATGCATCAATCTGCACCCTCCGTATATTCGCCTTGTGTATCTACATAGACAGGTATCTAGCTTTGTAATTCTGTGCAACATTTCCTTCTTGTTGTCACTGGTCAAAGTCTCGGGCCTTGGACAATTATATGCATTTGAGCTGTGTTTCTCCCCGATGATAGAATTAGACAAGGTAAAAATGTGAATGGCGAATAGGTAGTAGAAGACAATCTTGGCAGATCATGTAGTCCAGGCACTTATGGGGCACAGACAGCCCACCTTCGCGCCATGATGGTGACTGGCCACGGCAAAGTAATAAAACATTGATCTCCAGATATGACTTTCATGAATGGCTCCCTGACGGTCAAATTTCGGATCTCATGAGATACTTTCAAGCTGCCGACAAATTCAACACCACGTTAAGTAAACATGATTGGCTTTGGGCGTCTTCACAGTTGGGAATAACATTCTGGCCAGATTAAATGCTAATTCATTATATCTCTATCTGCTGGAAGATGAAATGCGTTGTGGGGTAACGGATATAACTAGGCCAAATACGGACTATATCCTGCCGGCGAGTGTCTTGTGCGAGACATGGCAAGGCAGCACTCTTGACCAACAACCATTGTTTCTAGCTAGGTACGTTTCACCACGGAGATACTATTGAATGCACTAAATTTGAAACCCTTTGATTTGTTCTGTTGTACATATAATACATTTTCAACATGGATTAATCCTTTCGATTGACAGTTGCAAAAGAATTGTCTCCTTTAATAACCACGCCACTGAGGTGCGCTCGAATATACGCCGTGACTTTTTGCCCCTAACTCATGGCCATCTCTTTCCTTGCCTGCTCATGAAACTGTTCCGTTGAAGAAGGTGATTGTTTAAAGTGGTGCGCGTGGCCCGGCGGTGTTGCTTGTTGTTGCATGGTGGAGTGGCCACAGTTGGCACACGTGGGTTGCATGTTTGAAGTATTGTGCTCGTTGCTAATCCCTCTAAAATCAGCATGTTGTGGAAGGTAAACGAAAATTGATGATATGATCCAATTACCTATTCACTTTCTTGGCAATAAAGTAGGCTCCTGCCCCGACAATGGCAAGTTTGAAAAGACCCATTCCGGGACGTCGGCCGAATCTGTAGTAATAGGCGTGGTGGGCGAATGGATGCTGAGCCCAGGGATGCTGAGCGTAGAAGTATGGTCTACGAGGAAAGGCAGATGATCGATGCATTTTGCGTGGGATGTCGAGTATCAGTAATGTTGAGAATGATTTAGATAAATCAAACAGAAACAAATTACAGGTCATATATTGCAAACTCTTGGGTTTATTATGAGTCTTTGTGCCTCCTCGGGCATTTGTAAACGCCGATGTGACTCGGACCCGGGCATCTTCAGTGGCCTCGGACTCGGTCGGACGCGGTTCTAATAGTGGACCTCTCAGCTTGGCGGTCCCGGGTCAAAGTCTAGCGTCGACTCATAGGTCAGCTGTGCGTGGTAAGATTGCAGCAGAGTCGGGTGAATCAATACGCACTTTACATGTTTCGAGAACAAGTATGCAGCCCTACCTCATCCAAGCAGAACTATGCAGGAGAGGAGAGTGCACCAGGCAGGGTGGGTCAGCCCGTACTATAAGAATGCCTGGCTGGTCGTGGTCTTCCAATGTCTAGAGGTCAAATATCATGGCTAATATGTATGCAGATAAGTACAAGCAATGGTCTTGATGAGAGAAGGATCAAATCACTTGCACAAATTGAAAATGCAGACAACCTGATTTTTTGGTCATTGGAATCATCAAAAGTCCATTAAGCTACGCCGACCCTATGCAGCATCATGACTATGATACACTTGACACACTCTGGTCAAGAAAGCATCGCAATATTTTTGAAGAGCAGAAAGGAAGCCGAAATCATCCAGTGATTTACAGCTTGTCAGCGGCACCCTTGGCCTTTCCAGCGGCTTGGTTGGCAGCGCCCTTTGCCTTGCCCTCGGCCTCGGCGGCCTTGCCCTTAGCTTCGCCGCGGATCTCCTCGGCAGTGCCCTTGACCTTGCCTGCTACATCGGAGTCGGTAACCTTTGATGCTACATTCGCTACAATTGGTTGTTAGTATAAAACACATGTAATTCATATTGGATTATCGAGTAGTGGCGGATGGGCTTACAGGCAGCGTTGATGCCATCAACGAGCTTGTCCGAGACCTTGCGGTCAACAGTCTTGGCAGCGTCCTTGACGGTCTCGGTTGCAGACTTTTGGTATCTTGTAGAAATGGAAAACTGTCGGGGAGTCTGGACAAATGCGACTCTGGAAGAAAGAGCCAGACGGCGGGTGACGGTCTCGGTGAGGAACGACATTTTGTGTAGGTTGATGGCGTGTATCAGTTGATCTCAAAGCAGAGAAAAGATTATAAGAGTTTGAAGGATGGATCGGTCTTGCAGAGTCGTGGAACAAATGTGAAATGGGATTAGAAGTCAATGGCAAAGAGGATTTGGAGGAAGCTTTCGTACATAAATGTATGGCTGTTTCCCTTGTTTGTTGTGGGGAAGCTTCGAATCACGATGATGTGGTAAAGAAGCTTGGTGATGTCATAAAAGACCCAAGCTCAAGCTCTCACTCTCCCAGCTCGAGCCCAGGCCGGCCCGTTGCTCTGGAAAGTCGCGGGGTAGTAGGTAAACTCTCGGTTTGTCCTGCAAACAGGGGGGGGATCCAGTCGCTACGGGTAGGGCGGCAGGTACCGCTTTAGCGACTTTTAGTGGGCGGAACCACCAATTTGCGTCACTGAAAGACAAACCTCCAGAAAAGCCTACAAGGGGTGGCCCTAGGTCTGGATCTCTCCCAGCGTGCAGCAAAAGCTCCGGAAGAGTTCAGCAGTGCGGCTCAAAGTGGATTAGGCTGGGGGAGATCAGCTCTGATGTCTTGCTTTTTGAACATGACGAGCTTCAAGGTTTTCTTCCCCCTTCCCCCATCTCGCGTAACACTCTCTGGTGCGAACACTTTTTTTTTCCCAAAGCCAATGACGAAATGCTGCATCGGGAGGCGCACGTCGGAGGTTGGGTACGGTCCTGTCCCGACTTTTGCAGGCATGTGCCAGTTGCAAAGGAGAAATCTACTTTGTACACGATCTATGCATTTCATTATATGGCAAATCCCCTTTTTTTCAGTCCGTCTTCTCCAAGTTAATGAAACGACCCATACTTTTTTAATTCAGCAATATTCTATTGCCATGGTATTGAAAGCCAGGAGGTTCTGACCCAATATTGTTATTCACTGTTCTGGACCAGGAGTCTGATTGGCACGTCGAGACGTCAAACCTACTTACTGGGTTCGGCATGGGCATCTCCAACCATAGGGATGCGCATACCCAAAGGAGAAACATCCCATTGGAATGGAAATATTGCACACCATTATGGTTTCCCAAACATTGGCTCTTGTGTATTGTATTTTGATAGGTAAATGATCATTTTATCAACTTGAACCTCGCGAGCAGTAAACAGGATTGCAACTGTCGACTGTCTCATTCCTACAGCTGTTCTTTGTTCTTCCCATTCTTCAATACCGCATTTGGCAGTCACCCGCATCCGGGATACGATTGGTGATTTTACAGTACGAGTCCATGCTCGACATGCCGGAAACGACTAGGAAAATGAGCTTATTGTTCTCAATTCTCAATACTCAACAAACGATCGTCTTATATGAATCTATCAACACGCATTTAGTCGAGTCTTGCGACGTGACAATGAGCCCCCACGTATTCCCTCATTCTCGTACTTTTTCTTCAAGACAAAAGTGAGGTCAGTCAACTGTTTAGACCATGGCTACTCAAGAGGCGCGTGAAGCTGCGCATAGGCAGGATGCGCAGTGGCTGTCTTACAAGTTTGACCGCTATCGTGAGGATGGCACGGCTCCTCCCAGGGCCCCGACCGTGGGCGAACACGGCAATTGGGAATTGCCAGTCGCCAAGGAGTTCCGTCATGGGCTGCGGCCAGCTCAGAAGCCGATTGAATGGAAGCCCATCGAGGCGCCTGCCCGAGTTCCTGCTGAGCTCGACCACAGGGACGACACGAAAGGTCTGCACAAGCATGAGAGAGCCGTGTGGCGGCGAATAATGGCGGTACATGACATGTTCCCTCCTGATGTCGATGGTGATATAACCTATCAGCGCCTCCTTGGCTACGGAGAACACAATGTCGCCATGCTCTACACCTTTGACGATGGGACAGCAAAGGCTCGGGAATTCGTGCTCAAGATTGGACTCTACAAGCCTTTGAACGACCCCCGCATCCGCCGAGAGAGAAGAATGCTGCAAAAAGTCCGCCGATCTCAGCACATTATTCAAATGTACGATCCTGAGGAGCTTGGCCTGACCGTCAGTCCCGGCCCGCGGCTTGAGTTTGACGAGGTGGACGATTCCGAACCTCCTCTCTCTGACAGTGGTGACGATTCACCCAGCGATGATGAACCGGAGCCGAAGCGAAGAAGGAGAGATTACACCCAAACCCAACTCAAGAAGAAGCGAAAACAGATGGAAAATGCCTACTGGGCTCGTACGGATCCTCTCAGCATTGCCGGGCGCACGCCAAAACACGACCCGACAGTGGAAGAAATAGGACGTCGAGATTATATTCTACTCGAGTATATGCCAAATGGTACCCTTGAAAGTTTTATTGCTAGACTCAATGAGGCGGACGAGAAATGCCCAAATCGCGTCTTGTGGTCGTTTTGGGTTTGTCGTATGTATACCGAGTTTCCAAGAATGAGACGAAATTGGAGTCGTAACTAACGCGAGGCAGTGATTCGAGCTTGCATTGCCATGGCCTACCCAGTACATAGGCATAACCGGAAAAGAAATGATGCTGCATTCGCTGGAGCGCTGAGCGAAATGATACCGGCTCAAGCAGTTAGACGCGAGAAAATCCGGCCCTTTGTTCACTTTGCGATCGAACCAAGAAATGGTACGTCAAGATCATTGAGCGAAATATAACTCATGACGCTGACCACGGAACTAAACAGTCTTGATTGGCCGCATTCCTAGTGACGTGACCTATGACGAGCACTCGGACGAGGTTACACCAATCCTAAAGGTATGGTTTATAGTTGTTAAAGTGGCGTAGATTTCAGAGCTGACTACTCGCCTGGCAGCTTGCTGGTTTTGGGCAATCAGAGGTTATTAAAGAGCAGAGAAGAAAGTACGTTGTTTAAAAGATTACGTGATGGAGCCGGCAGCTAATGAATGACCTGCAGTTGGTATTATGAGAGAAGACGAACTTGCGGTAGACACGGGTACTATGCACCAGTAGGTCAAGCAGAGTGTGATTCACCATGAAAATTGAGCTAATCATCTACTAGGAGCAATTCACCGAGCTGTGGGATACATTTGCCCCAAATATGGACGGCGATGAAATCTGCGAGCAGCATCTCGCCGGCAACTATGGACCGGCGATGAACGTCTGGGGCATTGCTTTGGTGGGTGGTCCCGTTTCTAACCCTTATTCTTCACATCCACAGTCCAGGGCTAATATTACTAGACTCTCCTCTGCGTCATTACCCGCTCGGAGCCAACTCTCCCGCCGCGGGCAGCCACGGCCAAAATCTTGGCTCGGAGGGGCGACAAAAAGTCGGGCTGGTGGAATCACTACACGTACGGGGCCATGCTGGTCAAGGAGCCCAAGAACGAGAGATGGAGCTACGTCGACGAGGAGCTGCGCGAGGTTCTGGCCAAGTGCCTCGCGCGCGACCCTGCCCACCGCCCCGACCTGCAGACCCTCTTGGACACTGCCATCAAAAAGTGCGAGGACGATGGGCCCTATGTGTATGCCGACGGGGAGACGGCCGCGACTAATGATTTTGTCTTCAAATGGATGAGAAATCTGCTTGAACATACTACATTAGGAGTCGCCACTGCGCCTTGGGGTCCCATTTGAGAGCTTGCATAACGTGTCACTCCCCTAAAGCTCTGAAATGTTTCTGTTCTTGGACATCTCTCCACAATGGGAATACTTCGACGGAGGGTGGAGGGGTTGTGGATTTTTCATGACATATTGCTAGGTTGTGCGCTCTGCTTGTTTGTAGTATAGGTATTTGGCAGTGGTACTAGAATCTCTCTCATAATCTTGTATTTGCTTAAGCCCATCGTCCCCTCTGGATTACTCATCAGCTACCCAGATACCTAGAATACTTTGTTATAATTTCATGCTATCATGCTATGCATTCACCAGTTGCGAATATGTTGTATTGGTAATTTGCTGTACTTTCCTGGCGTATGTAACAGCAAACACGCGAGTTATGATCTGTCATACTACCACAGTCCGCTACTCGTTGACAGCGTAAAAGTTCTGATTACATCAGCAGTGTGCTGTTCAGCTGAAAGATGGCATGCTGAGATCGTAAATATTTACCCGCCTGAGTTTACACAATGCATGAACAAAGTCCGAGTTATTATTGGAGCATGTAATCGGGGTCGCCGTTTTGGTCCCATATCGAACCAAAGTCCAGACCAGTACCTATGCAATAGCCGTTTGACACGCTTGGCAGCTCACACAAATAAGGTAATTTTACCTGATATGCCTTTATCATGCGATCTCTTATCTCGTTCCATGGTAAGCGCTAAATAATTGCCCTGAGGGTATTAGGCTACCCATCCGTATACTCGACTGGGGTGGCACCAGCCACTATCATATGATGAACCATTTCGTAGCAGTCTGGGTATAACATGCGAATTTGTGTTTGCTGACGTGATCCGCGTTTATACGAAGCGCGCTATTTCTACGATTCTCCTTCTCCTTTATTTCATTCGCATTGCTCCATCTTCATGGGAGTATATCAGGACATGCAGCTGCCCTCTTCGGTCTACGAGCCTTCAAGTAGCATGTCGATAAAGGTGGACCACCGACTGACTATATATGCCAGCCGAGCATCTCGCATGATCCACGACTCGACAAATCTTGGTTGATACACAGTCTGCAAACATGCCGGAACCAAAGCGCATCCTGTTCTTGACAAACAGCGAGTACGGACAGGCCAACGTGGTATTGGCCGTGGCGCACGCTCTGCTCCATGCAGCTGCAGACGTCGAGCTTCACATTGCATCGTTCAAAATACTGGGCGATGCGGTACGCCTCTTGTCCGACAACGCGCTCAAGACGGCGCCTGGTCCGTCCAAGGGCATCGTGTTCCATCCCATCCATGGCCAGCCGTACGCGCGGACACCGCTCACGAGGGAGACTTTTGACCTTGTGCCTAGTCTCTATAATACGGTGCGCGTCATCTTGGCCTTTCCCGAGGTCATGTCACCCTGGGAGCCGGCAGAGTTTGTGGGGCTTTGCGAGGAAGTCGAGCGCATCATTGACGAGGTGCGACCGGACTTGACCGTCGTCGAGCCAATGTTTAACCCGGGATTGACCATTTGTCATTATCGCCGCATGAAGTGGATGGTCCTAGCTCCGAACACTATCAAGGACTTTGCCGTCCCTGTCCAGCCAGCACTTGCGGCTCTGTGGAAATATCCCATGTAAGACATGAATGCCGTCTTTCCACGAGTATAACTCGAGTTCATGCTAATTGCTAACTATGGCTTTGCTGCTAGTGTCTGTTCAGCCTTGCCATTTCCACTACCGTGGCACTTGATTCCATATAACATCGCGCTGAATCTGGTGGCTGGATACATGATCCTTACCGATAAAAGCATAGCCGCAGTGGTCGCCCGCCTCCGGAGTCGCTACGGGCCTGATATCCAGCTTATGACGCCAAACGAGCTCGGTGTACTCAAAGCGCCGCCCGAGGGTCTGCGCCTCCTGGCGGCTAACAGCCCCGAGCTGGATTATCCGTTCGCCTACCTCCCCAAGCACATTATACCGGTCGGACCGATCGTACGAGCATCCAGAGCTCTCGCAGATGTGGATCCTGGCTTGCACGCATGGCTGCAGCGCGGACCTGCTGTTTATGTGAATCTGGGGACCTACCTCACGGCCACGGCGGACGAGGCAGCCGAGCTCGCAGGTGCGTTGCACGACCTGCTTGTTGAGGCCGATAAGTCCGGCTATGGTGCGGAGACAACGCCGCTCCGAATTGTTTGGAAGCTTGGGCGGAAGGATTCGGCCACTGGGAGTGATCGTCCTGCGCAGTTGAGCGGCGAGCAGGACTGGTCAGGTCCTTGGGCAAAAGTCGCTAATTTGCTAAAGAGTGAGATGGACTCGGACCGTATTCGAATCACCGGCTGGTTCACTGCAGAACCAAAGTCTATTATCGAGTCCAAAAACATCATCTGCTCGGTTCATCATGGTGGCGCCAGCTCTTTCAATGAAGCTTTGTGGTTAGTGATTGAATTGATATGACGGAAGTCTATACTAACTATAACTATTTCAGTGCCGGTGTGCCCCAGGTATTGCTAGCCCCATGGGCAGATTGCTACGACTTTGCCAATAGGGCCGAACTCCTCGGCATAGGGGTATGGGGAAATAAACAGGCCAGACCGAGATGGAAGCGTGGCGAGCTGGCTTCGGCTTTGGTAAATATCATTCTCGGTCCTGATGCTGAAAAGACCAGAGACAGAGCGGCCGAATTAGCTCGCAAGTACCCAGAAAATGCTGGTAGAGATAAAGCGGCGGAAGAGATATTAAATAGTCTTTAATACTCCTATACACTCGCAAGTCTTGCACTCGAGTGACGTCAAGGGATGATTCAGAAGCCCCGGTTGCTCTCCGCCAAAATGAACGGTGGGAGCTCCCCTGTTGGGTTTATTTTAAGGAGACGGGACCGAGAGGCTCTTATACTATGGTACCCAGGTGGATCTTCTCCTGCTTTTCGTCATGGTGGAGCGGGCAATGCGGATATACGTCTTCTGGCTCGCCAGTATGCTGTACTACGGCTTGCCCAGGTTGAATAGCATCCTGCATAGCATGAAAGTCTATTGCGTGCTCTGGTAAATAATCATTAATGCTTCATCCGCATGTAGATCTGATGATCTCTCAATCTAGAACTGTCTTGGATCATGTAATCTTGCGCCTCATTTTACATAACGTATAATGCCTCCAATGTGCATGTTTACCTCCTTGGAGGGTGCAACTGACAAGCGGCAATCCTTCGGTTTTTCGACTTTGATGCAATTTCTTGACAATTCAATCCTTGTCGATTGACTTTGTGAAATTTAAGGGATCTTCAATTCACTTGGAACATCAATGTTTACCTGGAACAGCACATATACATGATTATTACAGATTTGATGCTCAAGTGAACCCTTAATGTCGCATTCCGCCATAAACGTCAGTCGTCATCATTCATGATGGATTACTGTGCCACTTGCTAGATACCCCTGTTATCTTGGGTCCCAAGTAAAGGATGCGGGCGCTTGCCGTCATACGTTCCTGATTGCATCCTGCCGCGAAGCCAAGTTCAAAATTGTAGCCATCGCATCTTGGCTGATTGAATCGATGCAGCGGCATCACAGTGGTATCTCCGTGTTTGTGCACAAACAAAGTCGCTCTCACTATAATCATAGCATTTCCACCAATGGGCCACTAGTCATGGTGAGCCGGCAGCGGCCGTCCGGGGCTAGGATAGACCTCTCTATATACGCGTATGGCTTTGCCAGGAAGACGAGGCTGCGACATAATATGCGAAATGTTGATACACGACAGCAAAAATGTGCGTCTGTCCTTTTACATTATGCAGGCAAAGATATCCCCGGTGTTATTACTATCAATTGACCTGGGTTCCATGCAAGGGACCGAGATAGATGCGGCGCCATGACGTTCAGCACAACGCAGAGGTCTAGAACAGTCCGACAGTGTGTATTCCCGTTCTTGTATATCATTGCAACGAGAAACGCCAATCGATGACAATTTGAAACATGACAGTCTGTCAATTTCACTGGTCATATGTCAGCAATCGTAGGACTCAACAGCGATTGGTGCGGACATAACGGGCACTGGGGGCGACAGATTCCCATCTGCAGGGGCTAAGAGAGATCCGCCCAGAGTAGGAAACAACAGCAGGGACACCGAAAGCGATCAGCATTCAGCTGAGAAGCCTTGCCCCAGAGACTGACGTGAAGATGGGGTGGCATTCAACTGCATCTTCCCATATTACTGTGTTTGATCTTTTGAGCCGATCTGGTTTGCAGTTGGTAACAAGCATGTTAGCCTCATACGCAACGATCAGCAATGGGAGGAGTACGTAGTATGCTGCACGAGCAGGGGTCATATTTCTATACATAAACACGATCGACAACCAGGGTTCTACCCACGTTTCCATTCCCGCGGACGCATCTTTGCACATTCCTGGCGTCTTGGCACGCCTGCACATATACAACTCTGTGAAAAGGATTAGACTGCTTGCACCATTTGATTTTGCACATCGCGCGGGAACGCATATTGCAATGTCTGGCACATTGTTTCAATGGCTATCTTCTCCATGGACGGGCTCATACGTTGGCCCATAATAACATGCAGACAACCTGGTGTCGGCACTTTTCCCTGTCCCGATGATGACTGAGGATCTAGGGGTCCAGTTTACAAGCCTTCTATTTTGTGGCATCCTTTTCTGGGGACTTTGAGCTGGTAACATCCTTCTGTCGATCACTGACGCAGCAAAAATTAGAAATACACTCATCATTGCTGGAGTCCTATGGATATAATAACGCTCTCGATCTCGAACTTTGTCCTGAATTCTTTTTCTCATTCATCATTCACATCATCAACTATACACAGCCTACAGCATAGCCCCTTTCACAATAACAACAATACTTCTTCCAACATTCGATTCGCAGACAAAAGCAATAGCAACAAAACACATCACACATCATGAAGTACACAGCAGTCCTGAGCCTTCTTTTCGCGGGCGTTGCACTCGCCGACCTGCCTTACCAAGTTCCCGAGATGAAGGCCAAGAGACAAGATGGTATTCAGCCTCCCCCAATCTGGACTGGCCAACATCCCACCGGTACAGGCGGCCTACACCCTCCACCTCCTCACGGAACTGGCGGTTTCCATCACCCACCACACGGAACGGGCACGTACTCTCTTCCAGACCAACCGACTACTACTACAATTCCGGGGAACCTCGGGGGCCAGGTACGCGACCACCACCACCACCAGCCCACCGGTACCGGTGGCTGGGTACCGCCTACCGGCACGGGCTTCTACCCTCCCCCCGGCGGCGCGGGTCCCACGGGAGGCTTCCATGGCCCGCCCACCACCTTGCGGACGGAACCCGTGGCCCGGACAGTGGCCGCCTAAGGAGAAGTGGTTTGGGTTCTTTATAAGTGCTAGCGATAGACATAACCAGAGGGTAAGATCTTGCCAAGTCTTTGAGCTCGAACCTGGGGCTCGCCGATTACGATCATATACTAATCTGTCCCAGATTTCGTTGGATTAGAGACCTCGGTCTCGATTGAAAAGTTTCCATTTGTATAGCTTGCATATTGCCTTGCGACCTGGGGCACTTTCTTATTGGAGGTTTCCCTTGTAACATAGACGGTTTATCTGGCATCACTGTCTAGTGGTATGCATGGGCGGGTTTGGTTCAGGATCGATGGTTACACATGGTAGTTATCCTGGACTCGGATAGTGTAGGAAAGTGTTGCATTTATTTTCCCTTTGTTTGCCGTCTCGTATAAGACCGAGATGATTAGAATGAACACAAAGCAAGGCTCTCTTTTCAAGTTATCTCTACGACTTATAACCCAAAAACATGCATAGGCATTGTGATATTGCCAAAACTCGAAACATGATCAACAACAAGCATGGTAGAACCATATCACTCGTGGAATTTCGCAGGAGTAGATATCTGCTAACAAATTTGCAAGTATCTATATGTATGCACATTTCCATATAGTCAAGAGTACCCAAATGATGACTGACTCTTCAAGTAGGGTTCCACCAAGACCCCAATCATATACCTCAAGTTTCTGGAGTGTCTTCATTTTGCTTGGAGTAAGAAGCGATATGAAAGTGGATGATTTGTTTACCTTGTGCACAAAACGCGCTGACATGCCCGAATCCTTCTTCTAGTCAAGACATGATATCTGACGTTATGTGGGACGACATGCTGACTAGTACCGTGTGCCGGGAAGCTGTTCCAACATCACGTCATGCAACACGCGTCCCAGGCGCATACTCTGCAGCTCCTGTGTGTAACTGAGGTGGGATTTGGCGCAGCGCCATTCGATTTCCGTAGATGCAGATAACCACTTCTTTCCAGCTAGGGATGCTCATTGCCGTGGGTTTCAGTGAATCATGAAGAACCAGCAGGTGCAGAACTATCCAGTGCACCATCAGAAATTGAGATAGTTAAAGCTCCACGACAAAGTCACAGAATATGCTTGCGAATTACCCAGAGAGGCATGCCAACGTTCAAGAGTGTGAATGGCAAGCACAAGGCTCAAGACAATAAAAACCGGACAGCAAGCGAGAGCCAGGTTATTTAGATCATAAATATCGTTTCGCTCGTCTCAAAGCAACCGCTTCTGGCGGCCATGGTTTATTCTACAGATGATGATCGCCAACAAAGGCGGGCATGTTCTTACCTACCTACCTACCCTTGAAGACTGGCTTCCTCTTTTCTTTAAAGGCGTCCAGTGCCTCATTGCGGTCCTCTGTCTTGACCACACGCTCGTACATGGCATTCTCCATCTCCTCCCGTGCCCAGGAGACCGCCTGCAGCCCACTCCTCACGGCCACGGGCCCGCCCTCGCAGATTTCCATGGCCATGCGCACAGCCTCGGACAGCGCCGATCTCCTGGCCCTCGTCGCAATGCCCTCGTCGCTCTTCTGGCTTCCCTCGGCTACGGCATCCCGTTCGTCCTCGGGCAAGACTTCTACCAGCCGGTCCGCAATACCGAGGAAGTAGGCCTCTGGCGCTGAGACGCGACGGCCAGTGAGGATCAGGTCGCGTGCCCTGGCGAGGCCAATCAGGGCTGGGAGTCTGTAGGTGCCGCCTGCGCCGGGGATTATACCCAACCGCGTTTCTGGGAGACCGACGGTCGCTGTCGATGCGAGGACGCGGAAGTGTGTCGAGAGGGCGAGCTCGAGTCCGCCGCCGAGGGCAAGGGAGGATATGGCAGATATGGTCGGGACGGGGAGTTCGGAGAGTTTTGTAAAGGTGCCACGGAGGTTGGAGAGGAATACCGCAGTTCTAGAAGAACCATGTTAGCTGTTTGTAGCCATCAGAAAGCATTCGATGCTCGGTACTCACTCCTCCTGTGTAAAGCCTCTGCGCTCCTTGAGATCAGCGCCCGCGCAGAAGCTCGCGTCGACAGCGCTGGCGAGGACCAGAGCTCTGGTAGGCCCTGCCCCGCCGGCCTCCATGGGGATCTCCTCTCCAGTCTTTGTGTACTGCGAATGCACATCATCAATCTCGGCCCTCAGCGACGAGAGCAGCGCCCTGGAGATGGCGTTGCGCGCCGACGGGCGGTTCAGCTCCAAGACCCTGATGTGGCCCGAGTTTGGAGCGGGCACATTGATGACATTGATGAGGGGGCCGGCATCGCTAGAGTAGGCGCGGGCGCACTTGGCCGTAGCGCGCGAGCTCAGTCTGAAGCTCAATCGTACGGGCATTGTGGAGTGGGAAGATGTGAATGTGGTCGAGGTGAAGTTGCTTACTTCCTTCCCCTCGGTTATATCGCTTGCGGGCGCTCAATTGAACATGGCGGGCAGAGAGGCAGCGTCTAGGATCGGCTACCTTCGGGCGACTTGAGGGCCGAGCTCATGGAGATGTACTTCATTTGGCTTCACAGATGAAGACAAGACAGCTCAAATTCGTTCTCACCTAGTACTCGAACTCGTTCGGTTTGAGGGTCTCTTCATGTCTAGTTTATTCTTTTATTAGAAATATCCCGGCAAGCTTGTAGTCTGAAAATTGGACTTGCTGCTTTATAAGGAAGCCTTTTTCTAAATATACCAAGGCAAGTACTGAGCGGCTCTCCTTGTCTCAATCTTTCCAGAGACACTGTCTGTTGTTATGCAATTCTTAAGGGCAAATGATGCTGCGTGTATGCTATCTATTATGCAAAGAACCGACAATTCGGCCATATTATCGGTTCTTGATGGTGTTTTTTTTTTCTTCTTATAATCGTTTCTAGCGCGCTCAGTGGATAGACCCATGCTAAAAGAGTGCCCTGGTTGCCGTGGGCCACTCGCTACCCACACTGACCAATCAGTGCAACTTTATATGAACGAATGACGTCCGACATTCCCGAGCTTTCCTTGGTACATGCCGAAAAACCAGCGACGTTCATCGTGATTATCCATAAAAAGCGACTAGAGACTAGATATTAAGCCAAGCGCTCGCAGCCCAGACATATTTGGGTCAAAAAGATGTAATACCAGCTGGATTGCACTATTTAAGCAGTTTTCAATCATCACCTCCACTGAAAAGCCCGAAAACAAGTTACACCATCCTAATCATGGCAAGCCAAAACGGTAACGGGCCTACGACATCTTTACCACCAGAGGCAATTGCTTTTGCTGGTCGTATGTTTGACGCCGCCAGGTCAGGCAACAAGGAAATATTCGAGCAAGCTTTGCCGGCTGGGTTGCCCGCCAATTTGACAAACGACAAGGGCGATACTCTGGTACGTTGGAAAGATACCACATGTCGCTGTTCAGACCAGAAACTGATGAGAGTGGAAATAGCTCATGCTTGCGGCATACCATGGCCATGCCGACTTGGTCAGGTTACTTGTCCAGCATGGCGCAGATCCGAACCGGATAAATGACCGTGGCCAGAGTCCTCTTGCTGGTGCTGTCTTTAAGAAGGAGCCCGATGTAATAGATGTATGTCAGATTCCAGTCATTTCAAGTTGTGCCAACTAAAGATTGTCTAGGCTTTGTTGGAGGGAGGGGCTGATCCGTACCACGGCTCGCCAACAGCCATGGAGTGCATAGCCATGTTCAAACAAGAAGACGAATATAGGGAAAAGTTTGAAAATGCCCCTGGAAAAGGGAGGGCATCAGCGGCAACATGATAATGACCTTGGGAGTAGGAGACCAGCAATATGATGGCCAGGGTCAGCTATAATTTATTCAATATGACTCTATTAAATGAGTTTATGGGTATACAGACAGAAAATGCATAAGTTTCAATTTTGATCATGATCTTTTTGCATGACTCTATAAATCATATTGACTTTAATGCAAGCAATACGCAATGTCTACACATCTTGTGCCCAAAGGTTGGGACAAAAAAGACCAAGACAAAGGCAATCACGAACATCTGGACGCAGCTGCACAATAAATCACCTGAAGCCAGCAAACAAACTCAACAAGTGATAGGGAAAGCTCGAGGTTTGCGCTATGACCAATCTATTTAACGTCCACTTGGCTTAGGACTCTTAAACCTTTTTGTTTACACCTTCTCCCACCATCATAAAACTAAATTTGCTTACACGGTCTTGCATCTCAGTATTGACCACCAAGCTATAGCTCTTGTTCTTGCTTCTGCTCATAGTCTAGCAACCCGACAATCTCAAGATTCGGTGTTTCATTGCTTTGGCCAGGATCGAGATAGTATTACTTATTCTCTTGGCCGTCCGCTCGCAAAGATCTGTCAGCTCATCAACGACCATCTCTTTGCATACCAATTATGGCTCCAGCATTAGCTCCTGGTCGGCCAGGACCACACACAAGTCCCAGGCTCCACGACAGACCATCCTCCCGCACAGGCACGAAAATGTCGAATCGAAGATATTCAAAAGTCAAGTTGAGGGCAGACCATCTGCACTTGCCACGACACCCCATTGTATGCACATTCGCGTTCTAATCATTCTGCTTCACGCAATTGACTCCTTTCTAGGCTCCCCGCGACGGGCTCGGCAGCCCATATGAGCGCACGACTCTGGATGCTCTAGCTCACAATAAAAGAGCCAGTAATGAATGTATCCGCGGACCACAGGCAGAACGGCCCCAGATTTTATGGGCCGATTACGAGAAGTCGATTTTGCCCTCGCATCCTTTCCAGTCCCCAAAACAGAAGCAAGCTTTTGCTCATGGTGAGAGAGCCAGGAACGACCTCATCTATAGAATGGAAGCGGAAAAGTACCAGAAGTGGAAGAACTCGCAGAGATACAAGGAACCTTCGTTCCCCTTCCGAGCCTCACAACAACGCTCACACACTTACCGACATCCGGTCCCCAAAGTCCGGCCCAATTTCTGCAACAAGTGCCGCTCCCACTTCTGCATGGCTTGTACAGAGTCTTACGGGACCAAAGTGATTTGCGTCAAATGCGCGGATATTCTTTGCGGCGACTGTGCTTCTTCTCAGCATGGATACATGTTCCATTTTTCCAAGGCACAGGAACGAATGGCTCCATACACGACGCCTCGCTAGGGCATTTTGATACCACATCTATGTGGTCAGCATAGGTGTAAGAGACTGGATAGAGATTGGGCTTCATATACTTCTACCAACATGTATCATTACTGCAAACAATTCCATCGTACAGCATGCTTACGATGTTACGAATCATGATTTGGGAGATTTTGTTCAACGCCTCACTCATTTCCAGTTTGATTTACCTGGTTTTCAGGAAAAGTTTTGGTGCATTGGGTTTGGGGGAAACCATGATCCATAAGCATAGGTTGAATCTTCAAGCCGACATGTGCCTTTGTATCTATTAACTATAATGCGAATTACATGTATGTTTATTGATGATTGAACATGGATGATTAAGAGCCTTGAAGCTCTAGTTCTTACCTAGCCCGCATTAGTTGAGTGGTTCCTGGAGTAATTGGAATGACCAATTAAATAGCGTATGTACCAGGCCAAGTTCCGATAAGGAAGCGCAGTTGACACCCGTAGATCCCAGAACAGAACTTCTACTGCTACTACTATCCTTGATTTATACATCATAGTTGTGACATGTAATTGATATGCAATATCAACTCCACAATTGACCAGGCGTTACTCCTCGATACCCATGGGCCAGGCCGATATTGTACGGGCCAATGGAGCCTCCAGCTGGTAGTAGCGGTCGTCGGCGCCGTACCGAGTATGGCAAGCGTTCCAAGCAAGGTGAGCACATGAGCAAGGACCTTTGGCCGAACTTGAACAACAGTTTGATTGATTGACGATTTACAAGACTTGTGTGACTAATGGACGCAAAATCTAGGCTGCCGTACCTGCATTAGCAAGAAAGTCAAGTGCGACGAGTGTCACCCTCGATGTGGACGCTGCATTCGTCTCGATTTGTGCTGTGAATGGGCAGGAATTGAATCGCCGCTCGCCGTCAGAAGACGGGGCCATGGCCCCATCAAAGATCGAGACAACTGGCAGCCGGCGATAATCTCACCAAAGCCCCAAACATCCGTGGATCAGCAACAGCACAGTCAAGATGGTCGTGCCATGTCAGTCAATCTACCTGACAGTCACAACACTCTCGTGCCCGTATCCGGGAGGACTGAAACACCTTCGTCCGAGAGCTTGATGCCGTGTGAATTGCCAAACCTCTTAGCTGCTCAGGGTGCTGGATCTGAGCAGACAGTACGATCGTCCACTTATGCAAATCGCGACGATGACTTAATTTCTGGAAATAGCTTTGTGGTTGAAAGACGATCGGCATTAAGTTTGCGGCAGAATTCCCTGCCGCAGTTGCCTTCTTCTACCTGTCTACACCCATCCCTTCAGCCACCCATGTTCACCTTCAGCCGAGTACCAGCCATGATCGAAAGCAGCGACGTGCAAGCTGTGGCCTTCCACCGGGGAGTCTTTGCTCCATTGAAATCAACACGAGCATCGGCCGAGTCTGCGCACTCCATCTTCCTTGACCATGCCATTCAAAACGACATGGCCTTGCACTTTCTTCTTGCGGTTTCGCACAGCGAACTTGCCATTTATCGTGGCGAATGCGTTCGGGCACCGCCAGAGTCGTGGTTACATTTCCGTCACGGGTCACAACTTCTATCCAACCACCGAAACGAACTTGCAAGACCCAACCATGTCGCCACCTTGCTATCATTTCTCTACATGTACATATTTTGGATGCGCAGAGGGCCTTTTGATAAGTCAATGCTGCGAGAGCTTAGCCGATCAGTTCTGCTCCACGTCAAGACCTACAATCTGGACAACCTTTGTGCCGCTAGCACCCGGATCGGATCAGACGCCACTTCGATGCCAGATAACGTTGTGATCTCGCGTATCTTGACTTATCTCTACGACCGAGATGGATTCTGCTACTTTTTTGGCTGCGGTGGCGCATTTGCTAGTTATGTTAGTGATAACCACGAGAAACGCAGCCGAATTTGGCGGCTCTCCCAGATGGGGTATCCATGGTCTACGGATCCCGGACCAGCGGCGTCTAGCACCACTCACGGTGCTTGTTTCGAGGATGGCAGGATTACAGAGGTGTATTTCCAGCTAATTGCGATCCATCACGACATCAACCGCTATAGTCAAGCTCGCGAGGCCTCTGGGCTGGAAATAAAGATACGAATCCATCTAGAGCATTTGGAAAAGGTAACATTCAGCTTTGAAACCCCAATTCCTATCTTCTCGCATCTATTTTTGTCATACTAACATGTTTTACAGGAACAGAGGAGCTTATTCAAGATGGTTGACGAATGCGAAAGACGTGCTTCGACGCCGTGTCTGATGGCTCTTGTCACTGTGTCATTTTACCATGCACTTGTTATATATTTGCACCGCGGCCGAGAGTCTCCATTCAGTGGGCGCCCAGTACCAAACGGCATACAATTGGCTTTGGGTAAACTAGTTTCAACGGCATATTACACCGTGGCAAGTGGTCCCGTTCAGCTGTTGGAGCGTTTTCAGTGGGCACTCTTGATAGCTGGGATAGAGACGAACGATCCAGTACACCGAGACTGGGTACGCGGGAATATAGCCGACCCAAGCATGAAGAGCACTCTAGAGACGATCTTGGACGCACAGCAAACACGCCCTGTCTCAATGCGGGAGATCCGACAGCTTGTATCCGGGGTAAATGTCTCCACATAGATGCACTACACAGTACACGAAATGCTACCTACTACTAGGTAGCAAGAGTCTGGCCCGCTACGTCGATTAAACTGGCCAATCAGCTACAAAGACCACTATAAGGGGACTTCCGCGACTTTGGCGGGTCTTGATAACGGCTCGGATGTCGAGTCAGCAGTCGGGGGCTTATCTGCAGCCGATTCTATGACTGAAGTTGGAGAAATTCATAATCATCTATAATAGGACTTCGAGTCGTATATTAGTACGATCACAGCCTGGGGGAAAGTCCTAGAGTGTAGCCCAGCAGATTTTCACTACTTATACAATCCAATAGCTGCAGTTGCCCAGACTCTGCGCGCATACAGCCTGGCAAGATGGAGAAAGACAATACGCAAACGAATATTCCAAAGACCGGCGATGACCTTGTCAAGACACGCACAACCGATTGCGGCACGATGGAGGTCCTTGGCCCGAAAGAACAAAAAAGACTAGTCAGGAAAATCGACATGCAGTACGTTCTTCAGCTCAAGACGTTGCTATTTGGCTCACGGTTTCATGCCTGGATATTGACTTACACCTGCTAGTCTTATGCCTGTACTGATTGTCAGCTACGGTCTTCAGTATTTAGACAGTACGTGTTTACCCATTGCGCCTCTCGTTTGGTCATTATGCAAAGATTGAAGATGTTAACATGTTCAAAGAAACCAGTCTGTCGTATAGTGCGATTTTGGGAATCCAAGAAGATTTGGTAACCGAACATGACCATCTTCCGATATTCCTCTGGGTAAGGACTGACCTCATAATTGATAGGGTCTTGTGGGACAACAATACAGCTGGACATCGAGCATCTTCTACATTGGCTACCTCGTTGCCTCTTATCCTATATCGCTTGGATTCGTCAGATTTCCCCTGGGAAAATATCTCAGTATTCTGATGTAAGCAAGACCCCTTGTTATTACTCCGTAGGATTTGGTTGCTAACAGCAAAATGAAACAGTTTCCTTTGGGGAATCGTTTTGACACTTCACGCCGTGGCGACCGACTATGCGAGCCTGATGGTTTTGCGGACACTACTCGGTGTTTTCGAAAGTGGAATATCTCCTGGATTTTCTCTCATTACTGGAATGTGGTACACGCCAAAGGAACACGTCTCGCGTCACTCGTTTTGGTTTGCTGGCAATGCCTTGGCTAGCATGATTGGGTCCATGATTGCGTATGGCATATTGCATTACAAAGGATCCTTTCCTCAGTGGAAGGTAAGAGAAGCACGAAGCAATGTCAAATTTCGCATCCAAGCTAACGGATTCAGATCCTCTTCCTCCTGTTTGGCCTCATCACTGTAGTCTGGTCCGCTGTCGTTTGGTTCTTCTTGCCCGACTCGCCAATGACGGCACGTTTCCTGACGCCCTCGGAACGGGAGACGGCTGCGCTTCGACCCATGAAGTTCCAAAAAACTACGCAGACAAAGAAGTGGGATCGTGAACAGTTCATCGAAGCCATTACAGACGTCAAGTCATGGTGGTTCTTCCTCTTTTCATTCGTGACCTGCATTCCTAATGGAGGAACAACCAGCGTACGTATCCCTTTGCCATCTTTCTTCACGTGTAGGATCAATGCTGATACCCTTATAGTTCAGCACACTCGTCATCAAGAGCTTTGGATATGACAGCTTCAAAACCATCCTAATGGGATTGCCCGCGTCCGCCTTTCAGTTGACCACTGTCATCCTGGCGGCTGTGTTCACGACAATCTTCCGCAAGTCGCGTCTCATCGCCCTCGTGCTCATTTATCTCATGGCTATCGCTGGCATCCTGATGATTAAACTGCTTCCTACGTCAGAGAAGTTGACTCGGCTTGCTGGGTTCTGGTTGATTACGGCCGTCGCACCAGCCTTTCCGCTCATGCTGTCCCTATCTTCGAGCAACATTGCAGGTTTTACCAAGAAATCGACCGTCATGGCCCTCATCTTTCTCGGATACTGTGCAGGTAACCTCAGCGGTCCTCAATTCTTCATGAGCAGCGAAGCACCAAACTACCACGTAAGTTACTTGTCCATTCTCCCCATGCAGCCTCATTTTGCAAGGAGAACAAGGCACAACTAACATTGTCAAGACGGCTTATACGGCAATCTTGGCCTGTTTTGCCATTACAATCGCCCTTGTAGTGGTGATGCGTTTCTACCTGGCCAGAGAGAACAGTGTGAGGGACAATGAGCAAGGCGTGCACCGAGATGCCGAGGAAACGCGCGAAATCGATCTCGCCACTGATGAGAACCTACTTGACGTGGACGAGACGGATAAGCAGAACAGGGATTTCCGATACATCATGTAGTATACTATGTATGTTGTGCAACCATGTTTGTAGAGGACAAGGGTATCTGGTCGTGGCCTCAAAGACGTGCTTTGCTGCAAACGCAATGCCCTACTTGCAAGTCCCAGCCAAATGAGTTTATTGTCAACAGAAAGGCCATTAGGTAGCTGATCTAGAAGATTCTACCGCTTTCCATTATGCAGGTGCCCGCCGTTCAACTTGAAAGAAAGTAGGAAATATACATGGGTTCCTTGATCGACAGGGCCGTTAAACATACCAAGTCATCAAAGCCATGGGGCCCTTTCCCACTCGGTTCGTCACGTTTGCATCAACCTAGCCTGACAAATGAATTGGCCTCCTTGTTGTCCCGATTTCCTTATCCTGCTCTGAAGACATGCGGGGCTTGAGGTGGATCTGTCTATTCAAGATTGCCCCATACATATGCTTTTAAGCTTTGGCCGTTTGAAGTCTTGGAGATGCAGATCCCGCAACCCGACCACCAAAGTTCAAACTACCGCTCCAAGGCTGAAGTACTTCAAGGCCGGACCATCACCCATCCAGAAGTCATTTCAAGTTCGTCAATTCAACTTTCTGACCAAGTCAATTCATTCAGATACAGAGGTGCTCTTACTTCTAAATTCATGTCGGGGAAGAGCACCCAACACTATGGTCTAGGAGCGACTCTATAGCAACACCAAACATTCACCACGAGAATCTCAAACTCCAAGTCATCACGTTTTCAGCTTCCACTCATCCAACTTCTCAGATCCCGACATCTACACCCAATCACTAGCGGACATCATGCCCTACAAAATGGTGTTTCGCGTCGACGGGGGCTGTCGTGGTAACGGACGGCCGGGAGCCATTGGCGCTGCCGCCGCCGTCCTCGATACCTCATCCGGCAGAGGCTATCGCTACATGACCAAAGAGCTGCCTGATTATCCCACCCCCACCAACCAGAGGGCTGAGCTCACCGCCATCATCATGGCGCTGGAATGGGCACTGGACAGGTACCAGGAACTGAACACATCTCCGCACTGCTTCATTGACATATACTCGGATTCTCGTTACGCCGTCGACTGCATGAACATCTGGACCTGCACCTGGTACAAGAACGGCTGGGTCAACTCTCGCGGTTTCGAAGTCGCCAACCGCGATCTCCTCGAGGAGGCGGTAGATCTCGAGCTGCGGGTCAGGGACGAACTGGGCGACTTGGAATTCCACTGGGTGCCTAGAGAGGATAACGCACTCGCCGACAAACACTGCAATGAGGCACTGGACGAGAAGGCTCGTTACGATTCATCTTCTTCAGATAGTGACTGGTAGTTCTGGACTCGTTTGGTTTCTGTTCCGAAGGAATAGGCGCTGGCCTGCTGGAGGAAACACGAAGGTTGGTAAAGTTAGGCAGAATCAGCAGGTGATATCACTGTTGATTGTTTTTGCATGGCCAAAAGACGAGGGCTATCAGCAGCGTGTTTTGGGAACAGTCATTGGCAGCTTGTACAAAGGATGGCGTTGTATGATTTACGGTGAATTGCCCTCAAAGGTCACGATCAAGCCGGCAGTTTTCTTCTTTCGGAGGTTGATTCTCTTCCTGGTGGCAAGACACAAAGACGGATAAGCAGAACAGGGGCTTCTAATACGTCATGTAGCACCTTGTGCACTCTTGTCTGCAGGTGACATGAGCATCCAGATATAACCTCGTGTCATGACAGACATGTTTTCTTTGCGCGAAAGTTTAGTGGCATGCACCTCTCCAAGAGTCCATCAAGAAGGCAACATTGAACCAAGTTATATTAAAAAAAAAAAAAAAANAAAAAACGAAAGAAAGAAAGAAAGAAACCTCTAAATCTCTTGGTGTTCCCTGGAGCCATGTATATCTACTTTACAGTTCGTTCAAAACTTGACACCGTCCAGGCGTACTACTCCAGATGTCCACTAGCCTTCATGTGTCAAATGGCACAGTGACCAGGAAACCCCAAGCAACAACACAAAAAGAACTCAATTAATTCTCCAAGACAGGCGTAGACACAGGGTATTCTTCTTACAAGCAATCGCCCCCTCCTAATGGAATTTCTGGAGACAAGTCACGTCTGTTCACAACCGCCTGTATCATCCCCCTACGATTGTTTCTGCTTTGCGTTTCTCCAAGCATGAGCATTGGGTTTTCTCTCTCCCTCTCTCTCTTCTTTTTTTTTTTTTGTTGAAAAAGCCTTGATTGTCTTATGTACCTCAGATCCAGAAGACACTGATTAGTTTGGACGTTTAAAGTCTTGCTGCAGTCAAGAAGGAAGTCGCGACTCGAAGTGGATCTACATGTTCTACCTCCCTCCTGCCCTCACAATACACATTCGATTAGGCAGACATCACCACAAGCTTGTTTGCTGAAACTTTTCAACACGGCACAATCACTTTGATTGGACAAGTGTTTTATTGTTGTTGCCATTTCGCTTCTCTGCTACTTCTCCAATCTTGTTGTGTCATCTTTACTCTAAACGCCACGGAGGAGCGAATATATCAACCAGACAACATAGCCGACGCCTCCATCTCCATCTCGCTTCTCCCGCACGCAGGCGGATATTGAGGTCAAAAGTATCCGTCAGTGGAAACCGGCCAGAAGATACTCGCCAATAAATCGACGACATGCCGTATCGAATGGTATTCAATGTCGACGGGGGCTGCCGCTGGAACGGGCAGCCCAACGCCATTGGCGCCGCGGCCGCCTGCCTTTACTACGGCCGCAATGACGACTACTGGTCCCGATCAGAAATACTCCCCGATTCTCCCACTCCCACCAGCTCACGGGCGGAACTCATGGCAATCAACCTGGCGTTGGAGTGGGCCCTGGAGAGATGCGAAGAACTGCATTCAGATCCGTATTGTATAATCGAGATATACTCGGACTCCCAGTTTGCCGTCGACTGTATGACGTACTGGCGGGATATATGGCCCGATAATGGTTGGCTGAACGGTCGCGGCTGCGAGGTTGCTAAGAAAGACCTCCTCGAAAAGGCATTTGCAAAGCACCACCAGATATTGGACGAGTTTGGCGAGGTGAATTACTACTGGATCCCACGAGAGGAGAACGACGATGCCGATTGGGAATGCAATGAGGCCTTGGACGAGAAGGAAGACGAGATGTTCGGAGTGAGCGAGACGCCAGGGGAGACAGGCGGCTACTATGAGATTTCTTCAGACTCGGAGTACTATTCGAGTGACGACGACTATTACTACCAAAGCTCATCCGATGAAGCATGGTAGTAAACACGGTCTGTTCATTGTACGATTGCAGGCAAAGCTACAATTCTGTGCGGAAAGGCAGTGTTGTGTAGTCGGTGGGAAAGGTTGTGACCATGTCTTTTGAGAAAATGATCGGTAACTTGCATGACAGACAGGCGTGCACAATCGAGGAAGAATGCCAACAACGGTATACCAACATCCATGTCGGCTTGTTCCCCTTCCGCGGCTTGGCTGTAAGGTAGTAATCACGGGATGAATTTCGCAATTTGCTCAGCCAACACTCTGTAGCAAGGATATCAACATGAATGGACTCAATAGATCGGATCATCTTAATGATTCGAGCTAATGCAAATTGCCAATTCCTAATGTTCAAGTGAATCAGAGACAATTCATCCTTGCATAACACTGAAGCTGCTGGCCTATTTTGGTACCACCATTTAATTGTCATCCATGTATAGAGCAATACAACATTGGCAGCACAGGGATCGTTGGTGTCAGTGATTGGCGAAATCATTCAAGAGATCTTGGAAGTCTCTTCTTCCCATCGGCAAGAAGTATAAAAGCTGCGGAGGAACATGGCAGTTGGAATGTAGAAAGTTATGATGGTTCCTGAGGAGACTGATCGGGGCCTTGCTGCTTTCCCCGAGACACGCAAAGCATCTTTGAGCCGTCCATGATCACCAACGGTTTACTTGGAAATAGTCGCGCGTCCGCCGGTCAATATGACGTACTCATCATGCGAACAGAACCATGAAAATGACAACAAATCATTCCAGCTGTTCTTTGAGATAGTTCTGGTCAATCACAACAGGCCATGACGTTATGTTATGTTCTGTTGTTGTTGTCCATCTTTGCTTTCAAGCCAGCCCTATAAACCCGCGCGGTACTGGCGCTTCAGCATGGCCTGGTGACGCTACAGTGGCTGGAGGTTTATGTACATTAGTGGGGTCGTACACCTCAAAGCAACGGCCCGCTCCACATGCAAGTCGCTACTGGGCTGTCAGCGCAGGGGATGTGGGGGATGCAATTCGGTTGCCCTGGACGACCGCTAAAAGGACTAGAGTGGGTTTCTGCTGCAACACACAAACCCAGGAAACAAGCTCTGATCATAGCACGCGCTGCTTGCCTATCTCATCCCTACAAACCGAGTGACGCTGAGTTGAGGCTCTTCCTTAGTCGCTCAGCGTTAAGCTATTACTATCTCCTATACTACACGGACTATCACCTTTCTTGTTCATCGTCACCCATGTCACTGTCCTTTCCAGTTGACTCCTCGTGCTGCCATCATGTCTGTCCGCGTCGTTGCGCGAATCCGTCCTTTGCTCTCGCAAGAGCTGGATAAGGATATTATTGTGACTGCAGCCAGCACCGAGGATGGCAAATCGAATACGCTGGTCCGGATACCGAGCCCCAAGAATGAAGCCGAAGAGTTCACCTTTGCCTTCAACAGCGTGTACGATCAACCGACCACGCAGGAGGAGCTTTTCACTGCCGAAGGTATGAACGACCATGCGCCCGACTTGACCCGTCGATTACAGCCACCTGACTAGATATTCACAGTTGCGCCTCATCTCAAGGCCCTTTTCCAGGGTCTAGATGTCACCATCTTTGCCTATGGCGTCACTGGAACCGGAAAGACGCACACGATGCGCGGTGGACTGAAGCTGGCAGACCGCGGGGTGATTCCCAGGCTGCTCAGCGGCGTCTACCGTCGGGCAAAGAAGATTATGAAAGACTCGAATGACGAGACGGTGGTAACAGTCGCTCTGTCATATTACGAGATTTACAATGACAAGGTCTACGACCTCTTCGAACCCCCTGAGAAGCGAACCCCGACCGGACTGCCGCTGAGAGAGGCCCACGGTAGAACACATGTCGTTGGCTTGACCGAGAGACCTTGCGAAGATCTCAAGGACTTTGAGAAGCTATACATTGAGGCAAACAACAACCGCATCACAGCTGCCACCAAGTTGAACGCACACAGCAGTCGAAGCCATGCCATATTGCGGGTCAAGCTTGTCCAGACCACTGGAGATATGGTGCGAGAAAGCACAGCTTCAGCCATTGACTTGGCTGGATCGGAGGATAACCGCCGAACAGAAAACAACAAGGAACGCTTGATCGAGTCAGCCGCCATCAACAAGAGTTTGTTCGTGTTGAGTCAATGCATTGAGGCCATCTCGCGAGGCGATCGCCGCATTCCCTTCAGGGAATCCAAAATGACGAGAATTCTGTCGCTCGGCCAGAATAATGGCATAACCATCATGATTCTCAACCTGGCTCCTCTCCGGAGCTACCATCTTGACACTTTGAGCAGTCTCAACGTCAGCTCACGAGCGAAGCGCATCGAGGTCCGAGAAATTGAAAACGAGATTGTCTACAAGCAAGTCCCGCGCACAAATTCTGGAAGCTCCAATGGCAGTATTGCGCGTCAACCCTTACGGCCTCTGACGAATGCGCACAATGTCGCATCCGGGCAGATTGCCGCCAAGGAAAAGGAAAACGAGAAAGCCGCAGCAGCAGACAAACCAGTAAAGTCATTTAGTGTGTACATTGATCGAGCAAAGCCTTCCGCTTTAGCTCCGCGTCCCGTCAACACTGCCTTGAAGCGAACATCGTCGACGCTCCAGAAGCGACCTTCTGACCAAGACTCGGGTATCGCTCGGCCTTCAAAGATCTCTCGACCTGGCTCCAGCTTACTTGCTCCACAACCCACGAGCAGACCTCAGCCCGTGAGCCAGCCAGCACAGCAGACAGTCTCAGCTGAGGCCATCGAGGCAATGGTGGAAAAGAAGGTTGCTGAGATTCTGGCTTCCCGACAACAGGCTGCGCCTGCTCAGCCAGAGATCAGCGACGCAGTACAGAAGCGTCTCGAAGCCCTCGAGCGACGGATAGAGGATGGTCGACATGATGACTCCAAGTCCGAGGGTCTCCGCTTTTTACTCATGGCTAGGCAACACAAGGAGCGCGGTGAAGACGCAAGTGCCCTCACAATGTACGAATTGGCACTTCCATACTTCCCAGGACAGGCCAAGTTGTTGTCAAAAATTGAAAAGTTAAAGGCCAAGATTGCTGCCAAACGGCAAGGCCAAGACACGGTTGAAGATGCCGCGGCCCTAGAGGTGCTATCGCCCATTGTGCATAAGAAGAAGGTAACCCGCTACGCCGTGGACGAGGATTACGAAGCCGACGCAGCTGACGACGATGGAAGCTTTGTGCTTGAACAACAGAAGAAACCCAAGAAGGCCAAGGCCACGAAGACAGCGGCTATCCTAGACGATACGGACCCCATGGAGCGGTTGCTCAACATTATCAACTCTAGAGATGCCAAGACCATCCAAAAGCTCAAGGGCTTTGGCCCCAGAAAGGCCCAAGACATGGTCGAGTATCTAGTCGAAGAGGGCCGCCCTGTCGAAAACATCCGCGAGCTCTACGCCGTTCCCGGCCTGGGACGACTTTTGGAAAAGGCATTTGACGGACTTGTGGCTGGTAGTGCGTGATTTTCACAATCTACTTTCTGTGTGGCATTCATACATGGGACGGAGTTGTCTTTGTCGTATAATTGGCATAGGCATAGCGCATGCATCACCGGATTATACTTTGCATTGGCATGGAGTTTAGGGGTTTGTTTTATAGGCATGCACAGGTGCTAAAAGGGGCATTGATAGATAGATTCTCATCTACAACACGAGCATATTGGGTTGTTCATCTGGTGACTATTTTTTTCATGCGTGATCGATTGGGTAATGTTGATCACTGTAGGTGTTTGGGACGATTAGACAGACGACTTTGATTATCAATACTCTGATATTATTCGAGAAATATTCGTCACTTGTAAACTGGACGCCATTTTGTCACTAATGAATGTATGACAATAAAACCAAATGCTATTCATCTCTATCGGCCAGCTGAAACTGCAAAATCCACCTGCCAAATTGTGGCTTACAAGTCGTGTCTGGCATTTTTGCTCTTGTGTCGAAGCCACTCACCATACTTGAACAGGACAAATGGGATTGGAATAAATGCAATTGAGATAAAGGCCAAGGTAGAGCTAGCCCAGTCAATGCCCAAGTTTTTGTACATTGCAGTCGCAAATAGCGGCTACAATTCAAATCAGCACATGTAGATCTCACAGCTCAACAGCAGGGAATACCTACAAATCCGGCACCAACCATACTTCTCAACAAATCATTACCCGCGAGGACACTAGCCACCTGGGTTGGGTAGGCGTCGCTTAGATAGTTCATGACGCAGTTGAAAAGCAGGAACGCGCCAATGCTGAACCAGGCGGTACCAATAATAGGCACGATCCAGTGAATGTCGGGACGCGAGGTCCAGCCAAACCAAAACAGACAAATGGGGATGGCGAAAGCGCCCACAAATGCCGGCGGGAGGCGCCATTCGGGCTTGAGCTCGCCATTGTCGTTACTGGGGGTTCGAAGTGTATTAGCTTCTTCATCTTCTCGTGGTCGTGTAAGGAATACTAAGATGTTTGGGCTATACGCATCAGGTAGTTTGGTGTTTCCCTGGACAAGAATGCGGGACCAGGAAACAAATTCCCCAAACAGACTCGTTTCGAAAACCATGACAAAAAAAAATAAAAACCAGATTCTGAGTACTTACAACTTGGGTTCAATGTATTTGTGCTGATACCAGACAAACGGCGGCAGCACCACAAAGACACCGACGAGGATACCCAGGAATGCGAGCCCCTCGAGCCCTAGACTGAACCCATAGACACCCTCAAAGACGAGGGGGAAACTCTCAAACCAAATATACAGCAGGCCGTAGACCAGAGCAATGTACAGATCGAGGGCCAAGACTATGGGCTCGGCAAAGAGCAGGACAAAGGGGCGGACCAGCGTCATTTGTACCACATCCCGGGCCGTCATGTCCTGGCCTGCCAGCTCGGCCTCGCACACGAGTTTGGCGTTGCCCGTCAGTTTTCGCAGGCGCCGGGCCCGGCGGTACAGGATGTTGGCCGGCGAGGTCTCGGGCAAGAAGAAGATGAGAAAGGCCAGCGAACCGCCCGAGAGCCACATGAGTTCCCAAATGGGCCAGCGCCATCCCTTGGCCTCGGCGGCGAACCCGCCGATTAGAGGACCCAAGGTCGGGCCTAGAAAGTGTCAACCGTGTTTGGAATATTGGTCAAGGTAAGATTTTCCTTGCGTAGAGTTGATACGAATGAGGGAAAGGGAGTGGTTCTATACATACCGGATACGGCGCCAATGCCCCAGACGGCCAGGCCATAGGTGCGCTTGGCAGGCGAGTACATGTCACTGATACTAGCACCACCAGTGGCCAGACTGGGGCTGCCAATGAAGCCAGTGAGGAAACGAAAAGCAAGGAGCATGCCGAAATTTGTGGCCAGCGCCGTCGGAACCTGCAGGACCACAAAGAGGGCGAGCGTGAGTATGTAGATGGGATTGCGCCCCGTCTGGGGAATCTCGGACAGCGGGCTCCAAATCATGGGACCGATGCCGTAGCCGGCGACGAAGAGGGTCAGGCCCAGCGTCGCGGCCACTTGCGAGACGCCAAAGTGTTGCATCACGTCCAGGATGCCCGCCGAGTAGATGGCTGATCCAATGTAGACACTAAAGGTTAGGAAGCAAATCTCAAATGTCACAAAGAACTTTTTTCCTCTGGACCAGTTCAATGGATTCTACATTCACGGGGTTATATCACGTTAGCCGGAATTCCAGCAGAGGTGTAGTGTAAGATGTGAGTTTCTACTCGTGTACATTACGTACCTCGGGATCATCTGGACCGTACCAGTCGACAATATAATAGTCTTTGCCCTTTTCGGGATCAACATGGCGATTCTTGTTACCATGGACAACGGTATCGTGATCGACGGCTGTAGCAGATGAAGTTCGGGAATCTGAGGAACCGTCATGATTGCCGCCGGAGCGATTGTCCTCTGGCGAGTGCTGGTCCGGAGGTGTTGTCTCTCCGTACCGCGCAACATTGGCTGATTTTTCGCCGTCTACAAATTTCTTCCATCTGGTGAGTCAAAATTTGTTAGCTTCTAGACCTTTTCTTGACCGGAGAAGGGGGAAGGGAAGAAAGACCACTACAGATTCTTAGTACTTACATTGACGGATCGACCTCTTCTTGGTATTTGAATACTCTTCCTCCGGTGATGAGCCGCAGGGCGTGGCTTAAGACCGTGTCTCGAAGTAGCTCATACATGGTCAGTTATTAAGAGTACGTCACGGAGACATGTGTACAAGTCACAGAAGTATGAACAAGCCGGAGATGGAAATATATAGATATTTATATATACTTCTAAAACCAACGGCATACGGAACTCATGATGCCACAAAAGTCTTACAAGACTATCGGTGGGAAGCAAACACCGACAGATAGCCAACGTCATGGACTACGGAGACAAGCCTATCCATAAGAAATGCAGTAGTCACTGGCTCGGACAAGGCCAGTTCTCCGGTCCGGGAGCGGGAGATCAACATTGTTCGGCAGTCTTGTCCGGCTTGACTAACACCCTTGGCATGATGCTTATGCCCTGGATCCTTGTGCGTCAAGAGGACACACCCAAAACGCCATGTGGGTTGTCAGACCCAGACATTTATTGAGTGACCGCTCTCCCCAAGGGTGGCCGATTGATTAGTTTAGTGATCTCAGATGCGTCGGGAAATGTGTCGAGGTTGGGAGAGTCGCGATGCGATGCGATTCGCCTGACACGGGGCCTAGACAAAATCAGGCCATCCTAGCACCGCCGAGAGTACCGAACGAGGCGTGCTGGTAATCGAGTAGCTGTCTACTGTTGGTGTCAGCATTTTTTTTTTTTTTTTCGAAACATCACACCCAACAAAATGAATCATACATGTCTCCCGGGAGCTCTTCTATGACGTTGATCAATGCCCCTGGCAAGGCACAACGGGAGCGCTAACGGTTGACGGGCCGGTAGGTGATGAGCTTATTTACCGACTTGACACTTCTAGGCCAGCGCTGCCAGCCCACATTCTTTGGGAGTCAATCAACATATCCCGACCTGGTCTACGCACAATTTGTCTTGCACAGTGTAGGGTAAGTAGTCATCAATGGATTCCGACCTAATGTCATTCAGTCAGTATCTAGTTTGTTCCTTGATGCTTACGTTATCCAGAGTCCAGACACAGACGTCTTCTCAGTCGGGGACGGTGGGGTTGAGGATGAATCGTCGAGATGTTTGCTGTGATATATCACTCAAATACAGTCTCTCTTATAAGCGAATTGGGATTGATGCCAGGGAATGCTCTAAAGTCAGAGTAATTCACTCTTGTCGACGTACCCAAGAATTTCCAAGCATCCAGGGATACGAGACCCAGTCGTCCTTGGATTGGATAAAACGCCGGTATAGCAAAGACAGAGGGCCCTGTTACAATGGGTAGTTGGTCACTCACATCTGATTGCAGTATCCGAGAATCCAGAATGGTGGTGAATTCATCCTCAAGCTGTGCATTGCCAGACCGGAAGAGCACTTGTCAAGGATGCAATACGACAATTGCACAGAAGTTTTACATGTAAATGATTTCTTATTCTTGAATCACATAACGCTGTAGCATCAATGCAGCCTAGTATATCTTCTGCGAATATCAAAACGCCTTGCACTATACTAATTCCCATGGACGTAGTCGTACTCTTCTGTTGCGAGAACTATCATCGGGATTTGGTGGAGGTTGGCCGGTTCCCTTTGGCGAAGTCTCTTCTAACTTCATTTCTCCCTCAACGTTGCTGATATGCACATGACCTTCTGGCGGCCCAGCGCTTTCATCCTCTGCTGAACTCTCACATCCAGCCGGCATGATACCGGAAGGGTGATGTTGCCCCAAAAGTGAAACATCCGATCCTGATTCTTCATCAGCTGCGTCTTCCCCGACGTTTTGCCTTGATAAGGCTGTGGAAACGCTCTCTTGGTCTTTCTAGGCTACCATCGAGCCGTCTTCTCCCTTGTCCTTCATGCTCATAGCATTTGGAAAAGCGCCAGCAGCGCGATTGATCTTCTTGAGGCTCTCCGGAACTGTGCCTGCCTGGAGTGAATCAATACACTCATCCATGATATTACTGTCTCGCACCTTCTGGTGCTTGGTTCTTGTGAGCCAGTATTCAAAGGGTCCGCCTAACGCTAGATTAGCAATTTGATTCCGCGGGCCTCAGACGAACAACGTCTTTGATGGAGAAGAGATAGACTCACGGTTTGCAGCTAATGCGTTGCCGAGCTCGATGCATCTCTCTTCGGGGTCATGTTCCGTGTGCATGTCCAGGAAATGGGTGAGCATTTTGCTCACGTCGCGAAGTGGCCACTTGCAGGGTGCGCTGGGTACGCGATTCTGACCGGCGCTGAGGTACTTGTTGGCAGTGCATAGGTGACACATCCAGTATCCAAGACGCTGGACAGCGTTACTATCGGCAGCTTCTAGGTCCATGGTCTCGTCAGCATCGGCTGACAGGCGGGCGCGTTTGCTTGCTGGGCCAGGAGTGCTGTTGCTGGGCGCTCCATTGGCGCGACGCTTGGGGGCAGCGTCATAGTAGAAGGTCCGATGACCGTTTGAAGTTGATCCAGGCTGAGGAATCTGCGCATCAATCTGCTCGATGCGATGCTGGCAGTGGCGCAACTGATGGCCCAGATCCAGAATTCGAAACTGAATTGTGCGTGCTTCCTGGGGAGTCAGGTTAAGGTTGCCGTCCTTGAGCAGCTCAGTACTGAATTCGAGATCATATCTATAGGCCTTGATGTCTTCTTCCAACTGGCGACGTGTGATCTCATTGAGGTCTTCAGACTGCTCGTAGTTGCCAACGGCATCTGGCTCTTGGCTTCCACGGGCTCCTCCATTAACTTGAGCCCCGTTGGTGGCAGGAGCGGCTGCTGATACGGGTGAAGCCATCTTTTGAACTGCGTTAGCTTTGGTGTATGTCTTTTGATGGTGGTTGTGCGGCATTCGGATAAACGAGTTTGATGTCAAGCAGTTTGCATTCTCGCCGACGAGAGTGTTGCGAATAGACAAGACATCACACAACATGGGGGAACCCATTGAAACTAGTCGTTGTAGTGTCTAGTGGAGATGGACGGCAGGAACAAAGGAGGTAGCCGAAAAAAAAAANNAAAAAAAAAAAGAGAAAAGGGAAAGAAAGAATATTGGAAGGAACTCACATCGGCAATTTTGGTTATGTCAGGAATGAACAAACCTATGGGTGAAGCAGGTGCGTTCTGTTTGGATGTGGAGTGTCTTGATCTTGGCGCCATATTTCTTTCTTCTCTTTTTTTTCCTTTTAGTTTTTTTTTTTTTTTTTCCTCTTCGCCGCCAGTCACAATTTTTTCCCTCTTCCCTGACTTCTAATCCTAGACGCCTAGCCCCCCGTCGAGTTCCCTAAAAAGGGCTCGGATAGCAAGATAGATTCCAAGGAATTCACTGTTTGCAATTTGCAGCTTTCATCCAACTCAAATCTGCGGGCGATGAGCCAGAAAACAGAAAGTGTTTTCCCAGCAATTCGTGATTAGTCGCGGTTGCGCCTTGGGCCGTTTCCTTTCTCTTTTTCCAACAAGGGTCTGGTGGTGGCTCAATAGCTGGAGGTACACGACTGCGCGCAGAAATGGACGATGAAAGAACGCCGATCAAAGAAGGCGCTGCTGGTTGCGACAGGTGGATGAGAAAGAAGGCGCAATCGAAAACTGGAAGGTCACAGAAAAAGGACCTTGATTGCGATGAGGGGGGACCTAAAAGAGTTTTAATGCTTGTCTTTTTTTTTTCTTCTGTCTCGCAGCTCAGCGAAAAAAAAACCTGGAAAAATAAAAAATAAAAGTTCCGAAGAAAGAAACTTAGGTACTTTTTCTTTATTTTCGGACGCGAAGGGGAAAAAAAAGAAAGATATCCACCGAAACAACATTTTGCATGTGCACATATGAATTATTGTAAAGGCCCTTCTATTATAAACATCACGCTCTTGGTTTAGATGAAGTCCCTAAATGAAAAATACCAGGCCAATCCATCACAATTCGCTATAGATGGTGTTGCACAGTGATGGCCAGTATCTGATGATGGAACATCTGAAGCAAAGAAGCACCACAGCATAGTCGAAGTTGAGCGTTGAGACGGCGTCGGTGATTGGATTTGAGAGCTCCGACCAAAGCGGTGTCCCAATTCCTTTCTAGCTTACAATCCCAGACTAGGTACATAACTCAGATCATGGAAGCAGCGCGAACGAGTACCCAAGTGGTTGCCTGTCAATTGATATTTCAATATATTGCGGGCAATGCAGTGAAATCAGATACTGACATGAATTCATATCCTCCATGTCTTTGATCGTTTTCTCTGGCAAGATTAGAACGTTGGGACTTTGTACATGATATCACTTCTGCATGCGTACGGTTTTGTTAATGTACCTCAGCAAGTAACTTTAGTACAAGCCAACCAGACCCCAATTTGAAGTTGGAGAAGGCACTGAATGGTTTGACCCGTAATTGACCAGTTTCAACATCAGTTCCACGGCGAGCAATTGCATAATACCTTATGCTTTGCGCCATCATTCAAAATAATGAAGGGAATCTACAATCAAATATATCCACGGTATCCATCCCTCTAATAACTAATATATGAAGAACCATCCTTGAGGCCCATATATTGAGCCAATGCATCACAATTCAGATGAAGTTGAAAGTCCCCATCATCAAGACGTAGCAATTGCAGCACGGCTCACAAAAGCCGTGTGAGAATAAAAAGGACGAAGATAGTGTCTATCAAGTAATTTTTTTCGTCTATATGTGCCCCCTTTCTAGAACCAGATTTTACAGCATGACGCAATGCGAGTAAAAGAAGAGACCAAAAAAAATTCTACCTGGGTAGGTAGGTAGGTAGACACTAAATTGCCTCCTTTACCAGTTTAACGGATAACTCAATCATCTCTTCCCGCTGGGCCCACTGAACCGTCCCCTTCTTGGCGCTCTTGTCAAATCCGTGGGCCGCATCCTTCATCATGTAACTAAACACTGGACGACCATTCTTTTCCAACTTGCGCAACAGAAGCTCTGCCTCGGGCCGCAGTGTGTCGCCCTCGGCGGTCATGATGGCCGTGAGCGCCGGAAAGTCTGCAGCGTCGGCCAAACCAGGCGACGCCAGCGGATTCCTCTTGTCGCTGTCATTGGGGCAGTAGCAATTGCAAATGATGTCCAGAAAAAACGGCAGTAAGGGTTTGATGGGCTTGGGGACCGTTCTGTCCGTGCTGGGAAAGGAGATGTCGGTCATGGGGTACATGGAGAGAACGAGCGGAATGTGGACGAGGGGCGAGAGCTTCTTGCGCACCGCGGACGCCATGGACAAGGCGAGGTTGCCGCCGGCGCTGAAGCCCGCGACAATGATGCGCTGCGAGTCGAGGCCGCCCTGGGCCGCCACCCAGCGGAGCGCGTCCTCGGCGTCGTGGGGAGCCGCCGGAAACGGGTGGTCCGGGGCTTTGCGGTAGTCGGCATCCAGCACGACGACGCCGGCGTCGCGGGCAAGTCGGGCGCAGAAGAGCGCATCATGGCCGTGCGCGGGGATGGTGAAGGCGCTTCCGTGCCAATTGATGACGACCGGGGCCGGCGACGATGTTGAGTAGCTCGGAGGGTAGTACATGTGCCCGAGGATGGATCGCCCCGGGTCGCGCGACGGAATTTGAACCTGTTCCCGTCGCACCTCGTGAGGGATGAGGCGGGCCTCCGTTTGCATCTTGAAAGGGTCCAATATGACCGTCAGCAACCGAAAGAACCCAAACCAGGCCTTGAACCGAAGGTACTGAAAAAGGCTGAAATCTTGAGGCCACATCCATGATTCCATCTTGGCGCTTGTAATTTTCGATGCGATCCAATGGAAGATATCCAGATTGCTTGCTGTTTTTGGTGCCAGGTTTCGAAGCCAGCAACTATCCCACATGTGCTAACCAAAGAAGTTGGGAAAGACAAGAAAGTGAGAACAGAATTTGTCCGAAATAATAGACGGGACAAGAAAATTGAGACGAGCATCTTGCACGCAAAAGATATCTTATACTATTTATCCTCAACGAAACGTCTGTTGTGATACCTACCTAATGCACCTATGAACGGTAGCCAGAATGAATCATAATGAAGCCCGTGTGCTAAGAACTAAAGCCGTGCGGCACTAAAGCGGAGGTACTCGATCTGTACACGGCGACAAATGTCACGTAAGTACAATGTCTCGAGTATCAGATTCATTTTTTTGCGCATTTATTTCTTGTATTTCCCTCCGCAGTATCTGTTTCTCATCGACTCGCAATTCGAGCATCGCAGCGACCTCGATGACTTGTGCAGTCTTCAACACCACGACTCTGAAGCTCGCTGCAATAGGTACCCACTCACAATCATCCCTAATTCGATTATACCCTGTATTCATGCATATGCGACTCTGATTGGGGAATTCCAAGAATGACGTCGGAAGAAAAGCAGATACTGCAGATGGACGAAAAATTCCATCTTGAAATCGAGTGCTGAGGCATTTCACGGCTGACAGGCAAAGTCTGATATCGTCGTTTCGGTGGTGCAAATACTGCTTACATATTTTCCCTTCAAGGTAAGGTAGGATGGAGCTGCAGGGGGGCTTTACAGCCGCCTCGAGGAGTTGCAAATTCCGTACCACACCTGAAAACTTTGACCCGGGATATGATCCGTCAAGATCCGGGATATCAATCCGACAGAGAAAAAAAAAAGCGAGGTCCATGGCATCTTCGATATCTCTGTCTCCAATATTATTTGCCTTCGCTTTAGTGAGATAGGTGAACAATATTGAAGATGGGTACAATCCATGCTTTTGTCTTTTAATGCAGTCATTCGCCTAGCTATTCCCATACATTAGCCATAGCCCCATTCTTCCGAAGCTCTGATTGGATCGTGGGTATCGTGAGTCACCCACATCAGAATGAATCATTCTGTGAGATGGGTACAAACTACTCGAAATGGCTTTCTCATCTGCCACCATGACTCTTCAGTCGCGACCATTCGCCAATCACAACATGTTAAATTATATCTTCTAGCAGCATAGGTTGCAGTGGGCTCTGTTTATACCTGTACAGACCAATGGATGTCGTCCTTTTGGCTAGTATCATAGACCCGTAACAGTATACTATCCCCCTGTCTCGTGCAGTGCCATCTTTGCATGGCAGGGGAAGTTGGATTCTCTTGGCTTGGTCGCCCTATACTCACAGTATTGAAGAAATCCGTATATAAATGCTCAGTGACGGCTACCGGTGAAATAACAAGACAAGAGCCATTCACACGCATAAGCAGCAGCAGCAGCAACAAGAACAATCATACCTTATTCTGTGACTTTGTCTTCTCTTCTACTAGCAGTCGACACCATGATAAGCGGGACATCAGCAAACGCAAGCGGCAGCTCCAGCGATACTCCCACGGGAGCATCGCAAATTGACACCATACAACCACCTTTATTCGAGCCATCAAAATGTTTATTTTGCAACCAAGGCAACACTGACTTTGAGTCAAATCTATCACACATGCAGTCAGCCCACGGTCTATTCATCCCTCACCGGCGGCACTTGATCGTCGAGACACAGGTCTTGATCGAGTATATTCACCTGGTCATCCACGGTTATCATGAGTGCATATGCTGTGGTACACAGCGGAGCAGCCCACTAGCGACGCAGCAACATATGCTGGGCAAAAGCCACTGTCGTTTTGATATGGAACGGGAAGATTCCGAATTTGCCGACTTTTGGGATTTCTCGGATGGGGACAGCAGTGACGGAGATTCCGACGACCAGACCGATGACAACAATGGGCCGGATCATGGGAGGAGACGGACAATCAAGGGTCCTGCGGGCATTGTGCAATTGGATGAAGATTCTCTCAGGCTTCCATCGGGGAAGCTGATATCCAAAAACTCATCCGCCCGGCACGCCCCACAACGGGCTGAGACTAGGAAGCAACAAGCGGCCATCGAGGGCACGACTCACGATGCTGCCCGGCGCGCAAATCCAACCCCGTCTACAGCGTTGGTACCGTCACATGGAGACGCACTTAAAAGTCTCAATAGAAGTGAAAGGAGAGCAGAGGCATTCTCCGGTCAGTTGTCACGATTGAGCGAAAGTGACAGGCGAAGCCTGGTACATCTGCCGGCATCACAGCAACGCTCTATACTCACCACGCAGCAGCGGCAGGCCGAGAAGGCGCAGCGGGCCGAGCGGAGGTATCAGAGCCGCGTCGAGGGACTGGGTAACAAGACGTTACAGGCGCATTTCCGACCAGACGGTCCAGCGCGGCAAAATGGTTGATTTATCTAGGTAGTAATAGGAACCCATTATATTGGTGCCCAAGTCTATATGGTGTTTGTGCAATCTGGCAGCTATGAATGTCTGATAATATACGTGGTCCATTGGCGGCAGGACTATCATGGAGTGTTGCGCATTCATCTGGATAAACTCCGCTCATCTGCATAGGGCCAGCTCTTGCTGGATCTGCAAGACATTGGCGTTAGCTGAGACATGCGGCTGCTTGGTAGGCAAGAAAAGACCTGGTCACCGCTCGTCAAGTATCGTGACGCAAACATATGTCTTCTTGAGCCTGACTTTTCAATTTGTTTTTGTTTACTTTTCAGAATTGCCATCAATCCAGTCTAGACGGATTGACCGATTGTTGGTCGATCCTCTATTCATCCTTGCAAGCTTGGACCAACACTCTGTCTTGCGAGCCAGGATGAAGCCACTGGTGTGTCGTAGGAAGCACGTAGTAGTCATTCCAATTCTTGGTGCCGCATCGACTCAGATGGGCAGTCATCAAAGCAATAATTTGGTACCATACTCTCGCGGAGCGTTGGCGGCGGTATAGTGATCAAGACGACCGGGACAATCAATGGGATATAAAGCATAGTGTTGACATTGGACATTGCAAAGCTTTAAAACGGGAAAACGAGATGAAAGGTTAGTTTGTAGGTTGGGCAGTCTGCTAAGAAACTCGGGCGATCAACCCGGGAGACAGGCACCTGGTGGGACTTTTTTTTTTTTTCGTTTTCTTTCCCAATCAGACTATGACAGAATAGACGCCATGGCATAACAGAGCATGGGTGCCGTGTGTACTTTGTAGATCGGATCGACGCATTCGGCACTGACGGGCAACTCAGAGATGATTTAGGTGGAGTTGTCCTTCAATAAAAAAAAGGATGTTGATCTGGGAAATGCCTAAAAGGTGCGGATGTGTCGAGAGCAACGTGGCGGGCTGTCGTATGCCGGAACTTTTGGATTCCTATTGGCTTTTTGGTGAAATGGGCAGAGACAAAGTCGCAAGTCTATCGGAGTGAGCCGGGCAGTGTTGCGTTGCTGGGGGACGTTTGTAGGTACGTAGCTGGGTCAAGGTGAGCAGGTGGTTCCTCTTTTTATTTTGTTGACTTTCTGGGCTGGACGCACGAGCTGCGGGAATCAGGCAACGTGGTCCGGGTCCGCCAGCAGCTTGGGTTCAGAGGCTTGGGAGGTAGGTTCAGTCAAGTGTTTGGATATGTCAAGAATAACCTTGAAAATCTGACAACAACAGAGAAATTGGGGGCAATCCCAGGTGAACCAGGTAAAAGGGAACTTCGAGACATCCAGTGATTCATATATTGAGCTTACGTGTGGCAGACAGACAGACGGCGGTTGAATGCACGATGCTGCTGAATCAGTGGATAAGTGACTGGTAATTGACTTGCGCCTGTCTCTTAGGTCCGTCCGGGGTAAAAATGCATTCAGGTAGGTAGCCCGGTGTTGCCGTCAGGAGATGAACAGACCACCTTCTTTGGATGGAGACATGTGAACCGTTTTTTTTTTTTTTCTTTAAAGAGAAAAAGTCCACATTGGATCTGAGATGACAGCTCGTACCTCAATCCGTCCAGGTATTCCAACTTGGAATCGCCGGGGTGACGGCTGTAAATAGAATGGGTCGGTTGGTTTGCGACCGAGATCAGTGATGGGAATGACGTTTTGGGAGCTGAGCTGGTCCACTGAAATAAGCCCACAAGTCAGCGCGATCAGATCCTAGGAAACTCCCCAAATGCGCCTATCAAGCTGGGAAGCCAGGGGAGACCCTCCCTAGCCGGGCCTAGTGCCGGAGCTTGGGAGGCACTAATCCAGATCTTTTAGGTGGTAGACATTGGGCGGCTCGTCGCAGGTTTGGCGCCAACTCTCTTTTTCCTGGAGAGAGGCGGCCTGTCGCCCTGGCAACCATCTGCGACCTGAGGGTCAACAAAGCGCTATCACATCTTTAGTAGGCTCAGCTGCTGCTTGCATTGCCCTGCTTCTTTCTGGTGATCAATTATTCCTGTTCTTCAGAACCAACCCTCGATCTCAAACCGCTGACCAGGTTTTTCTTGTTCGCAAGCCTCAGCTTCGGTCGCTTGCAGAAGAAAACCTCTGGGAATACAGGAACAACCTCCCAAAGAAAGCAGATCAGTAGTAGATACCTATCTACTTACATGTCCATCTTCACCAAACCCACACTTACACACGAGCCTGTAAAGGGCCCATTACCTAACTCCATCTAGTTCTCGTCCCGCCAAGTTCGTTGCTGCTGAGTACGACCACCAGGTCTCCCAATCGCCCGGCCTGACTGGCTTGCGCTGCGTGAGGTATGTAAATATTTTGTTCAACTGATATATCTTGAGGCCTCTGGCAACAAGATCACCCGGTCAGATCACCAAAAGGAGACAAATAGACTAACAAGAGATGCAGTTTCGGATCCCAAATTGATAGCCTACACTGGCAACAATATATATCTATCGACGACAACAAACGAACCCCATTCCGGACTCGTCTCCCCCATTATGCTGTCCAATCCGCCCCAGAGCGGTCTTCCGCCTCGTGGACGACACCACAAGCGGCAATACTCGACACCAAGCGCCTTCGAGACCATGAAGATCGCCCCCAGCAACCTGCCAAACCAGATGCACCCACAACAGCAACAGATGCATCACCTCCAGCAACAACCACAACAACCAGGATCAACACCAGAGGGATCACGACCACGACAAAGAATATTACATCGCCGAGGCTTGAGCATGGATATTCGACAACAACAACGACAACTGCAATCCCCAGCTATTCGGCAGGAGTTTCACAATACGGTAAGTGAACAACATACTAACCTAGGACACAACACACCACAGCATGTGCTGCGAGAAGCGCAGCAGCAACGCTTAGCACGCCCGGGCTCACAGCAAGCATTCACGAACTTGGCAACCGACGAGAACTACCTAATCTCACCTCACACAACCCCCCACTTGAACGGGTTTGAGGGGCAATGTTTTGATGGACTGCAAGCTCCCCAGAACATGAACATGTTCTCTACTAATATTTTCACTGACTCTATGGGTTCAATGATGAAAAAGAATCAGGAGACTTACTCCGATAATATGACAGCATCTCAGGACTTCGACCTGTACCCTACCAGTACCATGTCCACGCCTACTTTTATTACGTCTTTTTCCGATAGCCCTGGTGGCCCGGACCCTTGGACTTCAGAAGGCGAGAGCCCTCACGCCAGACGAAGCTCCCGGAGGGTAAGCAATGGAATCATGGACAGGGTAGTCAAATTTGAGACTCTTCATGTCGAAGACCCGCAGAGGCCAATTACACCACCACACCAGAATGCAAATGGTGAGTTACGAAAGTTATATAATCTTCTTGTGGCTCCAATGACTGACTGGCCTAGATTATTTCCCAATCAGCCCCCGAGGAACATCCCATGGTGGTACCATCAAGCACCCTCGCCAGCCCCAGAGGTTCATGGATGACTATGACGAGTCCATGGAAGAGACTCTGAAGCCAAACCGGCACTCTGGCAATCGGCCCATGACGACATTTGAGGCAATGCGTCAAGCGGCAGAAGGACCTGCGTCCATGCCAGAATCACGTCGATCAAGCATTGCGCAGATGAGCACAGGTGCTTATGAGCCGCCTGTGCCGAATCCGTTCATGCAAGTACCTACAGGCATGACTATCAGCACCCAGCTTGATGGCCTGCCCGTGCCGCCGCATCCTATGAGTGCCTCGAGCAATTTCTCACAGCACGCCTCCCCAATGACACCGAGCATGGCTTCATTCGCTGGTGGTCCATTTGACCTGAAGCCAGAGCTGAGGCCCCACATGCTCACGCAGGATGCGCTGTCTGTCAATGAGTCTCAATCGACGGAGAAGGCATCCCGTCGCAACTCTCCTCACCGCAGGACCGACTCAATAGCAAGCATCGCCAGTGCTGCGAGCATCGCAAGCCTGGACATTGAGCAGACCAGGACTACTACCGGCATTACCATTGAGGACATCCACCAGTACATTGAAGGCCCGGAGCCGAGCGACAACAAGTGGGTCTGCACTTATGATGGATGCAACAAGCGATTTGGACGAAAGGAAAACATCAAATCCCATGTGCAAACCCACCTCAACGACAGACAGTACCAGTGCCCACATTGTCAAAAATGCTTTGTACGGCAGCACGACCTGAAGCGTCACGCCAAGATCCATACGGGTGTTAAGCCATATCCTTGCGAGTGCGGCAACAGCTTCGCTCGTCATGACGCTCTCACTCGCCACCGACAGCGCGGCATGTGTGTCGGCGCCTTTGATGGAGTTGTGCGCAAAACGGTAAAGAGGGGCCGTCCTCGTAAGCAGCGTCCCGATGTCGACGAGCGACAGGAAAAATCAGAGCGCACACGCAGGAGAAATAGGTCCACCGCTGGCTCAATATCATCTCAATCCGGATACTCGGACAGCTCGGCAGCTAACTCGCCGGAACCATTGGATCCCGACTTTAGTGACGCGCTGGATGATATCATGGACATATCAATGGGCGGAACAACCATCAGACCAAGCAGTCTGCAAGCCATGTCCTCATCTGCGCCGATGCCATCACTCAGCGCTACCGTGGCGACCTCGAGTGCCCATTCCCCGTCTGCCACCAGCATACACTCGTATGTCTCGCAGCTATCACACATGTCACTACACGCAGATCCACTCTCCGAGACCATGCCAACTCGCCCGGGCTCTCCGGCCAAGAGTGTGGCCAGCCACTATAACGAAGTTCCCGAGCTGTCCCAGTCGTCCTCGCCCCCGGTTCGGTACTTTGATGTCGACCCGAGTAATTCGCAAACCGAGCCGTTGATCACCACAGCATCGGAGAATGTGAATATTTCGGCACTCAGTGGAATTGATGATGCGGACGACGACCTGCTTCTGCAGTTTACCACTGGCGACTTGAGCATGATGAACATGAAGCAGTTCGAGGACGGATTCAGCTCAGCCGACATGTATCCGGATGGCAGCAATCCTGATGTGTTTTTTGGAGCAGCTCTTTAAATCGGTAGCCTTTGTTGATATCCGTTTCAGCGTGGTTCGCGGTTGAGCGTATGGAATTGGTGTTTTACTTACGATGATCATGTCGGAACGTACCTTAATTAACTGCAGTGTTTATTTACTCGAGGTATAGCCTCTGTAAAAGTACGACGGGGAAATATGGTTTCAAATGGGAGTGATTTTTATGGTTGCTTATGTAAACCAGGGAGGGAGTTTGGGCCAACGGCTCATTGGCGTCGGCGTTGTAGTCGCCGCAGGTGACCTTGTTACAGACTCTTTCGGTCTCTTGGGTTTTTGTTTTTCGACTAGGAATTGAATAAAGCGATTGTGGAAGTAAGATTATCTGTACCCATGTTGTGATTGTGAATTGCTTCTTGTGCTTTACTTGTTATCAATAGACGCTCTCTAGTACGATGAAGAACAGAATATGGCGTGATAACCCCAAAAAGGTAATTGATCATGAAAGGGGTAAGTCTTAAACCCTTGGAGGGGCAGAGCCATATCTTTGGTGTATGAGACGTGCATATAATACACATGGAGGATTCCGAGGGGGCGGAAGGATCTGGTGCATTGCCAGTCAACGGCCGCTTGCCCAACAAGCCCCCCTCATTCGGAGCATAATGCGATACTGAAGATGGGCCTCAGGTGCGCAACGATGGCTGTTGTATGTTCGTGGGTTTGCGATGTATACGGAGCAGAAGGTTTTCGGCTCTACAATCTGCTTTTACGTTCATAAAATTCTGGTTCAACTGTCTGCCCAAACACGCTGTGAGCAATGATCAAATTTGGGCTTGGACTACCACTTTGCATTATGCTATACAACCCCGGTACCATCCTTGCATGAAATCCGTCTGGATTATAACATGGCTTATAACATGAATGTTTGAATGCGCGATCCTTTGCCCAGGCTGTCTCAGCCTCAGCCTCGGTCTCAGTCAGCTTCGGTTGAAATGCTTATAACTATCCTGTTGGCATCTGCTCTGAATTCACAAAGGGTTCGAAATGGATAGTTCAGTCAGAGAGCGTCGAGATTTGGATAGTCGAGAATCGCCTGTGAAGCACATTGTAAATCGTAGCCATGTTTGCACCGTTTCTGCTCATGGCTAGCTGCCTCGTGCTGGGAGGTTTTTCCAAGCCAGTAGGAGTCGATGTGGTAGCAAGTCGGTTCGAACACACAGCGATAGACTTGCCTGTGGCAAGTAGAGGGTTGCAGAAACGCGACGCAGATGTTGCGTTTGATCTCGGATTCCGTGTCACGGACAAGACGTTGTTCTCAGGGTAAGTAACGCTCACTGATTTCGTTCAATCATTCTCGTGGTATGGTTTTACCTCAACTAACACCCGTCGTTAGCACGTTCAATACGCCAAACGGCGAATCCGCAACATTGTCCCTCAACTGCGTCGACTGCCATACATGGGGAACCATTACTGCGTCGGCTTTGTTTCCAGACAGCTTTGGTGATCTCCTAGACGACTTTGGCGATCTGAACCCGCTCAACGACGTCAGCCTGGCCTTGGGATTCAGTGGCGTGGGAGCTCGGGTCCAGGTTGACATGTCTGCTGCTGTGGACGGAACAGTCAAGATTCCCCTTTTCGTCTCAGAGACGCCTCTGGGTATTGCGGTGAGCTCTACATGGTCCTTGGGTGGGATAAAACAAGCTGACTTTTTTTTTTTCTAGATTCCTGGTACGCAGATTGGTATTGTCTTCTCGGTTGACTTGGTACTTGGTCTCTCGGGAGAAGTGGCAACCAATGCTGGCTTTGAAGTCGTCTTACCGGATTCATCTTCATTTGCACTCTCTTTGGATCCTTCGAAAGATGTTGTTGCTGATTTGTGAGTTGGACTTTGATGCTCTACAATCACAAGTCTGGAGCAGAGTTAACAACATTTAGTAATGGTATTGCCACCAGTCTTCTTCCGATCACCACTGAGATCCCGGCGAATTTGACAATGGCCCTCCAGCTTAGTGTGGAGGCAGGAGTAGAGCTGAGCGCGGCTGGGCTGTCACCTGCATTAACGGCGTTGGCTGGAGCCCTGATCAATATCCCCGAAGTGACAATCGGTGAGGGCTTTGCAACGAATGAGACCTGCCTACCAGTATTTGCAGACATTAACATCAACGCGGGCGCCTCGGTCGACATTGGCGCGGATATAGCCGGCTTCGAACTACCGGGCATCAATCCGGCAGTGTCGACGACGTTTATCGATTTGGCGACGAGCACTTGCTTCGGTGATCAGACATTGTCGCCACCTACCGCGACTACCAGTGTTAATGCGAGTGTCGTCTGCCCCGTCGCGCTCGCGACCCAGACGATTACTACCACGCCGACGCAGTCCCTCATAGCTTGCGCCGTGTCCGAGGTGCTGTGCCCGGCAAGTTTGACGCAGGTGATCCTCGCAGAGGCAACGCAGACCATCACGACGTCAAGTTGTCCCCTTGGGCCCTGGGGTAATAGTACCATGTATGCCCAGACAGCGACGGCACTTGGTCTTGGTACGGGAACACTAGCAGCCAAAGCCACATCAGCGCCGTCACTCAATGTAAAACAAAAAATGCCACTGCCCCTCCGACCAGGTCCGGGGTTCTTTCCGATGGCACCGTCTCCGCTCCCTACACAAAGGTATCCTATGCAGCCTAGGCAGCCACGGCAGTAGGGAACATTTGAAGCGGTTCAGACATATGCAGCCATGACTACTCATGGAAACTGACATGGAAAGGGTGAATCGCAAGATGACTGCGTTGCTCGTGTTGGTTGAGGGAGAACGAAATCAAGGGAAAATGCTCAGTTCTCGACCAAGGTGGGAGCTAATAGGTCGGACTGCCTTTGCGAGTACCGGCTTGTATGATCAACGGCCGCACAAAGTCCACTGATGTGCGCGAAAGACGTGGTTGTGACCGTAAAGTGTCCACGGAGTCCGGTGCTTCAAAAAAGAGGGGATGGTGTTGGAGAGGCGGGTTCG